CTTTGTGACATATGCAATTGAACTGAAGCTTCAAATGTAATAGGTACCCTGGTGAAGGCGAGATTGATGAGGTAGGACAAGAATTGTCCTCCTGTAATTAGAAAACCATTTGTACTGACTAGAGCTCCTCTGATTCTAGCAGGAGAGGCTTCTGATATGTAGAGCGGTGAGGTCATGGAAGCCATTCCAACTCCCAAGCCAACCAGAATTCTCCCAATTATGATCACCCACGGAGCTGGAGCGACAGCCATAACTATTGCACCAATGAAGAACACAAAGTCTGCAGCTAGAATTGACTTCTTCCGGCCAAAGGCGTCGTTCATCCATCCACCAATTGCAGCACCAAAGATGGCCCCTGCAATAGCCATACTCACTATGGTTTCCTACAAATTAATGTCAGTGAACAATACCACAAAGTTAGCTGAGACATACATAAAATATGAGCTTAATCAATTACACTGATTAACATGAACAAAACAGCGGAAATGTTATAACTTACCTGCAGCCATGTTTTCTTGTCAACCTCGCGAAAGTCCTCACGAATGTATAGTAAAGCCCCAGAAATCACACCTACAGTACTCCAACAACACAGATAGAATTAGAAAATAGTTACATGGATCCTGCATAGAATTTTGTCCTTTGAATATGAACTAAATTAATTGTTGGTTTGGATAATTGTGGTTTTAGAAGGGATCTAAGTAAGCAAGCACCTGTATCGTATCCGAAAAGGAGGCCTCCAATGCCAGCAGAGAGAGCAAGACGCATAATGTAAGGCGTCTTCCATGTTGTCCTCCAACACTCTGTGAACTCTGTCTTACTAGCAGGCGGGTGTCCTCCTTCCATATCATGCACTATTTCTTTCAAGTAAACTCACTCTAACCCTGAAATTAAAAAATCAACTGCTATCGATCTTTTGAATTTTGAGGCAGCCAATTCACATTCATTTGTTGCACCCAATACCATAAATAAAAGAAAATAAAGAAAAATATATGTTCTTTATGGGCAAACAATTCAAATGAATTCAGTCTCAAAATTAAAAAATTAATAACAAATCAAATCAAATCCTTTGTTATGATTATAAAATAAAAAAATAAAAAAAAAGGTATAAAGTCCTAATCCCATATCAAAACGTAGAGGGAAATTATGAATTTGATAATCTTCTTCTTTTAAAACACCTTCCTACTGCAAGAAAGATTGGTTCCAAAACACATGCATATATGAAAGAAGCCATGGTTCGCCATTCTTTGGCTGTTTACTTTCCTTCTTCTACCATTGGACCCTTACCCCAGAGAGAAAAGAAAAACAAAAAAAAACATACGAACAAGAGCAATGCTGAAATACAAAAACCATTACCTTGCTATGCCTTATGGATTGAAGCTCTTCCCTTCTGTTCTTCTGCCGCCTAGTTTTAGATTAGAGTTGGGTTTTCTCTGTACTTGGAATTTTGATGATGATGATGATCAACTTTTATCTAATTATGTAAAATATTGTGAGGGATGGGTGATATATATATTTATTATGATTGATTTTGAAATATAAAAGCGTACCTGTTTCCTTTTTATTAATTAAATTGTTGAGAGTTTCTATAGAAGTAGAACAGAGACTACATTTAAAGAGGAGAGAGCACCCGTGGTGATTGAGTGAGTGAGTGAAATTAGTTGCAGAAAAGGATTCTACTGGATAAAGGAAGAAACCAGTCAACACAAACCCAATGACAAAACACAACCCAATGACAAAACACAACCAATGACAAAATCAAATTTGTCTGCATTAATCTATCAACGTAATCTTAGGCGATTTTGTCGTTTTTTTCGTCTTTTTTTCTCTTGGTTGCATTACAGGTGTCTTCTGTTCTTTTGCAGACGGAATTATAGTGCAGACTGGTACTTTTGAAAAATATTTGGTCTTTGGAAACCAATAAACAAAGATTATATTTGCAAAAAAACCCACTCAAACAAAACTCATGCAACGTTCCCCGCTTCACTAAAACCATGTGTGTGTGCGCGAGCGCTACAGCCTACAGGATATTTCAAAGAAACAAGATAGGCTAGGCTGATGCTTGAACACGAAACTAGTAATAAATCTTACCTCTATGCACCCGGCGAGAGGCTTTTGTACCTGATGATGATCTTAGGTTGAAGAAACAGATGTCTTATATTTCTATGGTTGCTAATTACCCAAAAGACTATTACATACACAGCATCCCTGATTTCGATTTAATTTCAAAATGGAAATGGAAATGGAAATAACATTAGCATTGGCAACAAGGATAAAACAAATTAAAATATTTCACCCTATATGGTAATGCGTGCTCGTGAAGTAGACCTTCCTATCGTAGTATCTAACATATTAGTGCATGTTTCTATTGTTGAATTTAGAACACAAATAGAAACATGGATTGGATAGGATTCGCACCTAAGATTGAATTGTAATGGATAACATTACATCGGAGAGAATAATCACTTATTTCAATGATTTGTGTGGTGCTACGCATAATTAAGCGGGATCTTACGTATCAAGAAATGTTATGAATCAGAATAAATATTAGAAGTAGTGACTTCAATCTTATCTAGATGTAGTCAAATTAGGTTATCAAGAAATGTCAGGCTCATTCACTTTCTGTTTTCTTACATGCACTTAAATTCTGCCAATTAGATAATACATTGAATCACGCAATTCCTCCATGCCTACAAACCAAGATAAGAAAAATTTACAAACCATTACACAAGATATTATTATGAAATCTACCACACATACTATGAGCAATTTCTTTTTCTTGTATGTAAATATTAATAGAACATTTACATACATGACCATTCAATTCAAATTCCTGGTTTTTCACATGTCCTATTATAATTATTATATATCATAATATGACACCTGATACTACGGTATTATTCTATAATTTCTCGATTAGGTCTGTCTCTTACTTTTTCAGTCGGATGGGCCTCATTCTGTACTTTCCAATTCAACCCTAGGTCATCCGCAAATCCCCTTTATCTTGGCCCATGCATTGATAGTTTCTTTACAACTGTTTTACCGTTACTGTTTTCACGTTGGAAGAGAATTTCCTAGCTAGACGAAAAACCCCTCACATCTTTGATCATATTCCGAAATTACCTTTGATATCGTCCTCATCCCCCTCATTTGTCCGATGTGTGCTTCTGACGCTCTCTGTGCACTTTTATCCTCTCACCTCTCTCCGCTGGCCGTCCCCGCCGTTCGCCACCGATCTCCACCTTTGATTACCCTTCATCACAACACCCACGGTCTCTTTCTCTTTCTCTCTCTCTCTCTCTCTCTCTCTCTCTCTCTCAACCTTGTAAATTTGAGATTTGTATTCCTTACGAGTTGCGGCTCTTTTCGATCTCCAAATTTCGATTTGTTTATTTTTGAAATGTTCGATGTCATTGTCATCGTTATCGTTTGGTTTGTTGTGCTTATTGGGTAGATAATGAAAAATGTTTGAATGGATCGGGTTGTGGCAGGTTTGGACACGTCCAAGCTATTGATCCATTATTGACCCCGCAATCTGGTAATTTGTGGATTTAAAATTCCTAATTTCTCTGTTCATGCATATTAATTCCAAGAAACATAATGTTTACGACTACAAGTTATTATTTTCAATAGGATCGGGATTGCTGGGTGAATATGACGACGAGTGAATGTTACTGGGTTGGTTTGTTAGCCTGCCCCAGTATGGCATTCATCTGGGTAAAAGCCATGATTTTTTTCCCCTCTGACTTTTTAGCTATATTTGAGAATTAAAGAGTCTGAGTTACAGTGACCATGTTGTTTTTAAAATTGTGTACTCTTATTTTTACCCCTAAAGAGGAAAACTATGTAAGCTTATCCCCCCCTTTGGAACAGTCCACCAACTTCTCAGAGCTTAGCATTGTTTTTGGTGATTAGCAGTTTATTGTAATTGCTTAGCAATTTGAGACATGTGGGGCTTTTTAAAATGGAAATGTGAATAAGGATGATTCAGTTTAGCTCTTTCTCAGGAAGTAGTTGATCAATCTGGTTTTAATTAGCATCCCCTTTGATTTTCTTGACTTTGAAGACTAGCATAAAGTAGTTTACTTCACGAGTTAGGTTCTTGTAGTGATTAGTGGTGAGGTTTGCAATATAAAGTTGATATTCTGAATAATGCAGCCATGTGACCTTTGACACGATAATGTTAAACATTTGAGACTTTAAGAAATCTAAAATTTCATGTTGTTTCAGCATCATTGTCTCATGGTGTAATCTCTTACAAGAGTAACTGAATTAGCTAATCATCATTGCCTCTGATTTCTAGGTTTCAGCCTTAAAGCACTGAGTGGGAGGGAAAGCTGGAGTCGGAGGAGGCTAAAATTACGGTCAAAGAAGGCATTGAGGTATTACATATAGCCCATGCGAGGGTAAAATGTTTTGGAGCATGCATACATGTGTAGACTGCAAGCACAAAGGCGGTTGCATACCGATCTCTCATGTTTAAATTATTTTGCTTTTACACCTTATGCTTTGGTTCCCAGTACCCTAGAGAAAATAATAGTTGTAACAATCTTGACAGGGGAATAATTTGCCTTTAACATTTCACATCCAATTCATGATTAGAAGTCTGTAATACCTGATGCTTTCTTGATGCTGCAGGGTTTGGCACTTTTTTATGTAGGGCTAGATTGTAATTTGAAATGGAGAAAGCTATCCAGATAGATTTATATCTGTAGAAGGAATCTAAGAGGAGGCAGGGAGGGTACTATCTTTAATCCTACCTTAGCTTGGTAAGGTAGGTAGCCTCAAATTCTGTTATTGCTGGAAAGCTTTTTCACTTTATATACCTTCCCTGCCTTACACATTTCCTCAGGCAACTGTTTTATTTTTGTACAGAGAATCATTTCTGCAGTTTGAACAGGGTAAAGTAGATATTTTGTAGGTTATTAGTCGCTTAAAGATCCATCCAGGCTACTCACTATTAATATGGTCCATTAGCTCAACAAATCTGTACACTTTGGGCAATGGCTTTTTATTCGGGGGAGGAAAAGACTGAGGATTATCTGTTCAAGATTGTTTTAATTGGTGATTCAGCGGTCGGAAAATCTAATTTGCTTGCAAGATTTGCTAGAGATGAGTTCTACCCTAATTCAAAGTCAACTATAGGAGTAGAGTTCCAAACCCAAAAGATGGATATCAATGGTAAAGAAATCAAAGCACAGATCTGGGATACAGCTGGTCAAGAGCGGTTCAGGGCTGTTACATCCGCATATTATAGAGGTGCTGTTGGAGCTCTTTTGGTGTATGATATCAGTAGACGCCAGACATTTGATAGCATTGGCAGATGGCTTAATGAACTCCACAGTAAGTCATTTGACAGTGTCCCTTGTTTTTTACTTAATAGCTTTCTCCCAATACATATTTCTTCTGGTACTCCACAGTAAGTTCTTATCAACAAAATGCAATATTTAGTTTGCCTTCTTGGTAACCTTAATTGGGAATCCCACATGCCAACAGATGATTTGTATGAACTATTAGCCTTTAAAATCTTAGATACATTGAGGAAATGGTGGTGATGCTTTATGCCTTAGGGCTTTGCATAGAGAAGGTGTGAGTATCCTTAAAAAAATTGGATGATGAATGTTTCATCCTCACCATGTATATCTGCTGGGAATGTCTTATTTACACTCTCAAACTATATTTTGATGGTTCACTTTTACATTCTTTGCCAAATACTATTTAGTGGACTATTTTGAATGAGGTAATGGCTATTAGTTGTAAATACAATATCCCTGTCAATTTGTTATTCCTGTACCCCTCTGGCTTCAAAAGATTCCTAGCATTTATCCTTAATTAATGTGATGGACTGAGGATTGATCAGGTGGATATACTGTTGAACAGCTCACTCCGACATGAATGTAGTTACAATACTTATTGGTAACAAGTCTGATCTCAAGGATGCCAGGGAGGTACCTACTTCTGAAGGCAAGGCGTTGGCGGAAGCACAGGGTTTGTTTTTTATGGAAACATCTGCTCTTGATTCATCCAACGTTGTCGCCGCCTTTCAGATGGTTGTGAAAGAGATCTACAACATACTAAGCCGCAAAGTTATGATATCTCAGGAGCTCAAGAAACAGGACCCTGGCTGGGTGGGGAATGGGAAGACGGTAGTTTTACAGGGAGACGGGAACCAAGAAGACGCAGCTGCTGAGCCTAAAAAAGGTGGGTGCTGCTCATCTTAGGGATACACAACACATGAGGGTCTGGACGGATCTTTTTGGCGGGTCCCAACTAGCCTCTTTTATTTTTCAATTCAAGTTCCTTGCCTTCCTTCTTCTCCCTGTGATCTAATTTCTTGAATTTGTTTAAATGTTCATTCAAGAAACATGTTTTCACTCAATCTGGTTGAAGAAAAGAAAATTGAGGTAGAAGATGTAAATGACCCGAAAGGTGGATTAGAAAGCTTATACAATGTTCAAATTCAGTAATTTATGCACTGTACTTCTCAGCCATTTTTTTGTTTTTCATTTATTGGTTCCTTATTTTTAATGCAATATGTGAACTCGTTCCTCTGCCTTCTAGGTTTGTTATCTTATTTTCCTTTTCTTGTGATTTCTTGGAAAAACTTTCCAGTCAGTAGACTAGTGTGTAGAGGGGCTAAGTTTATGTGATTGACTCTCATATGCCTTGCTTACTCTGGTCAATTTCGTGTATTGCATTGGTGAAGATGATGATGCATATATTTCTCTGGATAATTCCCTATAACTTATAAGAGCCACAATTGATCAACAAATTAAAATAAGAGCCGCCAGCAAAATTCAATGATCTTTGGAGGACTCGGAAAAATCAGTCCCATCCCAACCCATTTTCCCAAACAGAAAATGAGAAAATTTGCCTCGTGGTTAATTAGATAGATAAAATAATTAGGATGACAAAAATGCCCCAAATTATGACGTGGCAATATTTTATTGCCTCCTATCCTACTACTACCTCCGAAGTCCGAACGCCCACAACACCATTTTACTCTTTACTTGGAGAGAGCGCGAATTGAAGGATCAGGTTTGTGTCTTTTTGACTGCGAAATCAATTTGGGAATTAGGGCTCGGCCCAAAAAAAAATTTGAAAATCATGGGGCGGCTGTTTATAGAGACGCTGAGTGGGCCAAGGATCTTCAAGTGCAGGTATTGCAAGGTGGACTCTGCGTCCCGCGACGACGTCGTTTCCAAGGAGTTTCAGGGCCGTTATGGCAGAGCCTATCTCTTCAGGAATGTGTAAGCCATCCAATTCAACCCTCATTTCCTGTACCTCTTGGTGGTTCTCGCTTTGGTTCGAAATGGATTACATTGATAACATTGCTATTTTTTGTGGAAGCATAAATGTTATTTCATTATTTCAAAATAATGGCCAAGTAAAATCTTGTGCGTAAAAATGTTGACTTGATGTTGAGTCTTACAGATGTGTTTATGCTATGATATGATTTGGGTTTGTTACTTGTTCTGATCGTTGAGCATTCTTTTTTCAGGGTAAATATATCTCTTGGGCCTATTGAAGAGAGGCAACTCATTAGCGGATTGCATACTGTGAACGACGTATATTGTAGCTCTTGCCAGCAAATTATGGGCTGGAAATATGTAAGTTCTAAAGCCTGTTGTGATTTTTAATTTAGGTTCCATGTTTATGCATGATCCGCGATCCATTTTCGAAGACAACTTAATGGAAGGATTCACAAGCTTGTCTACTTAAATCTAATGTAATATGAAAATGCTATTCTCTTCAGCACTCTCACATCAAGTGGGTCTTGCTAAATTGGCATCTTTGGCTGTCGTGATGATGCTACACATGGACCTTGTTCATGCTCCGCTTCAATGCTTAAGCATGGATTTTAAACTGATCAGCGGCTGTTAAACTTGTAGGATCCTGCTATGAAGTAATCATTTTTAAAAAAACCTTGCAATAACAGCTTTTTTGATCAATTTAGTGGTGGCTGCTTCTCCTTGTGTTGTGTGATTACTATTTTCATTAATGGGGTGTGGTCTAGATTTTAGACTAGTGGTGGACTCAAGGGGGATGGTCTATTTTTATGATGTGCTTAATTAGACTAGCCCCATCTTTAGATTTCAGTTTATTTTCCGGTACTCTCTGATCATGTGGTCCAATTTTATGTTTGGAAATCTCTTAGCCACTTATGAAGATTATAGTGTGCAAGTTCTGGTTTAAACTAACTGCTTTTGATTTTCATAATCCTAGGACAAGGCTTATGAGCCAAGCCAAAAGTATAAAGAAGGAATGTACATCCTAGAGAGGGAACGGATGCTGAAGGAGGGTTGGTGATGCTTGGACAGGAAACATTTGCGAGAATAGACCAAAAGCCATCTCTTTGCAATACTATACACTTTCTGTAAGTAAACAGTGTTCATCCAGATTGCAGCTGGTGCAACTTTAGGATAAGACCTTTTTGATTCTGAGCACCAAACGGCAATAATAGTGTTCTGTTTATTGGATTTCTTGCTGTCTTTGAAATAGCTTCAGAAAATGATTATGGAATTGTGTCATGGTTTGGCAAATGTTGTGGTTTCATGTTAATGCTTTATGTAAAAGACACAGTAAGCGGCCGTCATGAAATGATTATGGAATTGTGTCATGGTTTGGCACATGTTGTGGTTTCATGTTAATGCTTTCTGTAAAAGACACAGTAAGCGACCGATAATCTTGAGATGAAATAAAGTTGGAGGCTAAAATTCTTATTGATTTTGTTGTGTCACCATCTGAAATAAATGGATATGTTGTATCAGTAACTGCATATTTTGTGGTGTCTTCCTGAGCTAAGCTTTTTGAAGGTGACTTGAAAGCTCGAAGAGGCGATAGCTTGAAATGGCGTTATATGTGGCCTGTAACCAAGCAGAAACCAAGCAATTTTAGCATATGATGTCTGCAAACGAATGTCCTAGTGCTAATCTAACAGAGTGAAAATGATATATCTTCTTCGCACGGTAATTTTTTGTTGTTCTTTGTTGGAGGAAAAAACCCACCGTTGGTGAAAGTAATTTAAAACCTCGAATCGAACAGAATCAAATTGCTGGACAATTGTCAAATGCGGACCATGAACATCTTGATGTAACCCCACGAATCTCTATTGAGATCGTTCATTTGATTGCAAGCAGCCTAATTAGGAGAAATTTTTCAGTGACTGATTGAAAGAAAGCTAATGCCCTGCGATTTGAATTAACAACCAATAAAATGTGACAAATTTGCAACTGGGGTCCACCGTCCACAGCCTTGACAATAAAATGTGGCAAAATTGTTTGTTTTTCTCAAAATAAAATCAAAATAAGCAAAACCCTTTAAACCCTTGTCTCTCTCCCCGGCCTTCTCTCTCGACCAAAGTAGATGTTAGCTATTTCAAGAATGAAGGCCCTCATCTCCGCCACAACGTTCTCAACCTACTCCGTTCCTCACATCTCCAAGACCACACCTTTGGCCCTCTCATCTTTAGCCTCTAAGTCCTTTTCATTCAACCCACCAACCCTTTTCCAGAACCCCAATCTTCTCCTCCCAAATCCCAATCTTTTTGTGCCCAAAACCTGCATTTCTTCAGTTCAGAACCGATGTATGCAAATGGAGACGGCTTCTCGCCAACGGTCCGGTGAGATTCACGTGATCGTCGGCCCAATGTTCGCCGGCAAGACCACGACGCTTCTTCGTAAAGTTCAATCCGAGAGAGGCGATGGCAGGTTTGACTCTCCACTGATTTTGTTTTTTTTTGGTTTTGAAGTCTGAATTTTATGTGACTTTCCATTTTGTAGTGGATCATGGATGTTACTGTTTTGTGCCGAAGATGAATCACTAATTGACTATTGAAGTGGCTTTTGAGATTTTGAATGTTGGGATATTTGTAGTACATGAAATTTGAAGTTCTTCAGTTTTATACTTCATGCGAGTTGTTTCTTTAATGCCAAGCCGAATCATTGGGCTTACTTTCTTTGTTGAATTTTAAAAGGTTTGCATGCGTATGTACAGTTATAGTTACATATTACATACTAGTGTGGAACTTGTTATTTACACTGACTGATGAGTGATGGTGCTTATGTTACATAGGGTCTGAATGTCCACATGTAGATTGATTGATTGATTGATTTATGTAGGACTAGTGATGTTAATTGTTGCCTTTTCTGAGACTGAGAATTAAGCAGCTAATTTGGAGCATGTATGCCAAGTTCATGGAAATTCTTTTCCATTGACATGTGATTCGGGTGAACTTTCAGTTTCTGTGTCATCATTGTTCAATAGTTGACTTTTACCAATTTATTGGATCCATTGATTGAGTACATAAATCACCAGTAAGAAATTCCAGCTTTCAGGTCAAGCCCCAAAAGCACATCCCAGTGGATAAAACACTGAAGGGACTCTGCTATTCAGGAAGATTGGCAGAAGCCATTGGGCTATTGTGCCATACAGGGTTAGAGGTAGACCCAGACACCTATGCTCTTCTATTGCAAGAATGTATATTTAGGAAAGAGTATAAGAAGGGGAAAATAATTCATGCACAAATGATCGTTGTGGGGTTTGTTCTCAATGAATATTTGAAGACCAAGTTGTTGATCTTGTATGCAAAATCAGGAAATATAGGAACTGCCCACATTTTGCTTGATAAGTTGCTTGAGAAAAGCTTGGTTTCATGGAATGCAATAATTGCAGGGTATGTGCAAAAGGGACTGGAAGATGTGGGATTGAGTCTTTATTACAAGATGAGACATGGTGGTTTGATCCCAGACCAATATACCTTTGCATCAGTGTTCAGGGCGTGTGCCTCTTTAGCAACACTGGAGCATGGGAAGCAAGCCCATGGTGTCATGATAAAGTGCCAAATTGGAGAAAATGTTGTAGTCAATAGTGCCCTCATGGATATGTACTTCAAATGTAGTGATTTATGTGATGGGCAAAGGGTATTTGATACATGTCAAAATAGGAACGCCATTACCTGGACTGCTTTGATATCTGGTTATGGTCAGCATGGAAGAGTTGTAGAGGTCTTAGATTTTTTTCATAGCATGAAGAGTGAAGGTTTCAGACCAAATTATGTTACTTTTATCTCAGTTCTTTCTGCTTGTAGTCATGGAGGTTTAGTTGATGAGGCTTGGGAATATTTTTCTTCAATGACAAGAGATTATGGAATTCACCCAAGAGCACAGCATTATGCTGCCTTGGTTGACCTTTTAGGACGTGCTGGGCAGTTAGAAGAGGCCTATGAGTTTGTTTCGAACTCACCTTGTAAGGAGCACTCAGTGATGTGGGGTGCTTTTCTTTGGGCTTGTAGAATTCATGGAGACAGAGACTTGTTAAAGCTTGCAGCAAAGAAATACTTCGAATTGGAACCAGAAAATGCTGGAAAGTATGTAGTCTTGTCTAATGCTTATGCCACTTTTGGGTTGTGGGACAATGTTGCTAAGCTTAGGTCTATGATGACGGATTCAAGGATGAGAAAGGAGCCTGCTTATAGCAAAGTAGAGGTTCAAAAAGAGGTCCACTTCTTTCTTAAGGGTGATACATATCACAAACAATCCAAGGAGATTTATGAGATGGTCAAATTGGTTGATTGCTCTCTAAAGGATTCAGGTTATGTTCCTCATTTAAGTGGAAGCTCATTTATGTAATGGAAAAGTGCTTATTTCCTAGGAATGTCTCTCTTTTGCCTGTCTTGTAAAGAACTCGATACATAAGTGCTTCATGCTTGAGATGTCTACTTTGGTCTTGTCTGAAAAACCAATTAAACATGCAGTGATATACTCACAGAAAGTTAACTAATCAGTGTCATAAGCGTGATAGAAATTGCAGTCTTTAGGAAGTTGAAAAGCATGTAAGAGAGAAAATTGTTTATATTCAGTTCATGAGCCCTATGCATGCCAGAAGCTTGCAAGTGTTTTTTCCTTTAGGTTCTTAGTGAGAAGAAGAAAGCCACACAAATGTAGATGATACTTCATAGAATGTATCAGCCAAGTTCTTAGTAAATACTTTTCCAAAGCTTCAGCTTGATAACTAGAAGTTGAGAGTTGATGTTTATATGCAGGGGTAATACCCCTAGTACTGGACATTAATAACTATCTCTAGGATTGATCTTTGCAATGTTGGAGGACTCTCATGATTGTTGGTATGCAGCGCACATCCAAGAGGAGAGTCCATGGGCCAAGTTTTTTCATGGTCAACTTCCCCATAAGTCATTAATCACAAGATGTAAGCAAAAGAGGTAAAGATATTCACCCTTTCTAAGTTTTTAGTGCTACCTCTGAATGATGCTTAAATAATGTACGTTGAACCTTGTATCCATATACTTCCAAGTTACTGTTAATATTTTTTCGAGATGTAAATGTTTCTGGTTTGTTTGTAGGCAGAGGGCTAATCTTTTTGAGCTCTTGTTTGAAAATTGTTACATATCTTACTGGATTCATGCTTATCATTCATTAATTCCTTTGAATAACTCTTTGGCAGAAATGTTGCTATAATTAAATCAAGCAAGGATACAAGATATGGATTAGATTCAATTGTGACGCATGATGGGGTCAAGATGCCGTGTTGGGCGTTAACACATCTATCAGCATTCAAACAAAAGTTGAGCCCTGATGCATATGATCAGGTATCGTAGTGCCGGTATTTGATTAGATAGCAATTCTTATTTGAAATTATTATAGTTTCACTGTTATCTAGGTGACAAATTGCATATTTTGTCCATGTACAATTTATGTTACTCATAATTACTATGCGGTGACAGCTAGATGTAATTGGTATTGATGAAGCCCAATTCTTTGACGACCTGTATGATTTCTGTTCTGAAGCCGCTGATCATGATGGTAAAAAAGTAATAGTCGCTGGACTAGATGGTGACTATTTAAGGTATTATTTCAATTCTCCACGAGTTGAGGTCCTCAAGCTCATTCTTTGACTTTGCAATGAGCAGTTCTTGCCTGTTCTTCGGAAATATTATTCCCTTTTGATTTGATGGTCAATTCAAAAATTGATGGCAGGAGGAGCTTTGGTTCTGTGCTAGATATAATTCCTCTTGCTGATTCTGTAACCAAGTTAACATCTCGATGTGAACTTTGTGGGAACCGGGCTTTCTTTACATTAAGAAAGACGGAGGAGATGCAGACTGAGCTGATTGGCGGGGCTGAAGTCTACATGCCTGTCTGCCGGCAGCACTATGTTGGTGGACAAGTAGCCATAGAAGCCGCGAGAGTTGTCCTGGAATCTCAAGTTCAGTGCGGTTCATATGCGTAGTAACTTTTGCCAGTTAGTAGGATATATCTGTATTCTGCAACCTCCTTACATGTCTTATTGGAAAGTTTACACTTTGCTGGATGACCCTTTAGACAACATGTTGATAGGGAATATTACACGGTCTCGATCAAGAATGTATATATTCTTTTCACCAACCAAAGAATGTGACAAAAAGAAGAAGATATCTTTTGCTTCTCCTGTTAATTCGTTTAAACATGATTGCTGGCAATTCATGCTTCAATTATTTTATTTTATTTTTTCCAATACAGAAAATGCCGTAACAGATAAATTTATGCCGGTTGAGATAGTTTTTTCGTTTGACACCACCATAAAATTTTGAGGCATTCGAAAATGAATAAGCCCTAGAGTTGGAAACCTTTCAATCTCTAAATGGTAAATACATAATGACAGGCTCCTGAAACCAGTGGGATGCGTGTGTACTTCTTAAATATATTCGCCGTGCAATTATACTATTTAAATATATGAATTATATTTTATATAACAAGTATAGCACGGCTATACTTCTAGGTATATTCGAATATTTAAATATTATAGCGGAATAATAGAGAACCAGAAATTTTGGACTCTCTGCAGTAAAGTTTGGCCCGAATGTGCTGAACATGTATTGGTTGCCGAAAGTAGTTCAAGCCTAGAGCTAAGCCAGCCCAAAATTGTCCACAAGACCTCGTTACAGCAGTTGAGTTGGTAACCGAGGCCCGAATGGGAGCCTGAGAAACTAGAGCACATGTTTTCTCTCATGACTCGATGGCTTTCGAAGACCTTCCATTTCCCTTCCATGTGCTTGCACCGGTATGTATTACTCTCAAAGTTTGATCTTTCTTTTCTCATTTTTCTATTCAATCCCTTTGACGGTTTTATGGATTTTATCTTTCTTCTTCCTTAGTTCTTCAAGCTTCAGAAATTTTCAGCCGAAATGGTTCTCAGGTGTCCCGAATCTCTGTAAAAGGGCTCATGGCCAGTTTGCTTATCAGGTTTTTCGAATCTCTGGTTTTCTTGTTTGTTTCTTAAAACTCTGAGCTACCCATTTAGAGTAATGTTTAGAAGACTACATATTTCAACCCCTCTGACAATAAGGTTACAATCTTTGTTAAAAACCCACTGTTTTGCAATTTTCTCAGCTGGATATGTTACGGATACCAGTGATAGGGTCTTAAATACTAATGGGTCAGAGTCAGAGAATGAATGGGAGAAGTTGCTTAAGCCGTTTGACCTCAATGAACTTAGGAAGTCACTTGTTCAAATCACTCCAATTCAGCTTTGTAAGTTACTTGAACTTCCACTCGATGTGCCCACTTCGATGGAGATATTCGAGTTGGTAGGTGCCCAGAAGGGCTATTGGCATTCTTTTGATGTGTACTATGTGTTAATTGATAAGCTTGGGGCGGCCGGGGAGTTTAAGGTTATAGATAGGCTGTTGATGCAGATTATGGAGGAAGGGATTGTGTTTAGGGAGTCCCTTTTCATTATGATTATGAAGCATTATGGGAGAGCAGGTCTGCCCGGACAAGCAACTAGGCTGCTTTTGGATATGAGAGGTGTTTATTCTTGTGAACCAACTTTCCGATCTTATAATGTTGTATTGGATATACTCGTGGCTGGGAATTGCCCAAAGGTTGCTCCCAATGTCTTCTATGACATGTTGAGTAGGGGTATCTCTCCCAATGTCTACACATTTGGGGTGGTTCTGAAAGCACTTTGTATGGTTAATGAGGTGGATACTGCTTGCTCGCTTCTGAGAGACATGACAAAGCATGGGTGTGTGCCAAATTCAGTGGTTTACCAGACTCTTATACATGCACTCTCCAAGAATAATCAAGTGAATGAAGCATTGAGACTTTTGGAGGAAATGTTTTTGATGGGTTGCACACCTGATGTTCAGACTTTCAATGATATTATCCATGCTTTCTGCAAGGTCAATCGGACTCATGAGGCAGCAAGGTTAGTTGATCGGATGCTTCTTCGGGGGTTTACTCCTGATTATGTAACTTATGGTGTTTTAATGCATGGATTATGCAGGACAGGGCAAGTTGAGGAAGCAAGGGCATTGTTGAACAAAGTGCCTAGCCCAAATATTGTGCTTTTTAATACCTTGATAAATGGGTATGTTATGAGTGGACGGTTTGATGAAGCCAAAGTTGTTCTATATGATGGTATGCTAGGTAGTGGCTGTGAACCTGATGTATATGCATTTAACATACTGATTCATGGACTCTGCAAGAAGGGCCGTTTGGGTTCTGCTCGTGAATTGGTCAATGAGATGGAAATTAAGGGTTGCAAGCCCAATGTGATAACTTACACCATATTGATTGATGGGTTCTGCAAGGAGGGTCAACTGGAGGAAACTGGTGATGTTTTAAATGAGATGTCATACAAGGGATTAAGTCTGAATATTGTGGGATACAATCGTTTAATATCTGCTCTATGCAAGGATGGGAAAGTTCATGAAGCTTTAAAACTGTTTAGTGAAATCTCAAGCAATGAATGTAAGCCAGACATATTTACATTTAATTCTCTAATATATGGACTGTGCAAGGTTGATAAGATGGAAGAGGCCTTAGGGTTGTACCGTGATATGGTACTGGAGGGTGTTATTGCCAACACTGTTACTTACAACACATTAATTAATGCTTTCTTGACTAGAGGTGCGATCCAAGAAGCACTTAAGCTTGTAAATGAAATGTTATTTAGAGGATGCCCTCTTGACAAAATAACCTATAATGGGCTAATAAAGGCACTCTGCAAAGCTGGAGCTGTTGAAAAAGCAAGGGGATTGTTTGAAGAAATGATAATGAAGGGACTTCATCCCAATAGTATCTCATGCAATATTTTGATTAATGGTCTGTGTAGAAGTGGCAAAGTATATGATGCACTTGAGTTTTTAAGAGACATGATTCATCGGGGTTTGATGCCAGACATAGTCACTTATAATAGCCTGATAAATGGTCTGTGCAAGTTGGGACGCATTTCGGAAGCTTTGAATCTCTTTGATAGGTTACAAGTTGAAGGGATATGTCCTGATGTTATTACTTATAACACTTTGATCAGTTGGTATTGCAAAGAGGGCATGATTTATGACGCTTGTTTACTTTTAAATAGAGGTGTGAATAACGGGCTCGTTCCAAATCATTTGACTTGGTATATACTGGTCAGCAACTTATCTAAGGAAAGAGATGAGGGTAATCAGCGCTATATTGTTTAGGGATTGAGAGGAAGCTTGATTTTACTTTCCTCTAGTGCAAATCATTGCAAATACTAGAATCCCTGTGGTATTGTTTGGATGTCTGCCCTCTGAGCATTTATGCTCATGGTAATTTGAGGTGGATATGGAGGTACTTTATTATGATTTTCTGCCCGGAAATGATACTCCAGATTTTGATTTGAGCTCTTTTGAGTCATATTTGGGTTGGCGCTTAGGGAACAAACTGGCTGGCTGTCTCATCTCGTCAAAAGTTTTTTGCTGGTTGAAGCAGAACAATTCACATTATGATGTGAGAGGTAAATGCAATCCTGGCCGACCTAACATGATATACAATATACCTGCATTAACTATTTACTTAGTTTACTTTTGTGTTGATTGAGCTTAAGGTTCATTCTTCATGTAGAAATTTTCTAGTAGCTATTCCAAATTCGTATTTCATCCAGACTCTGACATAAGTGAATCTGTATCATTCGGAAGTAGTAGCTTGCATCCGTACTGTTAGGAAGTTTCTAGAGGTACATATTGTAAAGAGGCCTTGTGGTGATTTTGGTGAAAGAGATCATATGCATGCTTCTATATTTATATTCTGCTAGGCTGTACACACACACACACACGTATATAGACATCATTTTTTATAAAATGTCTATGAAAATAATTAGCGTTTTCCTTCCAAGTTCTGAATGCAAATGTGTAAGTAGGAACTTTTAGTAATAAATAGTATAATAATGTTTGTTGGGACCCCTCAATTCACAAATCTACAATCGTTGCTGTACAGTTTCTGTATAATCCCATGATAGTTGGTACGTACTAATTATTTATTTCTTCAATGATAGATCACATGGTATGTGTCTTTCCACAAGGCTTTGATTTTTATCATGTTACATTATCAGCTTAAGGAGCTCATTATAAACCCAGGTTTATGCTTGCAAGCACTCGGCAGGCAAAATTGAGTGGAGGAGCTGGAAAATAGTAATTCATCAAAGGATCAAGTTATCAACTTGTCTAAAGGACGAACAGCATTCGTAATTCTTAAGGTTGTTCTCCATACTCCTCAGACGTTTTTGGCTTTCAGTCCACATGATCACTATATTTATGCCATATCTTTCATGGGGAATCCTCATTTGTAATCGATACGAGTACAATATACAGCTTGTTGTTTGGTACTGGAGGGTTACGGATCCTGATTTGTTTCTTTTACATATTTATGATCTTGGCTGGCAAGTGCTGGTTCCTGATACTTTTATTTGTTTTTGTATTTTTTGGTAACAGGGAGCTTTTAAAGTGTCATATAGAAGAGGTTATGGCCATGATCTGATAAACCCAATGCAGCACGTTTTGGATAATCATTTACCTTGGTGGGGCTTGGAATTGTGCAAATTCCAGTCAGAGCTGATCCATGACAACATGTGATTTTCATTTTAAAATCATGATGCTGTTCTGTTCTCGTGATTTTTCTACCCTGGGCTGATACAACATTGGTTATTATAAATGCGAGACAAGCAGCATTTTTGTACTTTGTTTCTGCTCGAACAAATTTGACAACATATGTTATCGTCATTGCTGCCGTGATTTTTCATGTTCATATTTATGTTCTGTTCAAACTGGCTTCACTTGGGTCATTTTAAGATAGCATCCGTCCAGCATGTCTAAAGATCTTTAAGGTGATATCATATTTCTTTTGCTAACAGTATTGACGAGTAGCTAATCACAATTAGCACCAAAATCTTTTTAGGATCAGATTGTACACTTGGATTTCATATATGATTTTCCGACCAAAATGAATTCAGGAATCGAACAGCTTTGCAAGAAATCAAAATAAACTTTTGGGAAATAATCGGATGATAATAGCAAAGTTGATTAAAAAGTTTATATTTGGAAAACGCAAATTACAAAGCAGAAATTAAAAAGTAAGAAAAAAAATGAATACGAAATATGACAATGCCTCAGAATTGCAGAAAGTCAGCACGGCTTATAAATAAGCCAATCAGTCCCGAAAGATGGTGTGTTTTATGACTGATTTCATCACCGGCAAAGACTTAAAAATATTCCAACAAAACAATATCATAAAATTACGAAGAGAAAAAATGTCGGTCTCATGGCCAATCCCAAATGGTAATGGCAGTAAACACCGCTCCACAAGGCGATAGGATATGACACCACTCGTCGACGGAGGAGCTCCATCCCAGGAGGGAGGGAGGACCATCAACGTCGACGAGAATTTGTATGCGACGTTTACTTGGGAATGTACAGACACCAATTGCCTGCTCCTTCAAGTTGGAGACTGATCAATGTCCCCCGTCACAAATTTCACAATTTTATCAAACAAATAGAAAAGCTTTTTGCAAAATCTTGACGACCCAATGGTCCCCATATTTGGAAAACAATAAATCTTATAGCTAAACTCGATGAACAATCAACCTGACTAAAAAGGATGAAGCCTTGATGATCGATCAAACAATATCTCATATGAAACTAAAAACCATAAAGAGACTGACTGAATGAAACCGATACCAATTTTGCTGCTGAACCCTAATACCAGAAGAAGGAATAGGCGCAAACTAAAACCCTAGCACCGAGATGGTGCAAATCTGATTTCTGGTACAAGGGGAGGAGGATATTTATAATGTGAGTGCTTTAGGTCATGACCGTCCGATGCGTATCGTGTGACTGGGAATGAGTCATAGTTAAACACGGTCGCCGACAATGAAATTAGGGTTTTACTGACCTTTTTTCCTTTTGGGCCGTAATGTTTGGTTTTGGGACTCAGGCCCAGAAAATAAACAGTATTGAGATTGGCCCAGATGAATATACGAAGCCTGCATCTGTTTAAGGAACTCCGTATAAATCCAAATGGTAATTTTTTTGACACGAGCTATATTTGGACCGGGGGATTCAAGAACATATTTTTTTTTTTTGAGATAACTACTCTTAACCACTTGAGCTATATAACCTATGCATTCGAATGGTATTTTTCATTATTACAGTTTGGTCTTATTGTTGATCCGCACATCCATACACTAGATACAAAATTAATCCACATTTCCAACAGAATCCAGATATGCTATAATTTATGTTTCTTTTATTGATTTTCAACAGGTGTGAAATAATTTACTGTGATTACAGAAACAGCCATAGCGCATTTGAATCACACCAGACGTATACATTACAACACCAGAAGAACAAACTTACATTTTTCCTACAAATTATACTAAAGCACTCATCAACTACTCTTCTAGTTGGATGAGTTGAAACAATAAGGGTGGGTGGCTCTAAACTTTTGACTCCTAAGGCTTTTAAAAGACAACAAACAAAATTGCACAACATCAACAACAACAACATAACACTAACACTAACACTAACAGTTTCTTTGAAATTGAGCTCCTCCTGATGAGATCAATCAATCAATCATAGTTAGTCTAGGGGGACGCCACTGTCAATGAAACTCAGCACTTTCCTTCCAAATCCACTCATGAGTTCATTCCGATTTTGTTCGAGCTTTGCTAAAAGCATTTGATAAAGGGGACTATTTGCACGCTTTGTGGCCTTCAATGCTGTTTGGATCACGTAGTTTCCAAATTGATCCCGCGCAATTTGCGACAGTTTTTCATACTTGAGAAAAGCATTTACTACATAATCTGTCTCAGAAGAGTTCAAGCATTTCTCTATAACATGACTCCCACCTCTTTGTGAAGAGAGCTTTATGTACAGATCCCTCAGCTCAAAGCATATCTTTGCACAGAAGACAGGGTTATGGAGTCCCAGGACGTGCTGGACAACAAAGTTCCTGAATGACAAAGATATAATGTATTAACTAAAACAAATCAATACGATGCAAAAACCACAAATTGAAACGAGAAAAGACCAAGATGGGAGAGGGATTTGTACCCTGAAGGATCCTGAGAAAGGAGTTTTGATTTGCTTGAGATTTCATTCATGAGTCTCTCTCTGTATGGAGTTTTACTGTAGGTGATGAACTCATTCAAGTATATGCATCCCTTTTCATTCTGGGCCAGAGTGATGCAAAGCCTTTCAGCAGTTTCGTATATTTTCTGCAATCAAATCACACAACCAACCTTGTCAGAAAAGCAGGCTTAAAAAAGAACAACGTCAAAGGCAATGATATGTATCAACAGCAGAAACATAAAAAGTACCTCATTTTTCTGTGTGTCAAGGAGGTTTAAGCACTTCAATATAACAAACGACCCTGTTCGGTTGGTCATCAGTGGCCCCAATACACTGGATAGAGCTAATGTCAAGGTGTAAATCAAGGGTGATTTCTCAAGCACCTTGACAAGCCTCTGAATTGATTTTGATCTGCACAAACAAGTTCAAAGACACGAGTCCATCACAGCTATAACCATAAAACACAGACGTATATAAATATATTTCTTGAGTATTGACTGATGAAGAATAAATGATGGGGTGGGGTTAAGGATTAGATAGGCACCCAAATTTGCTGGTTGATATGCTGACAAGTGATTCAGTATTCAAAGTCATCAGTGCTACAATGTGTCTTAACTGATCGTAATTGCATGATTCAATAAGCTTCCCAAAAACATAGTATCCATGTGAGTCATTCATCACCTCGAATATGGAACCGAAAACCCCAGTAAAAATCATATCCTTAGCGAATGGGTCCTTAGAAGCCACCATGATATTTATTAAGCTCTGTGATCCGGTTTGCGTCATAGCCAGTCGAGCTATATCGGCATAAGACCGCAGCTTAAATATCTGATCACCATGGCATCCATCATTGTTAAAGCTTGACTGAGTCCCCATATAACTAGATATTCCAGAACTTGGGTACCGATCACCATTTGAATACATTCCAATCCTTTCATTGCTTCTGTAATATTGTTCTCCTGAACTTTGGTACCAATTATTAACACTAGGGTTGAGCTGGTTTGCCCAGTTGCAGAAAGATGGAGATGTTTCTCCACGACTTAATCTTGATTTTGTAGTTTCTTCTGTCAGGTTACCAAGAGGGTTGTTTGGTTGATAAGCATTGGCATGCCCATTCAGGTTGTTTGAACCCAGAAAGTGTCCTACAAAATCAAGAATTTAAATTACAAGAAACTCAAAACATATACGAAATTATACAAGAATTTGCAGAGGAGAATTTGAGGGTTTACCTCCACCGTTCAAAATATGATCTCTCCAGATACTTTGTGGATACAATGGCACTGGAACTCTAGGCGAATTAACAAATCCGCTTTCGTATTTTGGATAAACATCAGGCTGTGCTTGTTGGGTTTTGCTTGGAGAGGCATTAGAAGACGAACCCAAACAAGTATTGTTACTATTATGCACAGAGAAACCAGGTTTCTCATTCTCAAACTTGTCCGTCTTTACCCGAACCTTGCCCAAAGAAAGGCAAAGGCTTTTTTTTACTTCTTCTTCAATAGAAGAACCAGCGTAACATGAAGTCTCCATTGCAGAACAAGAAACAGGAATTACAGTGAAGACAGAGAGAGCTCCTATAAATATAATGAATGCTCGAAAGGTTCTCTGTCTGTATAGGATTGGAGTCCTTGATTAGGATTTTTTTTTTTTTTTTTTTTTTTTGTTTTTTTTTGGTTTTTTTTGTTTTTTTGGTTCAGGAGTTTATAATTTAGCCAGGAGTTCTTTGGGTTTTAAAGATGGAGAACGTTTGTGGAAACAAAATAAAGTCGGTGACTTTCCTTGGAAACAGATGCTCAAAACTTTTCCCACTCTTTCTTGCCCCAAAAGAAGACCCGACCCGGCCCAGATACATGTGGGTTGAGTTGAAAATTGGGCGTAAGCATCTTAGATTAATTCCAGCTGAACATTTAAGAAGAATGAGAAAATGTAATGACAAAGGAAGCAGAAAACAATACGTGGTAAATTAAACACTTCGAACAGAACAGGCCAAAATAAAACCCCCCACAAAGAATCTCTTATAAGTAAATCTGTATAATTAATTCATCCACAATTTGATCTACATGTATAATCCTATTCATTCAGGGCCCTTATGAATATTTTCTCATTCTCCTAATCCAAATCTGCCAGCAGCAGAGCAGTGAACCGTAGTTCCAGTTCTTTGCTCTTCCCGTTACGCGTAATTCCTCAAAGAAATCAGAGAGCTTTGCCAGCAAATTTTATGAATCCAAGAAGCTTTTCTCATCCCGTTAGCTTTCCTCTGTCATGCATTCTAGAAATATAATAGAAAAGTTAAACAATCAGTCCATAAAAGTTGCCCAACAAATGGTAGCAAACTATAACAATAGATATTCGAACACAATCAAGGCTCGGTTTCTAAGGACTCCATAATCTACCGCTGATCATGAATGGCAACCAGCATACTTCATGTCCCCCTGCCTAATTATCTCATGTTGACTGAGACAAATATATGTGAGATCTACATGCATCTCTCACAACTATTTAGAAAGTAGATAAGACATGCTTAAAATTTTTACATCTTCCACTATGAAAGTGGTAAGCAATCTTAATGAATCTTAGGGATAATAACGACAAGTTGGTGATAAAGTAACAAATCCTGCACAGCTACACCCTTTATAGTGGATCATCAACAGACATGAATGCAAGCAAAAATTGATGAATACTTTCCAACTTACTAGTCTTCAGTCAAAAACCTGTAGAGAAAAGCTACGTAAAGTCCATTGCTTTGTGTGTGGTTAAAGTTCACCTCTTGACATTAGTACATGAGGGGGTGTTTATCCTGAAATGGGATACCAAAATCTAATTAGCACATCCATGCAGATTTCTCTAGTACAAAATCAACAAAAAAAGAATACATATGAAACACCAACCAATGCTTTAAGTACATGGAAATTGCAGCTGATTATTACCATCCATGTTGGGTCCTTCAACATCTCCTCCGACCCTGATAGTTTGTCCAAATTTAGGCTTATCATCACCAGTCACTGGAACCTCTTCCGCAGACACATTCTGGTCCACTGGATCACAGATGCAATATTTAGTAACAAATACATGGACAAAAGTAAGGTTTACTGTTCCTAACATGAGCTGGGCTACTGAAAGTGAATGAGCATGTAATATAGTTTCAGGCAAAAACAAATAGCAAACTTACATGCACATTTTTCTTTAGTACCTTTCGGGCAGTTCACAGAAGTCTCATGAGCAGCAATATTTAATGTCCGTGCAAGACGTTTAACACGATTCAATCGTAGTCCATTTGGCAGCCTACCAGAATCAAAATCTCCAATTCGGAAGCCTATTTTATAAGAAAAGAAAGCAAGATGATATACGAACAAGTTCCTGCTTAACTAGAATCATCATATTAGCAGGGACATTGTGGAACTTACAAGAAGTATTATTAGCATCACCCTTTGTAATCACGTCTGCTACAATTTGGTGGTTACCAATAGCTTCACCCCCTAAATGATTCAAGGATCGTGCAAGCCGCCTTATATGACTCAAACGCAACCGTTTGGTGAAATTAGCCGATTTACAAGCTGCAGCTTCCAAGCCTGTAAAAATTTCATGTAAAAAAGAAATCATTTTGATTTTTGAACAAGTGAACAATTATAGAACACTTACACTCAGAGTAATGCAGACGTTCGGCGCTTAGCTTTTCAGTCTGAGTAACTTCTTGGGCATCATTCCCTTCATTCCCTCCTGCTGCTGCTGCTGCTTCTTCATGTTCATTGCTTATTTGCTGAGATTGGCAATCAACTTTAGCATTCTCAGCTCTCAGTCGTCTAAGTTGATAGTTCCTACGACGCCGAGCCAGATGTCGTTCTCTCTGTTCAACGGTCATAGACTGCCTTCTTTGCCTGTCCCTTATACGGCGTCGTTCCCGCTCTTGCTCCCTTTGCATTCTGCGCAATTCTGATCTATCTAACGACTCCTTCATTGTTCTTCAAATCCGTTGGTCAACATCCAACGGACTCCCAATTCTTCCACCAGAGTTTGCTACTCGTTCTGAATCAATACGACAAGCACTTCTCATGCTAAATTTTCCCCTTCAAATTTGATGATCTTTTTCTCTTAGATTAATCATTTTTTAAAAAATATAATACTGAAAAACGAAAAGAAACACGTAAAATCAAACACGACTTAGCAAATTCAAAATTCAAAAAAACTAAAAACCATATTGTGAGTCTATTATATCATTGAAAAATAAATTATAAACCTAAAATTTACAAGAAATCAGAAGTTTACCTCTACTGAAATTGATATCTGTAAAAAAAAAAAAGAGAATAGCATAAATAGAGAAAAGAAAAAGAGCATTGAGATTGAACAACATACCTCGACTTTCCTGATCAGAATTCAGAAAGCTGCAATTCATGCATTTGATCATGGAATTTCGAATCGCAAGCGGCGTGTAACTTTTTTTATTTTCTTTTCGTTTTTCACGGGGTTAATAACCGTATTTTCCGGAGAGTTACCAAGTAAGTGGTCGCTTTTACCGTGTAATATTCTGTATCAAAATGAACTAATTGTGATCCCACCCGTTTCATTTCAAATAGAAACGTGCCAAAACGGTTCGTTTGGTTGTTTTCGATATTCTAAACTTCTATAATGTTTATTTGGTTGTTGTTTTCAATATTCTAAACACTATAATGTACAAAGATCGATATTCTAAACTACTATAATGTTCGTTTGGTTGTTGTTTTCAATATTCTAAACAACTATAATGTACAAAGAGAAGGATCGATGCCAAGACAGCTCCGGTGTTTCGGACACCTTTGGGGCTACCTGTCCAAGGCCACCAGCTCCTCCAGTCAAATTGTGTGCGTTTGGTTGGAGAACTGGTTGCTTGACTGAAATTAGAAATTTTGGTGGTGGGGGGGGGGGGGGGGGGGGAGGGTGGGGGTGTTTTTTCAGATACTCCTCAAACTGCTGCCGTTCTTCAAATAGTAATTAGATAAATGCACTTATATTGGATAAAAGCCAAGATAATGCAGCAATGCATCACGCAGAAGAAAGTAAATTTGCAGTAAAACTGAACTGAGAGCTATTCCCTTTCTTTGCAAGGCAAACATTTACACCAAATATCGAGATTCAGGTTTGTGCCTATAACTAGGAACTCTTGCAAGAAGGCTAAAAAGTTCAGATTCTACAGAAACTACACAAATCAATCTCTCAAACTAAAACAAGACGAAAACATAAATTTTACAGTTTTGCAGTCACCACCATCCGCTTCACCTCCAAGCAGAAGACGTTACCAAAGCTCTTTGCTTCCAACCAAGGTAGAGAGCCCCATTTGCCTCTTGAAGTCTATAATTCCCATTAAATTCCTTCAACAGACTCCTTATAGCCTCCGTCACTTTAGGACTCAATGGGTATGGAGTAAACCCATCCATCGTTAGCCTTGACCTCCACTTCCCCAGAAGTTCATGTCGTTCCACCCTCTCAGCCCCCTCACAAGCAACCATGTTCACTATGTCTCTAGCCACACAGTGCATCTCTGCACTAATCCGCTGTTTGTCATCCCTTGGGCGAGCCACATCAATTGATTCAAACATGGCTGTATAATAATCTACCATCTCAACAAACCTTGCGAAGAATGGGGAAGTATTCGTGTTTGATTCTTGCTCCACCAGTGTCATAACTTTGGGTGATAAACTCTTAACCAGCCTTAGCAATCGATCTCTGTGATTCTGAGTGCTTACACTCTCATCTGGCATGTGGTGCAACACATATGGAAAATTAACAGCTATGGCTTCACCTGGTTGAATCCTAAGATTTTCTAATTCAACCTCACAACCAGACATGGCAGCATTATTAAACTCAAATGGCACATTCCATGAATTAGCAATCTGTGAAAGCCTCTGCCCTACGATATGAAGTCCCCCGCCACGAGCATGAGCTGATTGGGAATCATCAACACCGGTGATTCGGATATGTGGGGGCCCACCAGGCTGACGTGCTAGATCTTGGATGAGGGGCACCCACTGACTGCCCTGTGCAATCTGAAAATCAATGATGTGGATTCTTGGCTCATTTTCCAAGGCTTCCCGAATGACGACATTTGCAGACATGTAAGCAAACCTCCAATATGGGCATATCTGAAAGAGCACAGACATGTATGACATAAGTTCTGCACCTGTTGGAACTTCACATTTTAAGGTTTTGTAGATTGAACTCCCTGATCTTTCCAACCTTGCTCTAAGACCTTCCAACATGTAAGCACCCAATCTTTGAATTGGCTCCCCAGAGACTGACACCATTTGCCCCAAAACTTCCATTAAACTATTTGCTGTGGGTAGATCATCTTCAGCTATTGCATGTGCACAATGAATAAGAACATCCTTTAGGTTTAAGTTGGTCATTTCAGCTATTTCATTCCTATTCCACCTTGGCATATCACTCTTGTAACAACAATAGTGGCTGTCAACAATAATATCTGATTCGGGCCCTAGCAGTGAAATTTCCAGTTCCCTGAGCTTGTACCTCAATCCATTGCCATCATCAGCTACGGAGCACCCACTTATTGGTGATCCAGAAGTGTTGTCAGGGGAATGATGCTGATCAGACAAGCATGATTGAGAACCTTGTGATGAAAATGGACTCCTGTTAGACAAGCCACTAACAGCCGAAGGGGAATCACAGGCTCCAAAACCAGTAGTGGCAGGGGATGATTCCAGGGTGAAGTACTCTTCCTTGTAGGTTTGAAAGGAAACGTTGTTTCCTTGGCTTCCAGTATCTGAACATACACTGTTTTCCAAAATTTGGAAAATGGAGGGATCAATGTCCTGCATAGGCTGGTGGTGGTACAACCTGTGGATACTGGCTGTACTTCGGTGTTTCTGAGATGTTTGCATCTGAAAATATGAAATGATTGACCCGATCCAGAGAGTGATTCTCACCAGCTCTTTCTAATATATGTTCCTAAATTTGACCCAATTGCTGGTCTGTCAGAACTTGAATTGAATCTCAATAAGCAGTCCAGTATCCGCCACGTCTCAACAAGCAGCTATATGGTATGACTTTCACAAAATTGTTGGTCACCATCTGCTTGTGATATCCAGAAAAAACTTTACAGAACCACCACAATCTGCACAGAGGATAAAAGATTCTGTTAATGAAACAAATAATAAAAGTGATATGGATAAACCAAGTTTGAACAAACAAGGATCACAAAAACTCTTATGAAGAGCAAATCTAAATATACAGATAGCTGCTTGGTCCTGCCATTGTAGTTTTAACATAACACAGATGATAAATGCTAACTTGTCAACTTCTACAGCCATCCATGATTCGGGAAACAATGTCCAGGCACAGGGTCTAAAAGCAAGAAGGGTTTAGTTTATGTTTCTGTTCAATAATTGTTGGTCAGTTAGTACTTCCATTCCAAACTGCAACTCAACTGAGACTCTGGGCTCAGGTTGAATGCATAACAAAGAACCATTAACGGGCCACAATTTATGCCTCTGAGCTTCCATGAGCACTCTACTCCTATCTGCTGCTTAGACAGTTCTCCGTAAAAATTTTGACCCATTGTCTTGCTATGCCTTGCAGTGATCTCAGAGTCCTCAGATAGACATGATAGCAGTTGTTGAAATTATTGGCCAACCATCATTAAAAAATAGCAGCACTTCCCCTTTTTTCTGCTTTTTCACTTCTTGGCTGATTAGCCATACATTCCTTAAGGAAATACTTAAAACAATCAAAATATGTGACCCACTAGCTAGTAAATAACATAAGCAAATTAGATAGTCTCTAATACAATCTGACTCAGATCGAGTAGGTCATTACTCTGAACTATATTGGGTGCAAATCACAAACTTACAAGTTTTAGTATTTTAGAAGCATCCGTTGAGGAACTTAAAATCTGATGGAACCAGCCCGTATTTCATAATCTAGAAACAGATTCAAGAGAGGGATCCATATTGGGAATTAGGGAATTCAGATCTATAGTCCAGATCAATCACCAGTCAGCACCTCACAACCACAAAGTTGAAGACTATACAAACAAGCATACATAAATTTGATGGTTGATGACAAGCAAAACATGATGCTTAAAACCAACATCTTTGACCCCTGACTTAGAAAATCAAAAGTTGAAACCCAAAAATGCACGAACCAAAAGCGTTTACGACTAACGCAGCCATACTGTACATAACTTTGGATTCTATTTTTTACCCAAAGAAATTTTTAAGAAAAATATTCAGAAGTTAAAACCAAATAGCACAGGTCAATACTCTAGTTATGCCTACTCATTTCTCTCTACAGCAGCATCCACAGAGCCATAAACAAGAAAACGTGAAATTTCTGGGCACAAAGTTGTAGAGACGCGTTTTTGTGTCTATTTAAAATTCCCTATTGCAACTTCTCCATCTTATGAAAAGAAATAAAGTAACTAATTACAGAGAAAAAGGCACTTTAACAGCACAAAGGTTAGTGGGTGGGAAGAGGAAACTACAGCTGCAAGCAACATGAAAAAGAGGAGAATAAACTCAGATGCCAATGAAACCAAGAGAAGTAAATCTATTTGGCTTGTGAAACAAAAGGAAATTCGGCCTGAATCTTTTGATTTCTTAAGATGGGAAAATTTCAGCCTAATAAAATTATGAATTTGTCCTTAGATCAACAAAAATGGCACTCAAAGATAATAATTTCACAAACTTACGCCTAATAACGACAAGAGATGGCCGAAATTTCTAATTCCCATTTTCAGACGCCAAATTTGAATGCAAATCGGCAAAAAAAAAACCCACTTTTTAAAAAATTCTAACAGAAACCCTTGTTCCCTGATCATGAAATCATCCAATAGAAGTTGAAAGTTGAATCTACACCTTAAAACCAGTAAACCAAACATACAACCCAAGCAACACAGAAAACCTCATCCAAAACGATACTTCAAAAACAACAAATTTGTCAAATTTGTCGAAATTAATGAAAGCTTAGCTCCGACATACCTGAACCATAGGCAAGTCTCGTCTCGTCTCGGCTCGCTCAGCCCAGCTCAGATTCTGGCGCAATAAACCTTAATGAAGCTTTAGATTCGTCTTCAGAAGCCAGATAGTAACCGCTCTGTCATCTCCTAGAAGTATGTGTTGGTGGGCTTTGTAAGACTTTTATAGTTGTACGCTTGTAGCTCAAAACAAAAAACCATCGTGGTTCAGCTTTAATTACACGAGTTACCCCTTTTGAATGGAATGGGTGACCGTACACTTGCCTAGAAACTTGGTGCCAAATTACGATATTAACCTTTTCCCCACACGACGTTACACCGTGTGTGGTCAGCAAGTGAAGAGTAGAATATTGGCTTGATGTGCTCCTCCTGTACTTTGTAGACTTTGCAGGAGTCAAATCGATGTAAGAACAAATTACGAACTCTCTGACTTCAATAAACTCCTCCGCTCTTCATTTACTCGATCTAAGTCTTATTTTTTATTTCTTCTTTGGTCGCCATGACCAACACGCAAACGCGGTTCAGTTTCGAGCATTTTTAAAGGAGATGTCAAATATTAAACATTAAAGTTGAATTTGATCATTTATGTGGCAATTTGATACACAAGAGTTTTATCCGACATGTCAAACTAAAATATCTTTTTATTACATATTATTTATTGGTTTACTACAATTTAGGCACATTAATTGAAAAAACAAATTAATAATATCACAAGATCAAACATCAAAAAATAATAAGAAGATATAAAAATGTCATTCCACATAGGATTTACACATTTTCTATGGGAGTGAATAGTCTCATCTATTTTTTATACCTACTAAAAATGTCACGTTGAATTTAACATCTCAGCTTGAAATGCTCCATTTAATGTCACTAATAATATAGTTAATATGAAATCATGTAACAAGGTTGTTAAAAGAGCGTTGAAACTTCTAATATCTTAAACTAAAACATACGATATAATATCAGGAGATCCTCATACAATATAAATACTTCATAGACATTAAAGCAAAACTAGCCAATCTAATAGCTACAACACATCAAAAACAAAGAAAACTACTATACAATTGAGAGATTAGTCCTTCACTCGTCCGTCAAGGAAGTTGCTAGGGAAGAGGGGAGTGGACTTAAGAGTATTTTCAAGCCCCCTTTGTACGCCCAAAACATAAAGAAATTGTAGTAAATTACAAGGTGACCATTACTTTTAGTACGAGATTTGTTTGTTTATAGGTGATTGGTGTCCCATAATTTGTTCTCTAACTATAGTAGTAAAGTCTCCAATTTGTTCCCATTTTTTTCCAAAATATGATTTCAAATTAAATATATATATATATGGAAAAAAAAACTCAAATATTGGTTAATATAGATTTGTGGCCTCATAATTTGCTCATCTTCAAATAACATGCTTAAAGTAAATAATAAGTGTAATGTAGCTAATTCCCAACTTCCTCCTAATAAATGTCATGTTATTCATTATGTCACAACAATGAATAAGTTTAGCCAAGGTTAAGAAATAATTTAACTTAATCAAACGTTAGTTACAATAGAGTTCAACCAAGGCATGCTTGACGTTCTCATACTCGTCAGAGTCTTGTTCTAAAGAATCATTGCAGTTGGAGACAAATTTACATGAAAAGGACAACTACATGTGGACTAAACCATTCTTCAAAAACACAATTAAACCATATAACATGTGTTTTTTTTTAATGTGTTTTAATCGTTGATTAAAGCTTCTTCATTTTTTTATTTTTATTTTTTATACAAGCAATATTCTACTCTAAATTTATCTAAACTACAAGGATAAAGATTTGAACTCGGGTGCAGAGTGGAGAGCACATCCACTATAGCCAACTTGACTGACTACCAACACTCATACTTGACATATCATAAAAACAGAGCTATGCATGTTGTTATCAATAAAGTTAAATACTTTATGTATAAATTTGTCCTTCATTAAGCATATATAATGGACTTCTTAAACCACCTTTTTATATAAAATTTAAGGAGGAAGTGAGAAAATCCACCTCCAATCATGCTCCATATCCAACTTCTAAAATAGATAGATCTCTAAGAGATCCTATATCTAATGAGAGAGAAATGACTTCTAGTGACTTCCTATAATTAAATGCTGCTTATTTATAATTATATTTTAAGTATTTATTTAATGCTAACTATTTAATTATGTTAAAGCTTTGATTGCACAAATCTCTCAAATATATAGATTACGGAAGCTTTAAAAAAATAAGACAAATAGACCAACACCAAGGCGAGCTAAAACAGACACGCGGCGTGGAAAACTCCCGGAATTTATGTGAAACAAAGTAAGTTGTCTTGTCTGTGTGCGGTTACCGTTAACTGTTAATTTAGACAAAACCATGGGCGTTTTCGGTCCTGATTCAATTGAGTCGTTTAACATTACATGGATACAAGAGTCAAATGGCATTCCCGTAATATGATGGGAAAGAAGGACCTTCTTTCACGGAGAGCTTTTGCCTCGAAGGCCGCCACGCACCGCACATTCTCCGAACTTCCCTTGCACCTTTACTCACCATATTTTATTCAGTGTTGAACAAACGTTTTTAAAACCACAAATTAAAATGATTAAAATATATAATGACGTGGAAATTAACGTCTTCAGGTCCACTCTAACAAAAAGATCTGATGGTCTACGGAGCATGGAGCTAACATGAACCCTCAAAAATCACGATTTGATGTACGTATACGTATTATCTAGAAAAAGGAGTACACACAATTGGATTTGGATGATCTGAAATGCAAGTGTTTGACTCTTGTATAATAATTGAAATATAATTGATTTGAAGCACAAAAATAACCGAGATAGTTGAAACTACCCAATCAGGCACATGCCCAAGTCATATTTTAAAATAAATCTGAAAATGACAAAAACAAGTAGTCAGCAGCAAGATGATGCTTTTTATTGACACAATTGGTAAAACCAATAGGATGTGGAATATATACCTTATGCCCTACTTACATTACATGGACTTCGCATAGCAAAATATAATATTCAAAAAAACAAAAGCCGCATTTCTTCATGACATATAATAAGGATCGGGATGTATATATGCGTTATTATAATGTGAATACCATATATTTTTTACAACTATTCTCTATTTTTCTCTTTATTTACAATGATAAAAGGAAATATATTTATATATATAGAGAGAGAGAGAGAGAGGTATAAAAGGAAATCTCTTTTGATAGACAACAAGATGACATGTCATTTTCAGAGAAATTAATATCACATGGGATTTCAAACTCCAATGGTAATGAGCACTATCTCCAGCAAGCAACCGTTCATTTTGTGAACAAAGAAAAAAGAAAGAGAACATACATACAAGTTGCAACGACATAATAATTAAGTTGAATAACAGATAGCCACATGTCAATACTGAGGGAGATATTTTTTAAATTTTTTTATTTTGGGTTATGAATGAATGGTGGTAATTTAATAAGGAAAGGTGGAACCAACCATTACATGACACTTGAAGATTATAAATTTTGATTTTGAGTCGTAGAATCGCCATGGCCATTCTTTACCCTAGGAGTAGGAGTCAATTGTAATGATGTACATGCGTGTAACACATGCGACCTTAAGTTAAGATATATAATTGCCGAGAATCATAAAAATCAAATTACGTTTCAGACCACGAAAATCTATTAGTATTAAGTATGTGTTGTAATATGCTTATTATTACTTTATTTATGCTTTGTTATTCCGTAACTAAGTATGTCACGCACGATTGATGGTAGTATATATTTATATTGTATTGTAATATCACTCACGCTTGATCTTCTTGGCGATGAGATGATGATGTTGTGATGCACAGTTAACTTTGGGGGAAGTTTAAGCATAAAAAGGATGGATGCTGTGGGGAGCTAATTTAGCTTTATTCTTTTCCTTAGGTATTTTTATAGGGAACTGAGATCTGATAATGATGTTGATAAAGGAGAGGATAATTAGAAAGGAGAATCTTGGTGGCTGGTGCTTTGCTTCCCTTTTCATTTGCTTTAACGAAAGAAAAAGAGCAGTCTACTCTGTGGCATGCATGCACGGCCCACTTTCTTATCTTCAATGCATCACCACCATCACATTGCATCGAAGTGAGAGTGCCACTACCAGTCAAGGTTAATTTTCATGCTCGCTAAATAAATAATTCAAGGGCCATAATTTTTTGGAGGCTTTGAATTCGAATTCGAAAAAGCTCCTCCTCCATGTGTCACACAAAACAAAACGCTTGACTTAAATTCCGGGTCATTCAATAATATAAGACGAGACGACCGAAAAAGAGAGAGTAAACACTGAGATGAGAAAAGGCTGAATAAATATTATGCAAATTCTGTTGTGTGTCATCGTTACACTTACAACCACCAACCACACTAATTACATTCAAATATCAAATTCAATCCACGTACGTCACATGAATAGAGCCCACAGAGGTCATCATCTACGTCATCCAACTGTATTAGGTAATAGGGGGGATTCGGACGACGACCAGTTCAATTCAACTACACGCTTCATTACTTGATTAATGATTTATTAAGAAATTATTGGGGGTTCATTATCATCATCATTATCAACATTCAACAGCAAGTTATTATCTCTAATCCATAAAGATTTTGTCCTCATCTGGTCCCAAGTGGTCATGACGCATAAAGGAAGCTTCCACGGATGAATGGGGCCCATGTAAAGAACAACCAAAAAGGAAAACAAATAAATGTAGGAATGGAATGGTCTGAAGCAAATCTTTGAGCTCTATTATTTACTACATTTTGTATGGAAGTGGGTGGAGTTATCTTCACTTTGTGCAAAGAATAAAGGCCGAAAGCTTAAAATACAAACCCAACCCAACCCAACCCAACCCATGGTGCCCTCCTCCTCCCGGTGATGGTGATGGTGCTGGTGATGCTGGTGCTGGTGCTGGTGGGATGACATCACATCAGATTGCCATTTATAATACCAATTAAGAAAATAAGACAGTGACATGTGAAAATTAAATAATAATAATAATGAAATACTTTTTTTTAAATTTACAGCATCATTCAAAATATCCATCCTTGAAGTTGAAGGTTGGTTCTTGGTTTGTTCATATATATTAATTGTATAGATATTGAATGACACCTGCCCTGCTGCCGCCCACCGGCTCTAAAGTCCATGTGTCCACCCGCGTTTCAAAAAGACAAAGACAAAGACAATACAGATATTAGATATTGCCTTCACCTTTCCTCCGCTGGGTCGCGACTCGCGTGGAACTTGAACCTTGGAATTTGAAGGCATTTCTTGTTTATTTACGCATATAATAAGCCAATTTACCAACCCTGAAAAATAACAATTCTTTTTTATTTTCCTTATTTGTCCTATAACTTTACAAAGCCCTAATTTAGATAGATGGTGCTTTTCTGTAAAGACCTTATATTAGCTGTAAAAACTTTTACTTTTATAAATGATTCTTGTTAACTCAAGTTTATATGTCTTATCATTGATACCTCTCATAATATATATATGTGTGACAATTTCGATATTACGAATTATTCTAATATACATGGAGGGGGATTAAATTTGAGTGCACGAGAGTGTGCTCACTGCCTTATTCAACTGGTCTAACCCACAAGTTTGAAAAGTATGCTTGGTATGTCCAACTTAACATGGAAAAGTTATTGACTCTCACTTTTATTTTGACCAACTTATGATGCAAAAATCAAAGTGTTGAAAAATATCGCACAACTACTTGTAGAGAGGAGGTAATGTTATGGGCCTACATAGACTAGATGGAGTACCCAAAACCGACCCATGGTTAACCCAAGTTGGCCCATTTCGTGGAACAAAAGTATTTTAGATGGCCCAAGGACAGTGAGGAAGAAAGACCCACGCCACACAAACAATATTCAATTCATCATCTGTTCAATTCTCTGGAGTCCAGCGTCCGGTGTACATTTTACATTACAGACTTCAGTCTACAAAGAAGAGAAGACCCAACTGAGCTCAACAAAACCAGAACCAGACAGAGGGGGACGGCGTCGTTTCTGAAGTTGAACAGGAAAGAAGATGAACACAGACATCACTGCGTCGACGAAGCCCGAGTACCCGGTTATAGATCGGAACCCTCCATTCACCACAGTCGTCGGCAACTTCAGCACCCTCGATTACTTTCGCTTCGCCACCATCACCGGCGTCTCCGTCACCGTAGGCTACCTCTCCGGTCTCACTCTCACTCTCATTTCCCGATTTTCTTGTTTTTCAAATAACGCAGTAATTTTGATTAATGCTTCTTTAATTTTTGTAATTTATAGGGATTAAGCCAGGGATTAGAGGGCCGTCTATGGTCACCGGAGGTCTGATTGGGCTAATGGGCGGGTTCATGTACGCTTACCAGAACTCGGCGGGACGCCTCATGGGCTTTTTCCCCAACGACAATGAGGTAGCCCGTTACAAGAAATGAAATGAAATCAATGTCCTCAATTTTAGGGTTTTGAATTTTTAATAATCAGATTGTTCCTTTTGTGGTGAATTTGTTCATGTGCTATCTGAGATTAAAACTTGTGGTTTTTTGATTCGATGTCAAGGCCGTCATTTTTAAGTGTTAAAATGTCATACAACTGATAATAAAATGCTCTTGTTGAATTCCTCATTGTGTGATGCTACACAAAGTAGTCGAATATTTGAACAAGTTGATTTTATTTGTGATTAAAGAGGTGGTTCTTTTTGCATTATCTATTAGTGTTAGCTCAGCAGTCAGCAGCTCTCTCAGTCATAGTGGGTTCATTTAGTTAGAAGCATATGAGATTTCACTATGTTCAGTCAAGCTGAACATGTGGTTTTCCTTTTATTTTATTGCCAATTAAAAATGCTCCGGTATGTACTTCCTTGAGCCATCATATATGAAAAAAAGATCTTTTAGGGTCCGGCATCCCCTTTCCCTTTCCCTTCCCTCTTCTCCATGTTGGTCAGCAAATGGAGCATAGTACCATTTTCAGGGGCAGGATCGTTTACATTCTTTGCTCTTTCATGAAAGGCTTGAATTGGTGATATTATTGTAAAACTGGAATTGAATCTTTAGACTTAGGAGTCTTATAGCGATAAGAGTCTGGTTCTTAATATGCTTTTGTGATTGAGGCATATGAGGTGGACATAACTTGTAATGAGGAAAACATCACATTCACTGGAGATGAGTCAGTCAGACTTTGAAAATTGTAGTAATGTTCTTTTACTTATAGAGGATAGTTTATGAAATTTGTTAGAGGCGAAAGAAAACTTGTGTAGAAAGGGTTCTGCTGAGGGTTATAGAGTAGGAGAAGAAAGTGAAGGAAAAACAGCTAGACACTAAGCAGGCAGTGCTACTAACTGATTGCTCCATGATTATCTGATCTGGACAGATAATGAGCTCTGTTGAACATAAGTAGTGAGCTCTTTAATGGTTTATTGAATCTTTTTTCACTTTGAAAGCTTGGGGAGAGGGGAGGGGGAATGACCAGCTCCGTGGGGGATTGTTTTGCGCAAAAATATTGTGTGTTCTACTTTACTCTGTCTTGAGTAGAATTTTGGTTTTAAAGAAAGAGAGAAAAGAATTACTTTTGTATGGAGCGTGTGGATTATTATACATATATGATCATGCCAATTCATTTTGGGAGATCCTATAGATTGAGAGGCTTTTGTATGACATGACAAACTGTCATGTGAAATGTCTGTTTAAGTTAATGATAACAAAATGGCTGCGGGCAAGGGACAATGCCAGTGGCGGTGCTGCTGTAAAATGGAAATTGTTAGGGATCATAAGGGACTCTACGGGTGGATGGATCAAGGGCTTTGTTACAAATTTGGGGTGTGGTAAAATCCTTGAAGCTGAATTATGGGGTGTTTTCAGGGGTTTACTTCTTACGTGGAACGAAGGTATCCAAAGAATTAATGCGGAGTGTGTCTCTTTTACTGCCATCTCCTTAATTAATGGAGAGACTAGGCCTAGTCACCCTCTCTCTAGCCTCATCCATAGTTGCAAAGACATGCTCTTGTGTGATTGGGAGTGTTCCATCTCTCATATTTATAGAGAACAAAACATTGCTGCTGACCATATGGCTCAGATGAGGCAAAGTTCCAATTTGGGTTATCATGTTGTTGGTCTTCCCCCTCCTTCTATTGTAAGCCTCTTGGCAAATGACTCTGTTAGGATGACCACTGCTAGGCTTGTCCCAGTGTAGGTGTTTTTGGTATTTTCTCTTAGGCTTCGGCCCTCCTTGTAAACAAAAAAAAAGAAAAAAAGAAAAAAAGAAAAAAAGAAAAAAAGAAAAAAAAAGGTTAGTTTTATTGTAAGCAAGCGTCGTTTCGAAACTTTGAAAAAGAGGCTTTATATATATTTTTGGATTGAAGGGCCTACTCAGCGTTCCAATTTTCATAACTAGGCCTGCTGGTTTCATTTTGTTAATGGGCCTACAATTTTGTAAATAGGTCGACAGTTTTGTTAATGGACTGAGTTATTCTATAGTGAAAGTCTTATATATAGCTCTTAGGTGAGGTCGGAGGTCCTATCTATTAATTATTTTATCTAATGGCTAACTAATTTGATTTAATGACTAACGAATTTGATTCAATGGTTAAAAGATAAGGCATCACCCAAAAGCCATATATAAGGCCCTCATTATAAAATTCTTGTTAATGGACTTACTGTTGGGCTGACATATTTTTGTAATGGGCCAATAATGAACCAACCTATTCGTTATCATTGGGCGAACACATCTGCATGGAATGGGACAACTCCTCGTCGACCTGCAATATATACGACCACTTGACACTTTACCAGGTAGCTTCTTTCTTCTTTTACGTGCATCTTTCTTCTCTCATACGATACGGAGGGTAGTGTTGAAATTGGAACAACAGCTTAATCAATATACTAGCCATGAGCCAATTGGTTTTCTTTTTTATTTTTTATTTTATTTTTAGAATTAAGAAAAGATAACATGGGTAGTTATGTTTCATAAAAATAGGACCTATTATCTGATTTTGTTTTTAATTTTAACTTTTTTAATATGAAAAATGTGAATTTACTATGTTATCATAATTTAATTAATAATCTCAATCTTAATGTTTGAATTAACCAAGGGCATTTTTTGATATTTTAAATGTTTCACAATTATCTGCCTTTTACTTTATATCTATATATATAAAGCAAAAGGCAGAGAATGGTGAAACATTCAAAATACCAGAAAATGTCATTCGTTAATGCAAACATTAAGAATTAAAATTATTAATTAAATGAGGATAATATGGTAAATTCACACTTTAAAAAAAAATTAAAATTAAAAGAAAAATCAAATAATGGATCATATTTTTACGGAACACAACTACCCATTATATTTTTAATTCTAAAAAAAATGAAATTCTTTTAAAAAATGCCTCTCTCAGGCGCGGAAGCGCATACAGAGAGGCTAGTATATAGATAAAGCAAAAGCAAAGCATAGTTGTCGTTAACATTTTTCATAATTTATACATGAAAACGTGTGTATTAATTGGTGGCGTGTCAGTTACTTCATAGCCATAAAACAAGACTACAAAAACCGCGTCTACGAATGAGAGAAGAAAGATGCGCGTGTTCTTCCCTATATATATATATATATATATATATATATATATATGTAATATTTTCTTTTTATTGAAGAATTTTTTAAATAATTTTATTTAAGAGACACTCTTAGGGTACTCTATCATTTTTTTTTAACAATCCAAACTATCTATTTTTTTAAGTCTACATTCATAGATCATCCTTGCAAAAAATTAGACAAATCGGAAAACGTTTCAACATCCAATTGTATCCTACAAAATCAAGGGACACGGTGCTTCAATAACGTATTAAAATTTCAATAACACAATTGAGTGGTCAAACAATATTGGATTCAAGTGATTTTTTGTAGAGATGATCTTTGAATGATTATCTAAAACATAGATGGTTTGGATTAGTAAAATACAATGTGAAGTGGGCCCTACAACTGTGTTCCTCAAATAAGCTAATTTGAGAGATCCCTCGATGGAATATATATATATATATATATATTTGAATAACAATAATTTGTAATTACGAATTGGATTATATTTACATAACATTAATTTGTGTCCGCAAGTGCAGTGCAGGCGGAGTATATTATACGCTGTGTGTGCTGAATGACCAAAGTGAAAGTGCATGCAACGAATTAATAGTAGAAAGAACATACATGAAACGAAACACATAACGAAAAAACTTACGTGAAGAGTGAAGCTTCTGTAAAATTACACTAGTAGTTTCCTACACGCGTTTTTGTTTTTCCTTTAACCTTCTTGCCTCTATAAATAACACCCCCAGTGCCCCACCCCACCACCACCTTCAGCAGTCCTTACTTGCATTAATTTGTTGAGTCTCACTCTCTTACTTTCTCCTCCTCTCCTTCCAGCAGGCTGCAGCAGAGAAATTTCATTTTTGTTTTTTCAGTAACTCATCCATTTTCTTTATAGCGACTTCTAGTTGCTAATTAATTTAAGTAAAAGGTATCCCTCTTTATAACTCTATCTGTTTCGTTGTTGCATTACTTTTGTTCCCTTTTCCATTGAATCTCGTTTTAACTCAATCTCTTCCATTTAATTTTTGCATTAATTTTCGTCTTTGCAGTAAGGTTAGCAAGCTACTAGTATGGCAGACACAAGAAGCTCTGGGCACCATTTAGACCTCGAGTCTCAGCAGACGGTGTTGCTCATAACCGGTACCAACCCGCCACGAGTCGACCACTGGCGCTGGATTTTTGTGATCCTCCAAGCGCGCAAACTCCTCATCTCACCAAGAGCCAATCGAGCTAACAAGGTATCTCCTCAATCTCTTCCTCAACTCTCATCATCCGCTATCCATTATACAGTTATCAGCACTGTTGCTGCAGGAGATACACCAGTGACTATACTATACATATAGCCAAATTCTTGCTACAGCTTTCCCACCGCTAACTATATATAGCTAGCTAATTTGAAGAAAACATATGACATAGTATAAAGAATCTTATGTGAAATCTCAATTTTGTTCTTCTACCAATATTACCATATAATAACCTACTGTACATATTTTTTTAATGAAAAAGTTGTAACATATGGAAAACAACTTTTATATATGTATTGGTGCTGCATAATATATCTTTTGGGCGGAACCAGGAATTTATTAATGTGTGGGCTAGCTAAATTTATTAGCTTAAAAATCTAATAATCTTTTTATTTTGTACTTACAATTTCTATTGCCTCTCTAGAGATAAAAGTACTTATTAAATCATATAAACCACACTAGTTTCTCGAGTGCAAGGCTAAATGCTAATTTCCCATCAGTTTTAGCAAAAAATAAATACAAATTAAATGCAACCAAAAAAACACATATTATCAAAATGAATCAACAACATAATTGAAAGTGTACATATTTTCATGTATATTTTTATTGATGCCCAGCGACTAAATTCATAAAGAATTCGACTTCTGTAGACTTTAATAGATTAATACATACTTGGCTATATTTAAAATAAGTCAAATATATTGGTTGGATTTTTTTTTATCCCCAAAAACCTCCCTAGGCTACAGCCCACTATAGCCATTAGCCTAATTCCGCCCATGATCATATGCCAATCTTTTGTGTGTATTATATATTGGTACTGTGTTACATGGCCTATGATGATGTCTACTTTTGTCTGAGCAAAAACTACTTTGACAGTTTTTGAGTCTGATTAAGACTTTTACTCCACGACTGTGACTGGAATGCTGAGTTATTTATGGGCTATTCTAGAGCTTGACAGGCAGATGTAATATATTGCTAGATCTGAGCCCCAAAATCGACCTGAGATTCACAATCGAGCAACATATAATACTTGTTTCGGTTCTTACTCTTGTACCAAATTGAGCTGTAGTTCAAGTAACTGTAGTTAAATTACTGCTAATTGATTTTTGCAGGACTTGGAACTCCCAGGGACTACAGAAATTTCACCTGCCTCACCTCAAGTTTCTGGAGATGTCCCTTTGAGCAGGGATAGTACCGCAAGTGATGCTGAACTCCAGCATGCAAATGTTGCCAAGATAGTGAAGGACAAGGATTTTGTTTCCTTGGAGAAGTTTGGAGGCACCCGAAAGATTGCAGAGGCACTCAACACAGATTTAAAAAATGGAATTCCAGGCGATCAAGAAGATCATCGACGCATGGTCAATGCATCCTCGACAACACAGGCTCCTGCTCCAAGCTTCTTCAAACTTCTCCTTCAATCGTGCAACAATTACACCGTTGTCCTTCTCTTTGTGGCTGGATTGCTGTCAATTGGGTTTGGCATCAAGGCGGAAGGCCTAAGGACCGGTTGGTATGAAGGGGCCATCAGAATGTTTGCCATCCTCATACATGTGATAGCACCTTCCATACGTGACTTCTGGCTTGAAAACTCACACAACCATAATGCAGTGATACAGACTGCAGGGATGAGTAAAAATGGAGTTGAGGCCGTCAGAGGGGGTTGTCCGTGTGAACTTTCTGTATCTGATGTTGTGCCAGGTGACTTAGTGTGTTTGAAACAGGGATCTGTGGTTCCTGCTGACGGTTTGTTTGTTTCTGGTGAGTTCTTAGTATTGGATGATGGTATGGAGACAACCATTGATGACAATAAACCATTTATGTTCTATGGTGCAAAGGTGGTTAGTGGAAATGGTCGCATGCTAGTTACCTCTGTGGGCACGGACATGGCATTGGGTGAGCTGATGAACCGAGTAGCACATACTCCTAACCGTGCCCAATTACCAGCTCAACTTGACAAGATGAACACACGCACCCAAATTGCCGGGCTCTCAATCTCTATTCTCCTCCTTGTGGTGTTGTTCTTACGTTTCTTGTTCGAAAAGAAAGATTACAGCTCTGGCCTCCCAGAGCTTCGGGGGAAACCAGCTGCAAGTAAGGAAATAATGAATGAGATGGGCAAAATTCTCATGAAACCAAGTGGGCAGATTAGCATCTTAACAACAGCTCTGGCCATCTTGCTTGTAGGAGTAGTGGAAGGGATACCTCTTTTTGTTACACTTGCCATTACCTATTGGAATAGGAAGACACTGTCTGGCAAGGCCGTTGCTCAAGAAATTTTGTCTTGTGTCACCATGGGCTCTGTCACAACCATTTGCACTGACAAAACTGGTGTGCTGACTTTGAACTCGCTGGAAGTCGACGTGTGCTATATTGGGAACGAAGTCATAGAAAATGACTGTGTCACCAAAATAGACACACGTGTTCGTGAAGCTTTGTGCAATGGAATCTGCACACCACTGTTGAAGCCGTCAAGCTCTTGCAGCTCATCAGAGGACCCGCTCCTTCCCTGGGCTGCCAATTTGGGGATGGAAACTGAGATTTTGAGGCAGAGCCACACCATCCTGGAGGAAAAGGAGTTGAGCAACAACGAGGAAGGCAGTGGAGTATTGATGAAAAAATCCAGTGACAATGAAGGAGATATGTGCTTGCATTGTTGGAAAGGACCTGCAACAACAATATTAGCCATGTGCTCACACTACACTGACAGCAGAGGGACAACAAAGGTCATGGATGAACAATTAGACTGGCTTTTAAGCATATTGTAGAGCACATGCAGTCCAAACATCTCAAGACCATTGCGTTTGCTTACAAGCAGACTGATGTTGTTGCAATGCTTGAAGAAAACAGCTTAATCTTAATAGGACTACTAGGTGTGAAATATACATGTTGCGAAGATATAATGGAAGCAGTGAAAGCTTGTCAAGAAGCAGGAGTGAACATCATATTGGTGTCAGAAGAAAAGGTGTCAAAGCTGAAAGACATTGCTGTTGCATGTGGAATACTTGCAAACTCAAACAGGTTGGTGCTCGAAGGCGAAGAGTTTAAAAATAGTAGCGCAGAAGAAAGGAAGGACATGGTAGATAAAATCTGCGTGATGGGAAAATCCATTCCTTCAGACAGGCTCCTTTTGGTGCAATGCCTGAAAGAAAAAGACCACGCTGTGGCGATGGTTGGAGTCAGAACAAATGAGACTCCAACTCTTACAGAAGCTGATGTGGGGGTTGCAATGGGGACTCGGAGTAGTGAAATGGCAAGAGAAAGTTCTGACATCATCATCTGGGATGGAAATTTTAGTTTCTTGGTCCCCATTATAAGTTGCGGAAGATGCATTTACTATAACATTCAAAAGTACATCCAACTTGAGCTCACCATGAATATAGCAGGGCTGCTGACAACAGCCACTACCACAATGGCTTGTGGAGAGAGTGCAATTACAGCAATTCAGTTATTTTTGGCAAACATGGTTGTGACTCTTCTAGGTGGGCTTGCTCTACTGATGGAGCCGCTGACAAAGGAAATAATGGAGAAGCCACCGGTCAGACAAACTGACTGGCTCATTAGCAAGGCAATGTGGAGAAACATTGTCAGTCAAGCCTTATATCAGAGTGCCATCTTGGTCAGCTTTCAACTGAAAGGGCAAACCGTCCTGGGCATCAGCAAGAAGGTTAGCGAGTCCATTGTTTTCAACAGTTTTGTTCTGTGTCAGGTATTCAATCAAGTCAATTCAAGAGAGCTAGAGAAGAAGAACGTGTTCAGGGACATACTTCACAATCAGTGGTTCTGGGTGTCTGTGGGTGGCACTCTTGTTCTGCAGGTGGCTTTCATTGAGATCTCACATATTCTTGTTGGAAATGCAAGGTTGAATTGGGCACAGTGGGGTGTGTGTCTATTAATTGGGATGGTTTCATGGGAAATTGATTTGGTTGTGAAGTGTGTATCGGACGTTGTCGTGAATGGAACATTCAGCTCTCATGTTGGATGTATTAATAATAGTATGACACCCTCTGCTGTCTCAGGTTCTGCATCTAATCTTGAGCTCCCACTCATTGATGGAAATTCCACAAGATCCCATGGTCCTATATGATCCCATCTTAGTTTTTGTATCAAAAAATTTCAGTGTCATGTTCTACTTGTTGGAAGATATTGAGTGAATCCTTGTGAATGCTTCCTAGTTAGTTTGTATATTCAATCTTGCATACATTAATTCATCCAAGATGGAGGAGAAGAATAGAACACAGAGAGTTTTTCTTGAAGGCTAAGAGATTGTTCAGGGCTATAGATTACCGCATGCATTCTACTCAAGCAAAATTTCCAAGAAACAATCAATATAGAGAGATTAGCATAGAATAAAAGAAAAAAACCAAATCAGGAAATTCAACAAATACTTGGAAATCTACTCTACCTCTAACTCTAAAGCAATGCAAACAAATTAACAAAAATTGCATCTCACCTTCACCTTAGATATAGTGAAGTCAAAGCTTTCCGGGTAGCGCACTGGTAGGTTTATGCAGAGCGGAGAATGACTGAATGCATTGCACGGTTTGGTGGTAACCTATGGTTGACCTCTCAAGTCTCCTCTTTTTTGTTTTTTGTGGTTGATTGACCCCTCAAGTCCACAGATCAAAGATGCGGTACATAATAAGGATAAAGCTGTATTGCCCCCATGAAGTAACGGTGTTCCACCATGCCATGCCACATTGACGGGTAGTTGGTCTCACTTTGCCCTCCACCACCGTCAATTCCCTCAAAAACTCTGTCATAATGTTTGACATGGCTCTCACGAGATTTGAGGGGGCACTAGTATAATTAAGCCTAATGATTATTCAAATCGACGCTGTGTAACTTCAGTTCTGTATACTCCAAAACGACATACCTGTCTACTGAGACACAATGAGCATGTAAACACACCCATACCCATAGGTCCCATAGCCATTGCAAATATATGTAGTGTAAATATCACACGCCTGGTCTAGTTAAAAGTTTATCTTTTCTTTTCTTATCCTTGAAGCTTCGACATTTGAAAATTAATAATAGAGGGGACTCTTTTGCTGCAAAGAAAGAAGCAGCCAATCCACCTCCAGCTTTCTTTTCTGCATGCCATTCCATTCCATACACTCCAAAACAAAACATACATCCTCCCTCACATTGATTGGTAGATAGATAGAGAGAGAATGTTAATGTAATATTTGTCTTTGTCATGCATTATTGTTCACACCGCCCCCACATAATACATTCTTCCCTTCTATTCTTCACACAAATTGATAACTTAAAAATAAAGATGATCAATTGAAGCTAATTCAAGCTAAAGAGGCCTGTTTGATACAGAGTATACTCCATCCATCCAATCCAACCTATTATTCCTCCAAGCACAACCTTCCATGCGCTAGTTTCAACATGGTCCTTGGACTTTTCTCCAGACTCTTTTTCTCCTTTAGCAATGCCTCTGTCTCTCCCCCCCACCTACACTAAACGAACAAACAAACTCCCTTAGATTTGGCCTCACAACCTTTTTCTATTTGGACTTTGCAGCTTCTCTGCCGATTCTCATTCCTTTCTTAAAACCACTTATTTAGAGTTTCATCCGAGGACTGATGAGTTCCCTTATTGAAACTTAATTGAGGCAGAAGCCGACAATCTTATACATGTACATGCCACTGCCCTATATATACATGAAGCCTGTTTAAGGCTCCTTAGAGTTAGAGGTCATCACTTCCCTTCCCACCACGGTCCACCCCAATTTTGAAGCTCAACTAAAAAAACTTTCCCATTTAGAAAAAAAGAGTATATTATATACTTTGTAATGAATCAAACTCAAATGGAGAGGGAAAGCCATGATGCCACAGTCATTCATTCCTCCATAGCTCTATTGCAGGAAAGGTTTCGGCAGCTGCAGAGAGTGAAGGCAATGAGAGAGGAGAGAGAGATTTTGAGAATGCTAGCTCTCTGTGACTCAGAACCAAAGCATAAGCAGCAGTTGATGATGATGAAGATGAACACTAGCAATCCCATTCCCACCGTGCATAACAAGCCGGCAGTGGAAAGGTTGTTTTTCCATCCTGATCACCATGATCTTATTCAGCCTCATGGTCATGGATCATCAGAATCCGGAATTTCTCTGTCATTGTGGCCAGCACTGCAGAGCAAGCATGAGGATTATATACTATATAGCAGCACTGAGACCCCGCTGTTGATGAACTTATGGCCTTCAGTCACAGACACCTCTTCGTTAGACACTTGTTCAAATAAATCCCAAGGTTCCGATTGCGACTCTGATGTGGATACTTCTCTTCATCTGTAAACGAATTCATGCTCCTTAGAGTATTACATGAATTGCTATATTATTATTTATTTAGGCATAAGCTAACCTTCATGCATTAGAATGGTGCCATGGTGTAACATGCATGCATGCATGAAGCTGTCAAAGTTTTCAGTGTATGTATCAAATCAAACTTGAAACATCACTCATGGAAGTGAAGTATGTATCACCATCCCAACCCTTTGGAACAAGAACAATGTGGCTGGCTGTATGCACTCGGCATGCCTATATGAACTAGTCTTTTCAGCTATCATCTGGAGAAATAAAATAATATCTACCCCCTTTGAAAGAATTTTTGAAATATTTGTTTAGTTTTCGATTGCCAAATTTCCTTTCCATCCGGGATAAGTTAAAATGCTGAAGAGTTGCTCTAATTTCTAAACAAGAGTTCAATTTTTGATGTCTAAATGTGTTCCTTATCGCCTTATAATAGTCAACATTTCAAATGTTTCACAACCCTCGTGTAGGTGCTTGGTAGGTTTAGATCTTCGTCTTCTTCTTCTTCTTCTTCTTATTTGGATACGGTGCATTTCTTAAGTCAAAAAACAGGGGCATTGCATATCAGCCAGCTTACGACCAAATGCTTTTGTGTTATTTACTGAATGCTGCTCATGAAATCGCCTGTAAGTGTGATTTAGAAATAGGAACTGCAACACAACATACAACTGACAAGGCTGGACAAATTTCCACTTGTAATATTATATGTATATGTGCATTTACCCAAACACAAGGCAAGGCAAAAGGATAACTTAGTGTAGAAACTTTAATTGCACTGCACGCCTGCTCCAGAAGATAAAAAGTTTATTTCATATCTTTCAATCTTTTGAGCTTCGAAATTTTAAATTTAATAACAGAGAGGATCCTTTTGTTGCATAAAAAAGAAGCATCCAGTCCACTTCCTTTAGTAGACGCAGCTTTCATTTCTGCATGCCATTCCATTCCAAAGACTCCAAGACAAAACGTATATCTTGAGAGAGAGAGAGAGAGAGAGAGAGAGAGAGAGAGAGAGATTGAGAGAGAGAGAGAATGTTGGTATGTTTGTCTTTGTCATACATTATGTCCACACCGCCCCCACATTCTTCCCTTCTTTTCTGCAGCGCACACAAAGCATAAGGGCAAAGGAACTCGAAAAACCGAACCAGAAAAGAAAAAGGCCCCCCAAAAAGATAAAAGAGCCTTTCAAAGCTAAAGAGGGTTTTTTTTTTTATGGGAGCAGCTAGTTGACAGAGTATCATTCAATTCCAAACACTCCCTTCCATGTGGTTGTTTCAACATTCTTCTTGGAATTTTCTCCAAACCATTTTCTCCTTTAGCAACGCCTTTGCCTCTCCCCCCACATACACAGTACACTAAACAAACAAAACTCCCTTAGATTTGGCCACTCAACCTTTTCTTTTTGGACTTTGCTGTTTGCCTGCCGATTCTCATTCCTTTTCTAAATCACTTAGAATTTCATCGAACAACTAAACTCACTTGTTTAATTAATTGAAGCAGACAATCTCATACAAACATGTTTGTTTAGACAATCTTATACGAACAACTATATACACATATATATAAAGGCTGCTCTCCTCCCCACTGTCGTTCTTTCTTCCATAGCTCTATTGGTTTAGACAGCCGCAGAGAGTGAAGGCAATTAGAGAGATAGATTTTGAAAATGCTAGCTCTCTCCGACTCTGAACCAAAGCAGTTGATGATGTTGAATAGCAATCCCTCCCGCCACGCATTAAGCTGGCAAGGTTTTTTAACTTGTATCCACCTTCATTATTTTGAAAATGCTTTACAAGCCTGAGTTTCTCTCTCTGCTTGGCCAACATTGCAGAGCAAGCATGAGGAGGAGAGAACCATACACATAGGAAAACTGAGACCCCACTTTTGATCAACTTACAGTACATTGATACATCACATGATGGCTAATCTTCTAAGTTCACATTAGGGGAGCCAAGAGTTTGATTTAGGTAGGGGGCCCATTTTCCTGTCGGAGTTTCACATTACAAGGTCTTGAGTGATCTCTGTGTACTCCATTGCTTGATACATCAAACAAATTGTTTAAGTCAGCTACAAATTTCTCGTGCGTGTGATTGATTACATGATATCAAAGTAGGGCAGGACAAGTGAGCATGATTGAATTGAAACAAAGAAAATAAAATTGGAAAAAGCTACATTTACATACTAAAATTGGCATTGAAAAAATTATATGATTTATTACAACCGCATGTAATTGATTCTTTCTTCTATAAGGACGAGTTCACTATATACATTATGTAGGGGAAAAAATTGTCAAAACAAAATATTGATCCTCTGTATCAAAAATTTGACAGACTCCCAGATGATGATGAGCCTCGGCACTCAGTAGGGACCGTCTAGGGATGTTCGCACCTTGTTGTGAAAACTGGAGTTTGGGAGGTTAAGTCAATCATTTACCAATTGTGTAACTGAGAACTTATGCTTTTCACGACAGGGTGGTAATCTGTGTGAAAGAGTCGCTTAGCCTTCTCTGAACCAGGATGCTCAAGCCACTCATCGTATAAGCTTTGCACTAAAGGGTTTCCAAAAGGATCCGCTATCAAAACCTGTACAATATTAAAGGATTGTCATTCAAAGCCTACAAGCATCATCATTATTCTCAGGCCAAAGATAGGGTTCACTACCACAACAGCAAGCTAAATGACAAAATAAACAAAGTTAAAAATTACAAAAGATCCATGCAAGTAAAACGAGATAGTCTCATGGCGACTCTGTAAAGTGAATGTCTACTCCCCTCCTTTTCTTGGACAGAATAGACAAGAAAAGGGCCAACAGTAGATGCCTCAAATATCCATCACTTAAACGGCCAAAGTTATCAAAGTTTATGACCCTCATACTGCAAGTAGAGTCCACAAAATAACTGAAAATAATGCTACAAAACACTTACGTTTTCCATATAGGCTGTTTGTAATAACTGAATCAACTCCTTTGCAGATTGCCCAGGCTGTGGCTTAATCTGTCCTCCACCATTCAAGCAACCTGTTAACTTCCAGTTAGTATTACTTCCAAAGTCCCAGTTTCATACGAAGGATAATTGAAAATATTGAACCACATATTCATTTGAAGAATTAATAAGTAGCACGTTTTACAAGAAACATACCTGAAGGGCACGCCATGATCTCTAGAAAATGATAATCACATTTTCCAATTTTGATTTTCCTGACAATGTTTTGCAGGTTCCGGAAACCGTAACATAGTGCAAATTTCAATACGGTCTTCCCTTCCACCTAAATGAGAGGGCATCAATATTCTATACAAAAACGGACAGCAAAGGACTTAGCCCTTAATTTTTTTTCCAAATCTATTTACTACCCACCAATACTGTACGGATGCAAAGATAAAGACTGGAAATGCCATATGACCTGGAATACAATACCAGAAAACTATCCAAACAACCATAACAAGAAAGGTTTTACATGCATAAAAAGCCACAAAACCATGACAAGCAGATCACCTAAACTAAATCACAACTAGTATCGGCCAATTGTCCTACTTCCCTCTACATTTTATCAAGTGGTCGGGCTAGAGACATAAACAACCATAGGTAATTTCAATCTAACCAGTGCTTCAAAACACTGATGACCTTCCCCTGCCTCTTACAAGCCTACCACATTTGTGAACAAAAGTATAAAGAAACTTTACTTACTTCCAAAGTCACTTCCTGGAAGTCTGAATTTTTAATAGTTCTGAAATCAACAGGGCCTTTGACTTCTCTTCCAAAGAGCACTTTACCAGCATAACGGAATATTGTTTCTGCATAACCCCCAGAGCTTCCATGGACTCCATAAAGATGCCCTTCATTAAAATTTGTCAACCTGGTGGAACAACATATTTGTTAAAAAGTCCACAGCACATAGAAGGAGCCTTATGGAAATATTTGCAGCTCTTACATGCCATCCAGAGGAGACTCTTCTAAGCCTTTAAAATCAACTCCCTTTAACTGCAGCCGCCCGAAAAAAAAAAGATTTTGAGTTCATATAAGTAAAGCATTATTTAGAAAAGTGGAATAAAGTGGAGATGGTAATAATTACTTAAAATTTTGGTCTCACCTGTATCAGTTCTAAAACTTCCCCAGATGTCAACACCGAATCTACCTCTGAAACCCTAAGACCTTCATTCTCATTAGTTTTGGATTGTTCAACTTCAAAAACAAAGTCATCACGTGAAGCCTCAAGCTTCTTATCATAACAAGGCATCACAGTCACATGGTACACATCAGCCGGCCTGTCAAATAAAATCATTCAGGGATATGCAATGAAAATAAGATACTTCTGTGAATTCATTTAATTTCACCAGAAGAAAATTATGTACTTCAAACTTCCAACACTAAATACAGCCAAGGCAGCATACCAATCATATGTGGACTAAACCTATTAACAATTATGCCTAAGATCCAAGCACAGCTAGTTTCTCATGAACTTTAACAGAAAATTATGCTAATATATGCTAGAAAATTGTCAATTTCCTTTGTACAAAATAAATTTATAAATTCTAAGTAAAAGAGGAGAAAAAGGGAAGGAACACAAATTTTTTGGCATGCATAACAGCTAAGTACGCTCTAAGAATTTCATTACTGATACAGAATGGTCCTATTAACAAGACTGTCAACAGCAGAAATTTGATAAAAATAATATGTACATATTATGGAACATCAATTATTAGAATTCTTATAAAGCTACAAGCATACAGAAGAAATGATCCGCATCCCAATTATGATCACAGTTTGGCTGAAAAGAGAGCAGGCTTGAAATTTAGACACAAAAAATAACCTATCAACCCAAGAAAAGAAACAAAGGACAGAAAAAAAAAATACCGAAGACCCATTTTTTGGCATATATTATTTTTAACAATAACTCCAATTGTTTGCTGGGGACTCTTCACTGAAGAAATATAAGGAAGAACATAGGATCCAAGTTGTTTTTCAGCATAGCATATCCAACCTGCAACAACACATATTTTATAAATCATGACAGAAACAATTCACCACATTCTTTATCAACAAAAGCAAAAATGTGAATATAGTATTGAACTATTATCTTTTATCAATTAAAAACCCTTTCTTTTCCTTTTTTCCAGTTTGTGTACCTCTACAGCAAAGCAGAAAAAAAAAATTCAGGCCTCTTGTGTCTGTATTAAGGAGGGAAGAGGAGAAAAGGATATAATGCAATTACCAAACAATTATAGGCCTTAGATGTATATACCTGGACACGCTGATGAAATCATGGGCAAGGAAGATTGACAGCTTTTATCATCTGTTGACTGGCTTTGTTTGTACCTTGTGATGAACTCATTACAAGATTCAACAAGAGTTAAATCTCTACTGCAACTTGTATCAAATATAGCCTTTACACCCAATGACTTAAAAAAAGTCGTGAGTTTCCTAAAGACCTGGAAAATTGAAATAACATCCGATGTTAATATCCAATGACAACAGGTATGCTCGACTAACTTATTGCATACACCAATCGTGAATGAACAGTTATTAGGATTCTATAAGAACCTTGACTTAGAGTTAACAATTCATCGTAGGGAAAAACAAGCTGCAACGTTATATTTGACCTGAAGTGGTGAAATTCCAAAATACACGGCAAGTGAAGCTCTTGATTGAGGAGATAGGGAGACAATGACAGCTTTTCCCTTATCAATATTAAAAAGGAACTCATCCAAACTTTGCTTCTCCAGCATAACTGTCTCCGCTGATGTTACACACCCACTGCACAGTACAGAAAATCATAGATATTATCCCATTTGTATGGGCTTACAGTAGATTCTAACTTGGTTGAGCTAGTCTTAATCATAATCCACCCAGCAGGAAGGTGGTAAATTTGAGCCAACTATTTTATGTTCACAGTACCTAGTCTTGCACAATATATTATGCAGATTCTAAGAACCCAGTTATTTTTTTCCTTCGAAATTTTAAAATGGCAAATATCGTTACAACATATATTGTTAGTGAAAATTAGGCCAAACAGCAAGTACTATCCCAAATATGAAATAACAACTTTAACATGGCAATTAAGGCTAGTAAAAAAAGTGATTTTATAAATAAAAGATTAAAAACTCGAACTTCAACGCGCCCTAGTACCTGAATTCTGATTTGTTTCACATTCAAATTATAAAAAAAATCAGAGATATGATTTACCTGCATGCTAAGCAATCTTTGAGTGAAATTTTAACTGGTTCTGTTTTCAATTGCTTGCTAGAAGTTGAAACCTTCACAACAAAAGAAAGAAAAAAAAATTACGAACAAGCTTAAATATCATTACTTCAGCTCCAATTAAGAATAAATGCATATGTCAAAATCGAAGAGCTGACACTTGCTTCAACAATTAGGAAAACGAAAAAAAAAAGTCTACCAGAAAAGGAAAAAATAAAGAGAGGGAGAAATTTACCTCAGGCTTAGCAGAGGGCTTGGTTGAGGAGGCTTTGAGTCCTTTGAGAGAGACTATGCAAGCCTGAGATGGCGCTATGAAATCGTTGAGATCTCCAATTCGAAGCGTCGCCGAGAACTTCTCTGACATCACTTTAAAGCCGACAAATTTAAACCGGAGCGTATTCAGTAAGTCGAAAATTTGATATGAGGGTTTCTGCAAATTAGGGTTTTTGGAGTTTGAAGATGAACGAGAAAGGGAAAATGGGTTGATAGGTCAGAGGCGGTGCATTTACCAGAAGCTGGGAGAGAAGAGATGGTGTGGCTTAGCCGCGCTTAGGTGATCTTGTGTAATTCATAAGAAGGCTATTTAGACTAACAGCCAATGGGGTTGTAGAATGCTGTGGAAAAAATAAGGTCAACGAAAGTGGTTTGATTTGTGTACTCGTTTTGTTAAGGGTTTGATATGTATCTACTTGTTTTGTTATCTATTAGATTTCGGGTTGCTTTGGTTGGTCGGTCGGGCCCTTTGTATACTTCTTCACCGTCAGCGTTTGAAGCACGTGTCGACCACGGTCCACCACGCCACTCATTCTTTACACTTTTTATTTACATTATAATATAAATTCCAAATTTTAGATATTTTTTCATATTAAAAATAAAAATATCATTAGACTAAAATGTAATTGATACTTTTTAAATTATTTTTTCATTAATTCTTATATTATGTTTTGTTGAATTGATTAACATATTTTTTTTTAAGTGCACACATTTATCCCACAATGTAAATTTATCATCAAAATTAATTATGTTTTGAATTATCGCGGCAATTGTTTGGTTGTCTAAAATGTGCAATCTGTTATTTAAAGGAAACTAAGGACATGGTTACTATAAATTGCCTCATGGTTTGTTATTGTAAATGATTAACTAGTATGTTATATTATAAGAAAAAGTAAATGTTATATTGTACCAATATTCTTTACTAAAAAGAGTTGTATATGAGCCTCCACACCTTTCTTTCAGCGCCTGCCCCCCTTTCTACAAGAAACACTTATATAAAACGAGGATACCATTATTTTGTTATTTTTGATCAATTATGATATGACACGCATGTTAGCTGTTTCACACGGCAAACTGTGATTAGCCTGAAATAATAAAACAGTGTTATTCCCGTTTCATACAAGTTTTTATGCCCTTACCCTCTCCCCTTTCTTTCCCTCCTCTCCTCCTCTTGCTTTGATTTTGTGTGGTTCTTTTGTTTTTGCAGGTGTTTTGGTTTGGTTTATTTTTATTTTTTTAAGATTCAAGAATTCATGTATAAGTCTATTCCAGATCTATACTTTTCCTAAGGATGGACAATTGGTTTTGGTCGACTTGGGTGATTTTGCTGGAACTCTTGTGTGTCTTGGAGGTTGTTGAAGCAACCAACGTGAAACACCATTGTCATCATGATTTAGTTGTTGTTTTTGGCCTATATACACAAGGTTTTAGCTCCTATTTAGAGTTTGGAGTTACAATAATGGAAATTGACGATTTGTGTAGGTTGGGGTTTAGCCGGTGTGGCACTAAGGGTTTAGTCAGCATGGCTCTTTGGGTGTCAGAGAGGATGTAGAGTTATGGTCTTGTTTTTCTTTGTCTGTTTTAGTCTATTACTCTTTAGGATTTTCTTAGTTTGTATTTTACTTTTAGCTGAGATTCGAATTAGTCGTTTCTACCGTTGCACAGTGGATCTATATTGTTAGTATGAGTACAAATACTTCGGGCTACTAAATCAGGAGTTTGAATATTTGTTGGTTTAAGCATAATTTTCTCCAGATACATTTGGTCATTGGAGATATTGTATCCATTTCGACACTTTTATGGCTTTGTACTATGTCCTATTTCTTCAATAAATATTATCACTTTAAAAAAAAAAAAAAAAAAAAAAAAAAAAAAGAGAGAACAGAAAAAAAAGAATGTTTAGATACACAAAAATAAAATAAAAATTGCATATGATCGATAAATAAAATATACAGCTCCTAATTGAAAATGGGGTATCAATTTATTTAACAAATAAAAATAGTAAATGATGTTAGTTATTAGGCATTTGAAAGTTCAACACTATGGTTTAGTTTAATGAAAAATGTCTTAGTTTAGTTTAGTGAAAAAGGTCTTAATTTGCAAATCAATGGTCTTTAGCTTAGTGAAAAAAAGTATTAATTCAGTTTAGTGAAAAAAGTCTTAATTTGCAGATCAGTAGTCTTCGGTTTCAACCTCCATGCTCCATGGCACTTGACACTTTGTATGAGTAAATCTCCCTCCCAACCCTCAAACCTATAGTTTCTTCTATATATACAAGCTTTTGGGTTATTGTCTAATGCAAATCTTTGTATATGGTCTATTAGCTTGGGGTACTGTTACCAAGCAGATACACTTTTGCTAAACACATGCAGCTAATTAAGTTCAATTATCACAACACAAGAAAGCAAAGGTGAGAGGTTTGAGAAGTCCTCCTGCAACAGAGCTTGTAATTAATTAAGGCAGCTCTAATGTTACATTGACCACTTGAGATTATAGTTCCAAGTTCAAGGATGGTTCATCAAGAAAGAATAAACTCTACAAGAACATACTGGCCTCATCAATTTATTGTAAGAATTCAAAGGCAGCAAAAGCCTACATTTTTATCATCACCGTCCGTCTAATCATCACACATAAGAAGTGACTAGTTTAAGTTACAAAGTAGTGGTTGGTGTTTTGTTGGGGTCTTTGTGGTTCCTAGAAGAAGGCTGGCTAGACCTAGACCCCCTACCACCTGGTGGCGCTGCTCCTCTTGCTCTTGTTGCCACCATACAAGCGGAAGAGATTGAAAGCAGAAATGCAAGAGAGCACCACAGTGCTCAGACTAACTAATAAAGCGCTTGCAATTCCCTCCCCAACTTGGTTGCAGAACTTGTCATACATATTGCATATCTTCATCCATTGCAGCTCTGACTGCCCCAACTTGGCAAACACCGCAGATTGCGCAGCAGCTCCTACTGCAGCCACACTCACATATGCCATCACCTACACAAACCCATTAACAAATTAATGATTTCTAATACCAAATTCTGATTAAAATAGGTGAAGGCTTCTCTGCTTGCTATTAATTCACAGTTATTTCTAATTAACTACCAAGGCAATAATAATTAGTACCAAAAGGAGCTACTTAATTAATCAAGATGCAATGTAATGATACCTGATCACCAGAGAAAATGATCCAAGCTATGGGCTTGCTGAAGAGCACATGTCCTCTAACCATGCTCACAACACAGCGCAGCACTTGCACCAGAGAGTATGCAGCAATTATTCCATTGGCTATCACCAAAAACCTACATAACAAAACATGAATAAAAAATTGCTTCAAAGAGGAAAACAGAAACATGGGGGATTTAGAACAGAGGAGCATTAGAGATGTACACAAGAGCTTTCATGTCAGTGAATTTAGCTTTCTTCTGGATTGTGAAGATCTCTTTGACCTGGGTATCAGTTCCCACAAGAGCAGCAGCAATGACTCCTAAACCACAGATCACACACCTCAAAACCAACTCTGCCACCCTCACTCTCCGATCAATCACTTTTAAATTGGTGCTGTGATACACCGGAACATTCCCAGGACTAACACCAACACCCAAGTAGCTCATTCTTCCCAAATGTGAAAAACCAGTCCTAAAAGCCTAAAACTTCGCTCAACAAGTTGAAAAAGAAGCAAGCAAGAACAAAACTCTCACACCCACACAACAGTAGTACCCCACACAGCAATTTGCACTGTCATCACTCAGCCCACCTACCTTCAACTTCCCACTACTTTATATAGGCGCTCAGAAAAGCCTTCTTTTTTCTTTAATATTATACAGTTCCAACCTTTTTCTTGTTGGGTGTTTTTTTTTCCTTTCTTATTCTATAAATTCTGAAAATATTATATTTGGTGATTGGAGCTTTGCTGCCAGCATAGCATGCAAGGCCTGCCAAGTGGTGAAAGACAGAGGCGCTTGTTTGGGAGAAAGGGCACCTCACCAGTCACTCAATTTAGGTTAGGGACATTAAATGGAGCCTCACCTTACCTCTGGTTTTCTGCATTTATTAAACATAGTGGCCTGGGATCTTTTGGGGGAGTTTTTCTTTTATTATTATTTATTGGGTGTTTCACTAAAACATCCAAAATAGGGGCTGAAATTATAAAAAAATCCAACATCCAAAACACTTTATAAACACACCCAAAACCCATCATTATACACACTCAAAACTCATTTATAAACACACCCAAAAAATATACAATTGTTAATTTTGGGGTTGATTTTGGGTATGTTTCTATGTTTAAATAGTGCTTGAATTTTTTTATAAATACATGTTTAAGGTTAAGTTTATTTATAAATTTGTATTATTTATTTTATGAAATGTTCTCCCTGTAATTTGTTTCTAGGAAGAGGCAATAGTTGCTTGCCCCAAGGTAGGAGTTAGATAAGGTGAGAAACTTAAATTCTACCATTAATAAATGATGTCTGTTTCTGGTGGTAGAATTCATGATGACCAATTTCTACCATTAGAGTTAAAAAGAATAAAGGAAGACGCAAAGTTGGATTGTGGTGGTGGGGTCATTTTGAATTTTGTTGTGTTGATCTGTGCTTAGTTAGTGGGTCCCTGTCGTTTTTTCCATGGTAGGTAAGGTTTGTGTACGCGAGATGAGAGATGAGAGTAGCGTGAAGAAAGAAAGTTGGTGTTTGCTTCTCACCACCACCAGTCACTAATACCGTGGACTATGGACTATGGACTATGGAGCCATTTCTGTCTTCCTACTCAATTCACATTAACAGTAAAAGAGCTTCACTACTACCATGGACTATGGACACACTGTTCATAAATCTTCATCCAGTTTCACTTGCAAGCAATGTCTCAAAACTATTTCACAACAATAATAATTCAGATTACACATAAATGGGAAGTGATTATATTAAATTTTGAAATAAGATAACTTATTAGGAGCCGTGTTTCGATTGGTATTTGACTGATATTTGGATTGGAATTGAGAGGAGGAGAGGGATGGCATGGAGGCAACTGTGGTTGATGACCCTGCTCTAGGCTCTTTCTCTGTGCCCATTGATAACATACATACTTATATGGGATCTGATTGATTGGGTTAGTCTTTTCATGTAGAGATAGCTTAGCTATTATGAGTATCCATGCATGTGAAAGTGACCATGCACCCACATGCCGCCATCTTTTAATGACTGCCTGCTCATAATAATAATATACAGGGAGAGAGGTTAGGACTCGGGAGAGGAGAGGCTAGCTATTAGCTATTTTGTGACATGACTCACAGCCCATATCTCTGCTCCACCACTTGATCATAACCCTTTTATCTTTCATTTTGTATATTTTGGTTAGAAATCAATCGACTGAGTTGAAGCCTAGAATGTGAAAAACATGTTCCAGTTTCTGGGTTATGGCCCAATCTGCTGCTCAACGTAGCCCAAACCTTGCATGTTATTATCAAAGGAGAAACTCGGGCCTAGTAATATAGTTGGGCCAGTTTCAGGATTATGGGCCATTCTGCTCAACCTGGCATCGGGGCATTCTATAGTGTGAGGGCCTTATCTAAAGCCCTTAGATGAGGTTTTATCTCTTAACTGTTGGATCAGGCTAACGAATTTGATCCAATGACTAACCAATTTGATCTAACGATTAAAAAATAAGACCTCACTTAAGAACCATATATAAGACCCTCACTACAGAATTCGTATTCTCTCAAAGCAGAAACTTGGCCTGGTATAAGCATAACTGGGGCAAATCTTTGAATCCAAGGGTCCACCAAGAAGTGTATAGTAATGCATCGACCATAGCCCCAAACAATTTTGTTTTTTATTTTTAAATTTTAATTTATATATATATAAAATAAACATAGCTAAGTTAAGAGTAAAAGTGTCAATGCATCGACCATAGCAGTCCTGGAAATAATCTAAGGAATTAAAGCAGAGCAGAGCACAGTGAGAGTGAATGGAAACTCAAAAATAATTTTAATTGGATCTGTATGTGATACATACATAGTGATAATATCACAACGCAAATCCTCTCTTTTAACTTGTTTCACTGCAAATCCAAATCCTCCACGCTTTCATCAAGGAAGGTACTCAAACTTGCACGAATTATGACCTGTCACCCACCCAAGCACAAAAAAAAGAAGAAGAAAGAAAAAGAATTACGGTATGTATATAAAATAAATCCAATGCAAGCTGAAATGAATGACGAATTATTACTTGGATCAAGGGCAGTGACGAAAGCAGCAGCATTGAAGTAGCAAGTCCCTCCTTGCTGCTTCAACTTTTGATAGTAATTGTTGAAGGCGTAAGAGGCGTGGTGCTGTAGAGTGTTGGGCAAGTAGCATGCTTGGTTTTCTTGGATCTTACTGCAGTCTGCTCCTCCCACTTGACAAGCCCAATTAAGCGCCATTTGCAGCTCCTCGTCTGGGGTCTGCTCATCGGCTATGCACCATTCCTCCTCCAACTGCCCTCCTTTCATTTCACAACAACAACACCACAAGGCAACTCTTTAATAATAAATAGAATAAATAATGACGAGACGAGACGAGACGAAGCGAGTTTAATTACTACCACATCTTTGTGGTGTTTGAGCCAAAAACATGAGAGGTAGCACAATCCATAGCAGCAAAGTAGAAGACATTGTTTTCAAGTTTCAACTCAACAAAAACTTGTAACTGCTGCAATTCAAACATCTCCACCGACTCCATATAGTATTTATGGAGCAACCAAACCAACTTGGGCCACAAGGGATTCTCATCTCATCTTTAAAAAGAAAAGCTCAAATCAAAGTAACATGCTATCATATGCGTTCCTTCAATTCTAAGTAATAACGAATCAAATCTAAGACCAATATATACTCTCTCTCTCTCTCTCTCTCTCTCTCTCTCTCTACAATGCCTAAAGTACCCCCATCCTTGCAATTTGCAATGGCTTTGCTTTTCAATATTTTTAAAATGAGCCACCGCCAACCTAGGCACAGACAAGCCATATGCACTTTCGCTAAGTTACATTTGGGTCCAATCCAAGAGTGATCGCTTCCTCGTGTATTACCTACCCTCAAACTAACTTGTAATAGAATACAATGTCATGAAGCACTCATGTCGTGCATCTATTTTTTCCTACTTGCAACTTGCCACCACAAAAAAACAATGGCCTTAATTCCCTTTTTGTTCCTCTCTTGGTTTAACATATATACCCTTCAGTCTCATCCTGTCCTCCAATCTCCATCTCTCTTTCTCTACAGTCTACCCTCTAATATAATGGCTCCTTGGTTTTTGTTCATCCTTGTTTCTGCTCTCTTCCCACTTTCCCCACAGGTCCACGGTCTCAACTACACCGATGTGCAGGCGGCAGTTACGGATATGAGATCAAAGTCTTACTATGGATTTGCAATTCTTCTGCAGATGCTAAACAGCACGTCGCAACCATACCGGTCCTTAACTTTCTTGATGCCAGGTGACTCCCAATTATCTGAATCCCCAATATCAGTAGACCATCTCGAAGATTTCCTGATAAGTCACGCTGTCACAACACCTCTCCTTTTCAATGACTTGTTACATTTTCCAACTGGGAGCCTTATACCGTCTGGTGCCGAGAACAAGATGATCAGAATCAACAACCGTGGCAGAGCTAACTTCTTTGTCAACAATGCGCATATTGTCACACCCAATATTTGCCAGAACTCTTACATTAAGTGCCATGGAATTGATACTGTAATTCAGTACGAGAATAGCTCATACATAAATAGCTAAATGAATCCAACATCATGCTGGTTCAACTTACAGACCCCTACTAGTACTACACTAATGTTATGAAGCCTCTCTGCCCCTAGTTAAGGTCTCTTTATCGCAAAAGAACTTTATTCTGTCCATGTACGGTCTTGCAAGTTAGTTATACAAATATTCATCTTCAAGAAAAGTTCTAATCCTACTCCACAAACACATATAAGAACCAGATCGAACCACGGTGGATTAAACTGCATTTATCCTTCTCCCCAATGAATCTATTCCAATTACAGTTTAATTTTTGTTCGGTAAAGAATGCTAAAGAAATTCTCATTTGATTCATTGAACACAAAGAAACATGTTACTGAAATAGAATAGACAGTTTATTATGTAGCAGATAAAGCATAGCATTCAGTAACAAAAAAGACTTTGTTATTCATGTTCTTCACGTACACCATGTACAATCACTCACCAGTAACTTCAACACCCTTTAAGAACGCACAAACTCTTCTACTGTGAAAGGACTTTCACCTTTTGGTCAGTATATCTTGTGCATAAGATGGTAGATTAGATACTGACCCTGATGAAGCAAAAGATGAAATAGGAACAGTACAAAACAAATTACTAACATATGACAGCAGATTTAGATAAATCTTTTATGAATTTGTTTTCCATAAGTTCGTCTGCCATCACCCAATCTCCGGTTTGCTTGAGCTATTCTGCTTTCTGCTTCGGACTTCTGGGAACAATCAGAACTTTTGGACAACTTCTTGGCACAAAAGTTAAATCCAAACTCCATCTTGTTTTGAGATAAGCTTTCATGATGTCCATATGGAGAGTCATAGCCCATCTCGTCAAATTCCTGCAAAAATTCAACCCTATTTCAAACATTTATGACTTGCAATCAATCTGGAAAAGCATGCAGGGTTTATGAGTTCTATAGGAGACTATTAGAACCAAACAAACATGTAATAGGCAAAACAAAATTAAATGTGACCTTGGACTTTGTTTTTGCATAATAGGGTGTCAAGCAAGGATTTAAATCCTTCAGGAACATGTCATCTGGACTACCAGGGCTGGTTGGATCACCAGAGCTGAACTCCTGTTTGAATGAACAGATTATTAGTTAAAAGGAAGTAGGAAATATAAATTGACTTGAACATCACTTTGTCTATTACATTTGTAAATCTAAGATCATTCGGCCCTAGCTGTCTATTACATTTTCCAAATTATTACTTTATCAAGGTGTGCTTACAACAGAATTGGAAGGTTCATTGTCATCATATGTTGGGGTTTTTGGAGAACTGTCATCACGTTGAAAACGTGCCCTAACTGAACATTTATCTGCCTTCACCTGCTCAATGAATATAACATTGTCAGCAAAATCTAAGACAAAAACTAAAAGTAAATAAATAAAACCCAGACCAGCATTTAGTTCCCTTTGAATTCAGTAAGCATAGTATTCCACAGGAGAAGAGAACATTATAGTCATAATGGATGTTGGAAAGAATCCTCTAACAGTATAATATTGCATTACGACGTAAAAGGATCAATTAAAAAGTGAAAAGGTGAATGGCAACACCTCAGCAAGATCCTCTGCAAGGCACTGAAGCTGGCCAGTAAGGGAAGTGACCTGCCTTTGAAGATTTGGGATTACTTGTTTTGCTTGCTTCAGCTCTGACCCCTGCTTCTCTAACATCTCTTGAAGCTGAGAATTCATAACATCTGGAAACAAAATCGCATTCTTTAATGATTTGATTTCTTCCCTTTGCTTCAAACACAAATCCTTCAATTTATCCACCTGCACTTTCCAAACAAGTCCACCGCCTCATTATTTCTCTATTACAAAAACCGCACTCAAAGTGGCCCAATTTATTACTGTCAAATTCAACTTTAAAAGGTCTGGACTTTACTGCCGAATTGTTTCAAAAGTTTGAAATCTGTGACACTAATATGTACTTAATAAATGTAAACGCAGAGTTAACAAAGGAAAAAAAAAAATCAAAATTTAAAGTTCAATCTTATAATCTGCGCAAAAAAGAAAGGACAAAATGACTCACTTCTCTGTTCTTTTCTTGAAGCATCAACTTGAGCTCGGCAATCTCCACTTCTTGCTCCTTATTCAGATTCAAAAGCTCTCTCTCACTTCTTAACACCATGGCCAGCGTCCTGGTGTTCCCTTTTACCTCAGTCAACGCTTTGACCTCCTTTTTCTTATCTGACGACGTCGTCCCTGTTCCTTTCCCAAAGAGCTTCCTACCCAACGCCGTTAAATTCGAACCCGTCCCGTTCCTGGCCGTATTTTTCAAGTCGCCGGCGATTAGATCGGACGGAATCACCAAGCCCGTGGCCTTAATTGGCTTAGCCTTGGACGTGGATCGCTTTTCCATGAACTTTTTCATCATTGTGGCGATGTTGGGATCCGACGCCTTAGATTTGACGACGGCGCGTGAGGATGTGGGGAGCTTGAGCTCAGTGGAAGACGAGGGGTCAGAGAAGTGCGACGAGGTTGAGGAGCGTGCATCATACGAACTGTACCGCGACGAAGGCTTCATTGTAAGGCACTGAGCCGACTTACTGAGCTCTGCTAGTGCTAGGGTTTCTGAGGATGAGGGAGGAACTGAGCGACTACTGGAGAGTATTTGAAGTTGGAATTGAATTATTGAATGGTTTTGAAAAAGAGGAGGAGGAGCTCCAGGACACGTGGCGCTGTCAGCAGCTTGTGTCTTGCCGCTGTCTTAATTCAAATTTTTGCGCCATCCGCGCCGTCAGCCTTCGTTTTGTACCATTGGGGCTCGTTTAAGGGCGCCTCGTTTAATTACTAAGTCCCCCTCGCTCATTCTCTATATTACGGTATTACCATTCACAGCCTTAGACATCAAACGGCGTGTCGTCTCAGTGGTGTTCGCTTAGATCTGTGCACTGTTAATATGTGGTGGATAGTAATTTCGCGTCTCAAAATATTTGGTTTCACTGTCCATTTCTTTTCTAAAATTGTTCGAAGGATAAATCTAATTCGCAAAGAATACTTCTTTTTTCGATTTTTACGTACACTTGAAAATACTTGTGATCTACATTTAAAAAAATCTTAACCACTTGATTAATCTAACATGGGAAAAAGGCTGTGTTGGAGTCAGATGAAAACAAAGTTAAAAAAACCGATCTCATTTAAGATGGAGAACGATAAATGATACGATATAAAAGGTTAGCATTAATTATATTAATTTAATTATGTATGTCGACTTACATAAATAAACTTTATAAGATCAATTAAATGATTAAGATTTTTTAAAATGCTTAATGCATTGATGTCAAATATAGAAATTCGGGATCTGTATATTTAATGTCCACGGTCGTTTAAGGATTTTACAACCAAAAAAGTTGGTCTTGAGGAGCAATCCATTCCAAGCGAAATGGACAGGTTGAGCATCCAAAACTGACAAACCCAGCTACTTACTGTTCAAAACAGCTCGGCCCAAATAAAGTCCATCTCTAATATTCATCTGAGTTTTTTCTTTCAGACCAAATAAAACATCTTATTTTCTTGTCCGGCAAACATCATTTTCTTTCGAAACAAACACAAACCGAAGTACCCCAAATAAAAAACCCAAGCTCGGGTTTTTTTGTCCTCCCAGTAAATTAGTGCAGTACAGTCATAGTCAGTTTGCAGCAAAATTCAAAAACAGACAATATATGCTCCCGTAAAAGCTTGAGTATTTATGACACACAAAAACCCGAATACCTAAATCTTCAGAAAGGAGAGAAAATCTCACAAATGTCTGAATTTCTGAACTGACCCGTTGATCCCCATCCGAAAAACTATCAAACCCAATTACAGTAGTTCAAATTGTTTGGGGGTTTAAGTCCTTGTATAGATATACCAAATCGTTGTGCTTCTTGTTTATATAAGTGCGTTTGAACAGACACACTTAAAGTAGGTGCTGCTGCTCGTGAGCTCGCTCAGCTTCAGGAATCAACAATGGGTCGTTCTCGTGGAAACTTTCATTCTGATGAGGACCCCACTCAAAGGTTTTAGTTGGTTTTAATTAAAGTGTTATTCTTTTCCGTAAATTATTAGTTAAAGTTGCATTCAACCTTGCCTGGTTAGGGATTTTCATTCTGTGTGTTTTTATTTTGGGGTCAAAATCTGCATTTGGGTACGTTTTGGAGCTTTGATTGTGCGTTTCTGCTGAATGAAAACATTGATAAGTTGTTAAACTGGTATACTGGAGAATAACTGTGTAATCAATTGGAAGAGCCAGTCCCATATATTCTTGCTCATGGCCAGGAAAATGTATAGAACGGGGTAATGTAAAATGGGACTGCGTATTCTTACCTAAACTTTTAGTCAATCCCACATGACTTGTGGGATTTTCATATTCCCGGAAAATACAGGCAAGCCCACTTAGCAAGTGATAAATCTACAAATGCGTATTGCTTTACTTTTTCTGTATTAGTCTTATTTTAGTTCACATCTTTTTTCTGCCATTGGGACCTTCAGGCTGCCTGTGTCCTTATCCTATGACAGAATCCTTTACTCAACATCCATCTTTCATAACTTGGACCGTGCTGATGTTTCATTATCTTTTCGGGACATATATGAAGTTTTATCTGAATACCAACTTTTGATCAAGCAGATCAAGGAGGAAAAAGAATGCATCCACTGGAGAAAACTTAGAATCTTCAGTAGCAGGTACTTTTCACACCATCATGTAGTTCTGAATTGAATTTGTTAAAAAGTGGGATATTGCAAATGGTTTGTATAACTTTTGCTGTTTCAACTTCTTGTTATAATGATATTATGATATTGTAATCATGTCAAGGAAGAATTACTCTACACTCTTTGTTTATCGACATATGCCTCCAAAAATAATTATTCATTCTAATTCCTTCTTTATTTCATCTTAAATTTTGTTTTAAACTTTCAAAATTTCCGGGTGCAGGTCAGGGAATAAGTGAAGGGAAAAGGGCTTACCACTGCAATTATTGCAACAAAGACATTACGGGGAAGATCCGAATCAAGTGTTGTATGTGCCCTGATTTTGACCTATGTATAGAGTGTTTTTCTGTTGGAGCTGAGTTGACATCTCATAAAAGCAATCACTCTTACAGGGTTATGGTTAGTATTAAGACTCATTTTTCTTATATCTTGTTAAATAGAGTTCTCTGTGGTTCTTCTTTATTGGCAGACTATGTGAATCAAGTGTTGTGTAACATAGAAATGAGCTTAGCCCTGTTTAAGCAATTCTCTAACAACTAAAGTTAGGCATCCTTTTTCTCTATGAAGTTGAGAGGAATGCTATCATCTAATACTTTTTCTTTTGACTTACCCTTTCAACAAATATTCATCATATCTAACTGAAACTCTGTTTGTAAATGCTTTTCCAAAGGTAAATAGAATGTGCACTCAATCATTTATTTTTTAACAGGTTATGATTCTCAGCCAATAAAGTTGCTAGTCTAGTTTTATCCAGTTATGATGCAATGTTTGAAATTAGTGACTTTGGACAATAAAATGTAGCCCTTTTTGCACTTTAAGTTTTTATTTATATATATTTCCCTTTCAACAGGACAATTTATCTTTCCCGCTTATTTGCCCAGACTGGAATGCAGATGATGAAATACTGCTTCTGGAGGTACTTTGTTTTGTTTTTAATCCCTCAAATAAAGTTGCTACTGATCCTTTTTCTGTCTTTTCAACAATGTATTTGGACTTCGGGGGTAAAATTTGACTTGTATCCAATTTCAATCTTTGTTATATAAATTCCCTTATTGCAGGCAACCGAGATGTATGGATTGGGGAACTGGGCTGAAGTTGCTGAGCATGTTGGGACAAAGAGTAAAGAACAATGTATAGAACACTACACAAATGTTTATTTGAACTCGCAGCGCTTTCCTATTCCGGTATGATGCATTTTGAACAAGTCAGGTCTCTTTCAATCTTAACCTTTCACAAAAATAATCAAGTTCTGGAATGTTTGTTTTCAAGGACATGTCTCATGTAGAAGGAAAAAATAGAAAGGAGCTTCTTGCTATGGCTAAAGGGCATGGAGAGGACAAGAAAGGTTAGTGATAATTACTTCCTCTCAATGTTTGGTATCTCTGTTTCCTTACATTCTGAACTGTTAGCATGCATTAACAAAGTTATTTTCATATACTGGACTTTTAGACAGGCATATACGGTGGCTGATGTTCTGTTCTGCCCAATTAAAGTTCTAGTCCCCCATGCTATCTATAGAACTGTTCCTCATAGTATAATGATAATTCTCATGGAAGACATATTCTAGATCAATTTCCTGCATTCAGTTTCCCTATATTTATATTCTTTTAAAATAACAAAGAACATTGAATTTTCGTGAATTAGGCGGCCCATACTTTGTAGTTTATGTATGACTTCTGGTTGTTTTGGTTATATTCTCGTTCATTTTATTCTTCTTAGTGTTAGTTTTTCTTATTATCAAATACTTGTGACTGTTGTAGGATTTCCTCTGCTGGGGGATCATAGTTTGAAGGAGGAATCTCCATTTTCTCCTTCAAGAACCAAGTATGGTCATCATTCCCACAAATTAATGATATTAGACTATTAGTACACATATGGTACATTTTAATGGGAATCTTCTTGATTTACTCAGAGCGGAAGATATGCACAAAGGTGGCCATTCTAGCCGTTTACTGTCTAGCATCAATACTGGTCAGATAAGATCTATTATTGATTCCCTGTTTATGATTGATCAAATATAGATGATCTTGGACATTTCTCAGGTTTATTCCTTTCTTTCTTATACTTCAGATGCAGAATCTGGACTTCGCTCTAGTGGTGCAAGTGTGGCAGCAGCAGCTGGTAACAAGAAGCCATCCAACATGGCCCAGGTTAAAGATGGTCCTGGTGTCATTAAAGTGGAAGGTGATACAAAATTTTCACCAATAGATTGCAACTAGCACGTCTTTTTTTTTTTTTTTTTTTTTTTTTTTTTCTAGTCCTAACAAAAATCTGACACAAGTTTAAACACTATGGCTGAAGCAATGATGATTGTACTGTGTGTGTGTGTGTTTGTGTTTTCAGGTAAATCACATTGACTGGTGTTAATTTTGACAACACGAGAATAATTTTTCCTGTGTACATCACAAACTTCTAGTCGTCTACTAAATGAATTTTAAGAAGTTACAAGAATTGGTGTGGGATCCATAATTTTCTAGTAATAGGTTATCTAATCTTGTTTCTATTGTTTATGGCAGAACCTCAAGCAGATAGAAAAGGGAAGAAACCAAGTTCTTTGGGGAGTGTGGGCCCTTCTTTAGTCGAGTTGAGTGGTTATAACGTCAAAAGGCAGGAGTTCGATCCTGAATATGATAACGATTCCGAGCAGCTATTGGCTGACATGGAATTTAAGGATACTGACACTGAAGATGAGCGTGATCTGAAGTTAAGAGTGTTGCGAATCTATTCAAAAAGGTAGCTCACTAAGTTGATTTTGGTACATATTTACACCTAGATTAGTATATTATAATTCATTTATTTTTTGGAACTTGAAGTAGGCAAAACGCAGACCAAATTAGGAATAAGTGAAGAAAAGTAAATTGATTAAAAAAAAAGGAATTTAGTCATTAATGCAAATTGCAATGGATGAGGATTCTGTTTTATGTGGCTTCTTTTTCTGTTTCAATTTCCTCTTTTTGGGTTAAGAAAAAAATCTTGTTTGGCTGAATTTCTTTTTGTACTTTTGGTCTACTTTGAGGTTTTGTATATATACCAAGTAGCAATATAACATGAGATCTAACACAACAATTTTTGCTTAAAGCTATTAAATGTTTTGACCTTAATGAGGATAAACTTGTTTGCAGACTTGATGAGAGGAAGCGTAGAAAGGATTTCATACTAGGAAGAAATTTATTATATCCTAATCCTTTTGAGAAGGACCTATTGCCTGAAGAAAGGGCGATATGTCGACGTTATGATGTCTTCATGTGCTTCCATTCCAAGGAAGAGCATGAAGAATTACTTCAGACTGTTATTGCGGAGCATCGGACTATGAAAAGAATTCAAGAACTTAAGGTATGATACTTGGCTGACTTTGGACTTCTATATTTACTTGATTCCGTTATCTTATTTGAGAGCAAAATGCTCTTGGACGCTAATCCATTTTTCAGTTACCAATTGGAATATATTGTCCATAAGCATATGCCAGAACTAATTTCAGTTGTTCTCAAATTGCACGTAACCAAAAACATTTCATGTAGAGGTGCCATGTCTTTCCTTTCAAACTGTAAACATGCATGTTTAATCTTAAAAGTTAGGATGCATGGTGTCGATTTTGTGTCCAATTGTTGGTTGCCTTTTACCCTTGGATCATCATACTCTTTAAATCTATGAGCAGTTGTCTGATATATTTACAAAGCACACACATGGGTATTGCTTTGTTGATTCCTTCCACGAATCTTGTAATATAATCATGCAGGAAGCCCGAGCTGCTGGTTGCCGTACATCGGCTGAGGCAGATAGATATCTTGAGCATAAACGGAAAAAGGATGCTGAAGAAAATGCTCGCAGAGCAAAGGAAAGTGGGCAAGTTGGTGCGAGCAGTCAGGGAGGTCCAAATTTGTTCGTGTCCTCAGAGTCTGTTGACAAGGACTCAAACTCGAGGCCAGCTGGACAGGCTACTTCAAGCTCTGCCAGTGATATGGATATAATGGGATTTTATGGATCAGATTTACTGTCTGAAGCTGTAAGTATTCATTAATAACTTCCTAGGTTGTCAATAAGTAAGCATAAGGACACAATTCTGGTTGTTCGCTGTGTTCCTAGGGTTTACCAGTCACGAAGAAGTGATCTCTAACTTGGCTGCATTGCATCTGTCAGCCAAATTAATCCAAATATATAGTTTTCATAATATGGTTTTTCCTTTCTCTGGATGTGACGTGGTACTGGATGCTGAGTCATCAAACTTTTAGATATTACTTGTAGGACTGGATGCAAAGCCCATGTACTTTTATTTCTAACCTATGTGACTATTGTACTTGTACGAAGCCTTTTTCTGAAGCAATCTACTTTTTGTCCCATGGCAGGAGAAACGTCTCTGCAGCGAGATTAGGTTACCACCACCCGTTTTCCTCAAGATGCAAGAAGTTATTTCAATTGAAATCTTCAGCGGCAATGCCAGTAAAAAATCAGATGTCCATCACTTGTTCAAGATTGAACCTAGTAAAATCGACAGGGTTTATGACATGCTTGTGAAAAAGGGGATCACTCAGCCTTGATAGTAGATACCATTTCAGGCTTCATGTTGTTTTGTTGTACATTGTTTGGATTTGTATCAGTTTTGTTCCAGAGAAATTAACAAAATTGCAAATGCTGCTGCCATATCCTCTCCTTTCCATTTCAAAATTGCTTAGTTACCCTGTTAAAATATCATTACAGAAAATATGAAATATAAGCGCAATTTAATTAAGCCTTCTTTCGTTTGATCCAAAATACAGATGTATTACGATGTCCAAGATCCTACTATTTCCGAAGAAACTGGAGTTACATCTCTTTTCCCTTTCCATTCAAGAGTTCTTATGTGTTTCCACGCCCCCGAATGGCAGTCTCTCATTTCCTTGGTTTTAATGGTCATGTCATGCGAGTACAGACCTTGGAAAAACCATTTGAAAATGAAATGTAGTATGAAAATCTACTGAAACTATGCACCCAAAAAACAGAAAAGAGAGATCTACTGAAACTAAACAAAAGTAGTCGAGTAAAAGGCTTACGGATATACAAGGGTAAAGGAAAAATAAAGTTCAAATAAATATAGTACAAAAACTGCGGACGAGTAAGCTTCATCAAAACCAAAATCATAAGCAAATTTATAAAATTGACACTTAAAAATAACGAAGACAGATACATTAATAAAAATTGAACAAATACACAATTGTGTCGTTTTTTAAAAGTGAGATTTAAATTCTCAAATCAAAACTACTATCGCAAGGAAAACTATTTAAAGAAATAAATGAAAAGGAGAATCAATGATACCATATCACTCCTTAATACTGAGATGAAGATGATTAACATCTACTACATCCGATCCAAATCCTATTCTTAGCTAAAAGTTGTTTTGAAAGCAATACCTTTATAAGCTTTACAATTAAATCTAAAGACTGAAAGAAACTATACTTAAAAGATACCATTAAGATACAAAGGGAAATTTTTAAAAGTTCACCGCTCATGCATGGGTGCAAAAGCACACCCCAATTACACCTAAGAGTGAGTTGAGCTGCTACTGCCTAACCTGATGACCATCAGATTACATTTACTTGAGCACTTGTTGAACTCAATAAACTTAAACCTATCAGATATATAGCTGTACACCTGCCAATTCTCATGATGTTAGAAACTTGATAATAGTACTTTGCATATCTCAATTCCCTATTCCCGACAGTTCATCTTATCTACAAGAACAATGAACCCAACCTTCCAGGATCCTATGGTCAAAAGCAAAAAAATCTCCACCTCAGCCCTGCGCAGCCATTTCTGTGGCTCCCGGTGTTTCAGATTTCTCATAGGTGGGATCAACTTCTTCCTTATAAATCAATTCATCCTTGCTGCAAGTACCATCATCACCGCCATCACCGCCACTAGAATTGTTCTTTTCGTCCTCATTACTGGTACAAGGCCGCTTCCTCAGATTCACCCTCTTCACATTTCCAAATACATCATCAGGTGGGGATAAATCTGGTAATTTCTGTTTTTCTTCTGCCATAGAACTAGCAGAGATTGTTAAGAGCTTCATGCTAGAACTGATATTTTCAGATATATGTAAGAGTATATCAGGCTTTGCCTTCACATCAACCCATGTGTTCTCAACCCAGTCTCGAGAAGCCCTAACATCCTTTCTCTGGAAAATCATAAGCTTCTCCTCACCTAGTATACATTGAAAGAAACATCACTCATCGTGATAAATTATCACCAGCTTGATCAGAAGTTCAAATAAACTAGCAATGCACTCTGTGAAAGGTAAGAAACATAACTTAAAATAAAATACAAAAAATCTCATACCAGGGAAGTAGATTTGTAGAGTATCAGTTCCTGAAATGTCAACTCCAGTAACAACACCTTCCCACCAGCCATCACACCACCATGCATCGACTGGTACTCCAACATCAAAAGTACACTCTGTAGAATCATTAGGACAACAGGGTCGGATTGTCAGGCGGCCTGAGCATCTCATGCCCAGTTTATCAGGAGCAGCAACTCTAAACGCAGGGACCCATTCCTACACATTAACAAAAAATGTGGAGATCTAAATTCCTTTGTGATTAGTTTGCTTAAACAAGCCAATTACAAAAAGAAAAACATACAGACAAAACATTTCTTGAAAATGCAAATGCTAGAACACAATGTTGATGTTATTATAGGCAATTTGTTTGATAGTAGTAAGACCAACAATCACCAATGTCATTATTTCAACTCATGCAGATCATCTACTCAAACACTTGGATAGATGACTAGCAACCAAGCTATATAAAAAAAGTGCCTTCAGATCAGATCTATTTCTGATCACCAAATGTTTATCCATGCTCAACTCTTTCCATTATGAGGCCAGAGAAGAATTCAAATAAAGATCTCTAGAGGATCACATACCTCCAGATTGCCAGATCCAACTACATCTTGCACATCATCATATTGAACTTTGAGAAGCTTCTGAGATGTCCGCAAGACCTGACACCTAAACCAACATCCTCGCATGCCACTATCTTGACAGAGCAACTCTATCTTCTCATCAACCTTAAAAGACATTGGACATTGGGGCTCAGATCCAGCAATCTTAACTCCAATTGCCTTCCTAGATAATTTTAATTTCAACTTTGGGTATGTTGGAACGCAATTTGGTGGATTATTCCCAGTGACCAAATTTTTAACTACAGAACATCCCTGATTCCCCTTGCTGCTTCTATTTCTCTTACAGCTAATCCTCAGAGGATCATCAGGTGCTAACTCTTCCTCTTCCTCATCTTCATCAGATAATTTATGGCACTTGGCTTTTTGCTTGGAGACATTGTGGACATCTAAAGAAGAGAGAATTGCTTGATTAGAATACCCCCGCAATTTAGCAAGACTGAAGGGCCTAACCATATGGTTCTTAAGTTGCCGAAAGCACATATGGATTCCAGATGAAGAATTATGAGCAACAATAGCCAAGCATTTCTCGTAGTGCTTAGGAGTCAAAACTGTTGCAGGACCATCAACACACTCAGCACTGATCACCTGAACATGAGGTGTGATAAAAACTTCTCTGGGGTGTGGATTTAGATGAGGAACTACATCCTTGACTTCCTGAGTGTGGTGAAACCAACGCACCTTAACCTTTTTCTGCCCCTTCTTGTCTTCATACATGTCTTCCAAGTAACCAAGGTAGTGGTGTTCTTCTAACGCCATTATAAACACAAAAGAATGGACCTGAAAATCAGGGCCACAAGAATAAACATTACAGAGGATCTCTATGAAAATTAAAGAGATGCTACTGAAGAAAAGAAAGAGCACCACTAAATGTAGAAATAATAACACATACAACAAAAAAAGGTAGATACAGTTGATGCTTACAGAAATGGTAGCTCCATTCCTGCAAAATGCTGGGTAGTGCCTGAGCTGTTTAGCACAACTCCAGGCAACACCAGACCATTCAATGTCTGAATTGTGAACTTTCAATTTCCTTGGAACCTGGATAAGAAATGGAGATTACTTAGTAAAACTTTTCTAAGAACCCGAAACCCAGACTTAGCAAAAGACAGTATGTGAATACCATCTGATCTGGCAGATAAGTTTGATGAGCACAAAAGCCAGTAATTGGTAATGCTTGTGCTGTTTCATCTGTTGGTGAATCTGCTATAGGAAGAATAAGTTTGTTTAAACTTATAATACAAACTCAAACAAGTATGAGTAGAGACAAACGTGACAAAAGACCATACATGCATTCAGGAATAATACCATAATTACTGTTCCTGAAGCTATGAAAATTCAACAGTAAAAATTAAAAAAAAAGCATACCAACAAGTGACAAAGTACCATTTAATAGTATGCCTTCCAATATTTACTAGTCAGCAGAAAATTTTCAATCCATAAGAAGGATTTCGCCCATAGCAGGCTGCCCATCTTTATTTATTTTCTAAATGAGAATGGACTGAATATAAGAACATCTTACCATATTTTCATCTACACCAACTTACACTGAATATCAACAGGTACCCCCAAAATTCCATTTCACCATATATTTTTTGCTTTCTTATGGGCAATGGTGCACACAGAGTTGATAGTAATGATGGCTTATGGTAACATATGGCTGGCTCATGATAAGATTGGAAATAACTAAATTAAAACTAAAAAGATCTTTCTAGGCATTGTGTTTGACTCCAAAAATTAAGATTAAACATGAATTCCTGGTAAAGATAAATTAGAAAGAAAGTTGTTTAAGCAGCCAGCTTTCTCAACTTTGTTTAATAATCCATGAACGAGGTGAACAAAATATTAATTTCATAATATTGATACCTAAATAGATTATATACAAATTTATAAATAAACCCAATCCTAGACATGTATTTATAAAAAAATCCAAGCACTATTTAAATATAGAAACACACCCAAAATCAACCCCAAAGTCAACTTTTGGGTGTGTTTATAAATGGGTTTTGAGTGTGTGTAATGATGGGTTTTGGGTGTGTTTATAAAGTGTTTTGGGTGTTGGGTTTTTTTATAATTTCAACCTCCATTTTGGGTGTTTTAGTGAAACTCCCATTAAAACCTAAAAAAACCAAAAACTTCAAATATGAGAAATCATTATACCACTTTATAATGACCTAAATAACTTAATGCTTCCATTTAAGGTTACCACTTTAATTGAAAACCCTCATGGAATACCCAGAGGTTGACAAATTAGTTTACTAAACCAAAATAGGAAAGCAACAGAATTAATGGAAGAAAATATATTCCATTTCTCCTAATCAGCAATTTCACATGTTGACTCAATCCAGGAATAAGTTTCAACGTAAATAGCAATGTCTACGGCTACCCAGCATACCGTGTCGTATGATACTAGTCTCCGCAACAGAAGCAACGACTCCACACTAAGATTCTGAATTCCTATGGGTTTAAACAAATAAACTATTGATATGTACTAAAATCTTCCAAAATTTCAAAATTTGACAGGTAAGAAAGTAAAGGTCACTAAATTAGGGATTTAAGACTCATACCGCGTGGCCCTCCCTTCCCTGGCCCCCAGAAAAAAACAGAGAGAGAAGAATTCGCATCAAAGTATAATTCCAAAATGTTCAACAAGCACTCAAATCATGGATCAAAATCAAAACAGGTAAAGACATGATAAACAAGGAAAATATAGTGCAAAGCATGAATAAAGAGTGATTGATAGGCGTGAGATTTAAGGCACGACATGGTACCCATTCTATCATTAGAGGTCGAAAATCCCGTCGACGAACTCATACTAGTTCCCCCTCTTTCTCTCTCTCACTCACTCACTCCCTCTCCCCCTCTTTCTCCTTCCTTAAGTGGGTGCAGTGGATTTGTGAGAATTGAAGAAATAGAAGGCAAGGATGTTTAATGTGACAGGAGAACAAGCTGGCAGAAAGAGCTCATAAAACAATGACCATACAGAGACGCATAATAGCCAGCCTCTCCTTTTTGGAAAGATGCTGAAATATAATTGGCTTGCATTCTTTACAAAAAGTTGGATTTTCTGCTCATCAAAAGAAATCCAGTTACTTAGGCAATCTCCACTAACATATAGAATTAAGTTGACTTTTCTTGACTGCAAATCCAAAATAAATTTAATCTCTTGGAGAAAAGGTAGGCTGGAATACTCCCTCTATTCTTATAACAGAAAAGAAAAAAAAGGTAAAAGCAGGTGAAAATTTTCTAATGATTGTAGATTAATAAGAAAGGACTCATGTATCCAGCCCAAATATTCTCTGATGATTCTACATTCCTAATGAAAAACTTACTAGATTTGATTAAGACTGGCTTACTTGATTCCAAAACTACTAACCATATCATGTGGTTAGAATTACGTTCTAAAGAAAAACTCATCAATGGAAAAACACGATGCTTTGGTATGCTAAAACCGATTATTGTATGAATTTCAAAGGCACATTCAAGGATGCTTCCCAACCTTCAATAAGATATATGATGCAAAAGAAATTGCCTCACTAAAGCAAAGAAAATAAATTTTCTATATATAAAAGTGGGAATGTCGTAAAACAGTTTTTGGACAAAAATACCCTTACCTATTAAAACTAAATTGTTTCAAAGAATAAGTTTATTTCATTATCATCTTTACCTTTTTCTTCAATACTTTAGCCATCCCTTATATGGCATGAACGTGAGCTTCAAACTACATTACTAGAGAGAAACTAGCACTGGCAAAACACATTGCTTTGGTACGTTAAAATAGGTTACTACAAGAATTTCAAAGGCAGGTTCAAGCATGGCCTCCACCCCCAATCAGATAAATTACATGAAAAAAATTGCCTTTCTAAAGTGTAACTCTTTATCATACATAAAAGTAGGAATGTCGTACAACAGTTTGTTGGACATAATTACCCTTTTTCCTTCTTTCTTGATCCTTTTTCCCTTATTTCAATACTCTCGCCCTCCCTTGATGCCCACCATGCCATCTCTCTTACATTATTGATTCTCGATATTATATGCATCACATAATTAAAGCCTACTATCAAAGCAATTTATTTAAGATCACAATTCAACCTACAAATCTCCAATAAATTATTTATTCATAAAAATGACTCTGTACATTTTAAAGGTTTAAAACATCTCACAATTCAAATCATTCACAACCATAGACAGAAGAATTCACCTTCTACATGTTCAAAATTCAATAGAATAGTTATACTCTACAGTACACATATGAAGCGCACATGCACACGGGCATGCAGGAGCACACACGCACATGCATGCTCGACCACTACAGAATCTAACCTACAAATTAGAGAACATGAGTGCAATAGATATGGGGAGGATTATAAATAGATATCATCTCAAACTGAGATTCCAAATATGTTCAGATTTCGAACAGAAACAAATTTGTCACATTACATAACCAAACAGAATTATTGTTAGATGCTTGTGCAGTAGATATGCAAGTATAATTTGGTCCAGAGGATTACAGCTGAAGCGAGAGCTGTGGATAGCTCAACTGGTATGTATATCAAAGTTGTAGACAAACTAATATAAAGTTACACAGCTTCTGAGGCTACAACAAGCTGAAATAAAGAAGTTCTGGATGAGAACATTTTATTCAATTATACACCTTTGATTCAAAACAACATGAAACAAAAGTAATATACAACTTTGCATTATATTCCTAAAATATACTACTTTGTGAGACTTCTTAGGGTAATGCTAATTTCAAATTTCTAGAATACGTTTGAGTCCTTTTTTAACTAAAGGATTATGATAATTGATCTAAAAAATTTAAAATTCAAGATTCTAAAGAAGAAGATAAAGGATGCAATGTTGGAGGGACCTACAACTGCTTTCCCTAGACTGAGAAAATTACATCAATTCAACAAAAAGATGAGATAATGCTATGTCACAAATATCTCTGATTTTCACTTTGCATAGGAGATCGCCACCCCTAAGTAATGCATAACCATGCATGAAATTTTTATGCTAAACCTGGTATGTCAAGTGCTACTCTTCTTCCGTATTGATATTCTAGTCTAACAGTACATTGAGGCAATGCTTATCATAACCTGTATTCATAAGTTTAAATCCACTTACAAATCACAACAAAGGACAACATTATTCAACATAAATATCCAAAATTGCTCAAAATACCATGAAAGGAACCTGAAAATTTCAATATGATAACATAACATACTTGAAACCTCTGACCAGCTAGGCCTCGAGACCAAGGAAGTAAGCCATTCTACAACTTCTCTTCTTGCTCTCCATTTGGTACACGCATTAATGAATCCCTTGGACCCATAAGTCTCCACGAACTCGTCTGAAACAACATACATCATGTGCCTTATACTCCTCTCAGTCCCTATTACGGCGAGGACAAATTCCCCTGATGCCTCCTTCAAGTAATAATGAACGACACGGTTACCACGCTCTTGACACAAAGTGTGCTCCTCCCACGACACAAAACTATGAGTATTCGTCATCATCATATTATTTAGGGAGCCCCAAAATGACAGAAGAAGCCCCCTTTATCACATTACCTGAAAATTCCAAAGCTTAACAGTGATGAGCGTTTTAGTACTCAAATAACCAACTCAGTTGACTATGAAACCCTAACTGAGAACATGGATTCTCATAAAACTCAATCCCATTCAAGGAAAAGTAAAGTAAATTATAAATAAATAAAAATTAAATTGAAAAAAAAAACCGGTATAAAAGAGAAACCTACCGTTGCTAGTATACTCAAAGAGGCGGAAATTCTTGGAGCCAAACAGCCTCCAAGGAAGTGCGTATGGGGCAAAGTGAACAAAACTGGCCAAAAGTGAAAGGGAGAGAGAACTAGGGTTCTAAAACCTAGACCCAATTCATAAAAACGAACTGGGTCTATCACTCAGCTTGGCTTCAAAGGCGAGGGGAACAAGCAGGAGACTGAAATGGCATTAACGATGACCGTATGATTAGCGAGGGAACCCTTTGTCGATAAGCATGAGGATGACGAAGAAGCCCCAAAAAGCGAAAAAGAAAGAAACAAAAGGTGGGGTGTTTTCAGTGGTTGAAGCGGAGCAGAAAAAGAGTGAGCTTTGGTTGAAAGGGCATGGGAGGAGACAGAAAGCAGAGAGTAGGTCGTCAAATGTCTATGGAACTTCAAAGAAGCGACTGAATGACCTAATGTTTAGAGAGGAAGAGAAAAGGGGGCGCCAGGACTTGAGTCAGGGCTTGCAGAGCTTGGGGACCAAGGCAGCCCATGACATCTGGTGAGGGAGAAGTGGAGCAAAATGGGGAGGGTAGCCTCGGAATTGTGAGATTTGCGGGAGGCTATTCTTGTACGTTTCAATTGCGGCCTTCTTTGGACACGTGGTACTTAGTACCCAAAATAATTAAAAGAAAAAGGTAAGTGAATTAAGGACGCGTTTGTTTTGGGTGGGAAAATGAGTTTGTGAATTATTTACTTTTTTATGTTTGGTAAGTTTATATTTGAGAAAAAGTTTAATGCCAAATAAGAAAATGAGTGGAAAAATCAAAACGTAATTTTTTTTTTTTTTTTTTTTTTTTTTTTTTTTTTTTTTTTTTCAAAATAAAATAAGTGTTTTAGCTGACCCAAAAAAGGAAATAAATAATAAAAGTAAGTGAATTGAGGGTGAGTATCCCACCCTCAATTATTATTATTATTATTTGTATCAATTTTATCAGTGAAACTAAAATCACTCCTATGACCTATCCTATGTGCATAGAGTTGAATCAAATATTGCTAAAATCTCGACAGATGATGTACATGAAGAACGTGCCCATAAACTTGGAAAAGTATTGTATTCTTTTGCCACAAGGGACTTTCATTTCACCATATCCCAGAATGTCACTGGTGAAGGATGATGTGATCTGTGTCTGTGTGGCAAAAGATGATAGGCTATAAATATTGGCATGAGAGAAGATAATGGTAGCTTCCCACACTGAATTTGACCTTCCCTTATCCTGAATAAAGAGAGATAAGAAGGCCAAGCAATGATGTCCACAAACTCCCAATTGAAAATTTGTAAGGATAATAGATGGTATAGCTTAGCTTAGCAGTTGGATAGAACTTAGCAGTGAGAGAGCACTCTTGTGTTGTGTTTGATAGAGGTTGGGGGAGCCAATGAAAATGTCTACCTTGAGCTCCCAATTCCACCTCCCAACCAAGTATCTTGCAACTTCAACTTCAAATCCTTCATTTCTCATCCCCACTACTTCACAACAAAAACACCCTGCATATCCAACAATATTATCATCTCTACCTTCTGAAGCTACAAGTATCCTTCCACCAACAGTAGCATATGCTAGAAAATCCAAGGCCTTAGTTATACAACATGAACAAGTCAGTGGGAACTCGTCGTTGTCGAGGTCAAGGAATTTGATAATGGGAGTTGTTTCTGTTGGAGTTGTGGTGTTTCTGATGGGGATGGACGGGCAGAAAGCTATGGCTTTGGGTCCTGAAGGGCCGCTGATGGAAGAGTTTTGGGATAATGTTAGGAGATATGGACTTTACGCTCTCACAGTGAGCACAGGTGCTCTGTACGCTACCTTCCAGCCTATATACGAGTTGTTGAAGAACCCCATCTCTGCAATTCTGGTGTTGGTAATATTAGCCGGCGGTATCTTCATCCTTTCCCAAGTGGTTACAGCCATGGTTGGTGTCTCTGATTTTACTTATGATTATGGATATTGAACTGATATATTTGAATGTGGATTCATTCCCTATATCTATTATGTAAGTAAAGAGACTTTTTGATGCATGTCGACTAGGAAGTTCATTTCCTATTACAGTTTCTCTAGACGCAACGCAACGCAAATTTGGAGTATGTGAAAATGGTAATTATTTATTTTAGGAAATCTTATTGTTATCCAAGTTTGGCAACTGGTAATTATTTATTTTCATTTTGAAGAGAACTACATATCTCTAGACCAGTTATAAAGTCTAGCAAACTTATTGCATTATATAATATGATTGCATAAGAACAAGTCCTCTGTTTTTAACAAAAGATTTATATATTAGCTAGCTTGGAGCTTGGTTGGTGGTTTTAGTTAGTTTAGCAGCAAACTACAGATGAAACTGATAGAGGGTAGCGGAAACTGTTGGCATACTGGAAAGAGAGGGTTTCTCCAGGGCCTAGAGCCTCACCATCATTGACTAGGCAGTCATCAAAGTCATTGCGTCTAAACACTTTTGGATTGACCAGCCGGACTGAGCTAAACCACCCACAGCTGACGTGAATGTTGGATATGCGGCAACCCGAAACGCAGGCGTTCAGGATCTCAACCGTGTAGGCTGGAATTCCATTGGGAAGTGGGGCTGTTTGGCCTTGCAATATCACTATGTCGTCTTTTGAGCATGCTGCCCCAATACGATTCATGTCTCCTCCTCCATCATCATCTGCATCTGCATGCACATCATTAGTTAAGTTTTCTAACTTACCGCACATTATTATTACTGTCCCAAATTAATTAAACTACACTGATGTGAGCCTAGACACGTTAACCACGTCCTCTTACACCTAAAAATTGAACCCAATCAAGCATTGCCTAGGCCTCCTTACCTAGAGGGTTAGTAATAAAAGGCTTCCATTGCAATTCTGGACACAAGTCCATTACATTCTAACACCTGGCATTGTGCTGGAGTCAGACTTGACAGATTAATGTTGGGGCAGAAATGAATCAGAATCAGATGGTCCAAAACCAACCAACCACAGCCCACATGATCATTATGGATTATAATGATCTTGAGAAATTTAAAGGCCCAATCATGTCAAAGCAAAATTCATGTCTAGGCTCTAGCTTTCTGATTATAATAATCCAGTCTTACCTTGTCTAGGCAATCTAGACAATTATTCATCAAGTCAAAACGTAGTACGTAGCTAAAGATAGAGTTACACTGACATACATGGCAAATTAGAAAAATAGTATAGCAAATTTGAAGGAAAGGAGGTCAAAGATTAATAAGAGTAGAGTAGCCATAGGCTTAAATATTTATTAGTATTACCACCAGTTGACTGCAACAGCTTCCGATGACCATAGCCTGCAGTGTGGTTTTCATTGGAAAAGACCAGCCTATTATTATTAATGCCAACACTACTTCCCAAGTGATCAATCACTGCATTTCGAGAAACAGATTCATTATATTAGAACGGAATCGGTCATGACATGAGGAGAGTACTTTGAAGATCAAATGATATGAATGAGCTTAACACATCCTATAAAAAAATGATCAAAAATGATATAATTATATGTATGGTCTAGACTCTAGATCCAGCACCATGGCAATGAGGGCAAGCAATTTCATCTGGAAACTAAAAAGTAGCTTCCAAAACAGAGTTATGGCGGGCGTAGGGAAACGATCAAAAAATGGCCGGCCCTCGCTGTTGCCAAAAAAAAAGAAACTTGTATATATAATATACGTACCGAAGAACAAAGCAATAAGCATCATAATAAAACCGAAACAGATGATCATCAGGGCCACAGAATTAGCTATGAAAAGTCTCCTGCTGCAGCCATTGATCAGTACACCTCTGAATCTCATCACGGATGATCAGTTGCTTGCTTCGATATAGTATATATGTTTTCAGCTAGCTATAAGCTGCATGTCAACAAATATTTCATACCAAAAAAGGAAATAGCAGGTAAAAGCGTGGATGCATCTTAATGGGGGGAAACTAACAAAGTATATATATATGAATAATGAACCTCACTCACTCTTTTAGAGAGAAATATAGCTAGCCACTGTGCATGCGTTGTTCAAGAGCCAAAGAGGGTGGTGATGCTGGTGCTGGTGCATAGCTCCAAATCTGATGCGGTAGAAACTTCAATCTAGAAAGGGAAGGGAGAGAGCAAAGCTATATAATATATATAGCTCGAAGACATTAATTTACATCCATTCGAAATTGGACTTCAATGTGCAATCTATTACAGAACTGACATTGCTTTTGGGATTTTGCATGGGAAAGTTGTTGACTCGTTGACTGCAGCTAGCGTACCTACCTATGTGGCTATGTCCCAATGAATTGTCCAGATTCCAGAACTACGAGGGACGACGACACACACGGCCGGGTTTGAAAAATTGAAAAAAAGAAAAGAAAAGAAAAGAAAAGAAGATTATTGGAATTTAAAAAGAAAAGAAAGAAAAGGCATTTTATTTTATTTTGGGTCAAAGTTTGGACTATATATATGTACATATTAAGAAAGGCTTAGGAATTCGATATTGAAGTTATGTTTTTGGCGTGATTCAATATTGTTCAACAAACAAGGCTTTAGGAACCAGCAGCAAAATCAGGAATTAAAATGATGCTCTATTGATTCCTGATGGCCTCTCCTCCTCCTCCTCCTCCTCAGTAATATAAGAAATGAATTAGTGGTCCTAAAAGCAGTTGGTGCATTTACAGTGTGTAAATACACAAACACAATAAAGAATGATATCAGCCTCAAGATTTCCCAAGAAGAAATTGCACCCCATGGGCCATGCCCAGCAACTTCATTATGGTAAGAGAGTTAAGACCTGGTTAGCTCTAGCCTCTAGCTAGCTACCTAGAATAGATTATAACTTGAGGCAGCAAACCAAAAAGAAGATCACAGGCAGGCAGTGATATACGTGGATTTTGGATTTGAATTTGAACCGCTAGTGGTAGGGGTCAAGGTCAACTACAACATGATTGACAATGAAGGAGAGAAATTAGGCTACTTTAATTATGTGAAAGAGCCGCCAAAAGCAAAAGCAGAGAGCAGGGGAGGATGCATCATGCATACCTGCAGGCTGCAGCTGCTCTGCTGCTGGGCCCGGCTGGCTGGCTGGCCTTTCATCTACCGTCCAAGTCCTCAGTCGCATCCCACATTAGCTTAATTAAATTGTTTTTATCGCAGCTGAGTGATTGATTCATAGTTAATTAGTATTATACTTACTGCTGGTGCTGGTGCTGGTGCTGGTGCTGGTGCTGGCTGAACCAGAAGTAGCAATTGGACATCATTCACCTAACCAAGCTCGCACGTGCTGCGTATTAATTTACTGCATCTATTTATGGTAACTATGATATGTATACGTAACATGTTGTTGGGTCTCTATCTCTCTGCGTTTTAAGTGGTATACAATTTGAATTTGCTCTGCATCAAATTCATTAATCGATGACATCTCTCTCTCTCTCTCTCTCTCTCTCTCTACTTAAGCAGTCGTGTCTGTTTTCTTCTGATAATGTAATTACACATCAACATGGCCGTGGGACAATCTTCATCTCAAGTCATAGTACCGTGTCACCCAACGCGGATTTCAGGCAACAAAACTTGGCATAGATTGATTGCAAAATCATTAGTATAAACTTTTGATTCCGGCACAAGCAACCTCATTAGAATACAACCTAATTTTAAATAATAATAAAAAGAAAGAAAAAAGAAAACAGCCCATTAATGACGCCCTTATCTTATCTTAGATAGGGACTTTCTAGTTTTTGTGGTGTTAAGTCAATCATGTAAGAAAATCCAATTAGCAAAGGGGTCATGAAATCTTAGATAGAAAGAAAGCCACTAGACATATTATTGAAGATATATAATTAACGCGAAGATGGGGAAGGGATGATGTGTTAATACGCAACTCAATCATTGTTGCTATTTTCATTATATAAGAATAGTGACTAATAACCACTCCTCAAACAAGTTGAGTATCCTATTAATTCCTCTGTATCTATATATTTTGATGTTGTTGGCACCCAAAATAGCCATCCGTATGTACATGAATGAATATTAATACATGATGATGATAACTATGATCACTATTTGGTTTGCAGCGCTCGACTAAATTTCAAACCCTTTTATTATTAAATTGAAATATCGTACCGTATCGTATGGACCACTTCAACGAATGTGATATATATTAGGCAGTTTTTATATATTGAAGGCTTATAAATACGGGCTTAAGCCACTATAAACTTGCTGCAGATCAAATATCAATTGCTTGATTGATATTATATATCCTAATAATTTCCTCTTCCTTTGAATCTCTCTCTTTCTCTCGTTTTAGCTTGAGATTGAGAGAGATCAGAAGAAGAAAAAAAGAGAGAGAGAGAGAGAGAGAGAGAGATGGCTGCAGCTTTGAGTTGGCTTCTTCATTCAGCTTGCCATGTTTTATTGTACCCAAAGGTCGACTCAGACTCTAATAGGGTGATGGGCAACCCTAACCCTAGTAATAATATTGAAGGCGATCATCATCCTTCAGGCCCAGGCTCAGAATTAGGAGGGGGTCATGTGATGAAGAAGGTGGTTTCTAATTACTCCAATAAGAGTGCAGAAATAATGCATCCTTCAGGTTCAGGCTCAGGAGGATTTCAGATGCCCCTTCATTACCCTCGCTACACAAAGGCGGACTATGAGAAGATGGAGGAGTGGAAGGTGGACCTGCTCCTCAAGCAATACGGGCTTGCTTTCCAAGGGACCCTTGATCAAAAGAGGGCATATGCAATCGGAGCATTCTTGTGGCCTGATCAGTACTGATATTATCACTCAACAATATTTATTTTCTTTAATTAATAATTAGTTCGTTATCTTCTATTGTAATATTGGACACGTACGTACCTACCGAGTCACACATTCGATCGATGAATGGATATATGTGTGAGCATGGCGTACCTATTATGTAAGAAATATAGGATAAGAGGCTTCTGATTATGTGCATTTTATGTGTTTTGGTCTGTAATCTGGTGGTAGCCTGTCTTCGCATTCTAGTACTACCTTATTATTTTTGTTATTTGAAAATTAATTAATATATTATATATGTATGCCTTGCCTTCCTCACTTATTTTTGCTGTGACCAACCAATTAACAGATGTACAATAGAAATGAATACATCATGTCTGGAGTCTGTACATGCATTTGAGTGCGAGAGATCTAGCTCCTCAAATTATACAATAATAATTAATTAATTGATTAATAATGTCAGTTTCTTCATTAAAATCGGCTTGCCATAATGCCATTGCCAAGCGTACGTCGGTGTATTTCCATTTCCTAATTAAGTGAAGGATGTTTTGCTGAACCCGTAATTGGAGGGCATGATTATTCTTGCAAATTAAGCTGCTCTGTCAAGAAGATCCTGGTCAAACTTCTTTGTCTATTATCTATATAGCTATCTCCTTTTTAAAAGCCAGCTGTCCAATGAATTTATGTCATTTGATCATTTGTTCCGTGAATCCATATCCGAGATGATGATTATATTCGTAACCGTACCTAACCAAGCTTACATTATATCTAAACAATATGACTACAAAGAAAATGTTGCTGCCGTATACTATATATTATTTACATATATCCTTGTGCAGAGCTAGAGTTTTTGTTTTTTGAGTTTTGATCATGAAAAAATGAGAATTAAGAGGCTATTTTATTTCTGAATTTGAGGAGATAGATTTAGATTTTTGTTAGTTTGAAGAGTTGTGTGAAATAGGTAGAGCTAGGTATTTTGTTTTCTGAGTTTAAGAAGTTTCGATTTTTTTTACCCCCCTTCTTTCCTTTTATAAACATCTATTACGACACTTATTTGTGGGGATGCCCCATAATAATAATAATAATAATTTTTTTTTATAAATAATTTGTGGGGCCGTTTCATAATTTCCGCTCTCTGTTTTCCACCTCGAGCTCCGCACCTTCATGATAATAAATGTCTTAATTAATATATTTATTTTTAAAAAGAAAGAGGAGAGAAAAAAGAAGGAAAGAAAAAAGAGAAGAGAGAAGCAAAAGACAAAGTTGTCAGTAAAAATATTATAAATTTCAAATGGCGTAGCACGTAATTATAAAGTTGTATATGATATGGTGATTAAGGTGTTGAGGGGGAATGAAAGTGAGGGGGGTTGGAAACCCTTGTGCCGTGTGGACCCAAGCCAGCCCAAGGGACATTGTGTTAGTGCACTGCAGTCTTACTTAATACCATGTCCTAGACTCCTAGACAAGACGTAGAATATTATTAGATTTAGATTAGTGGTGACAATTTTTTATCTTTTATTTTGGTGGCAGCTAGAAACTTCAAGAGAACATCTTCATTATTCTTTCAATGTTGTGGTGTTTTTTTTTTTTTTTTTTTTTTATTTAAACACTGATTGGGCGGCCCTCTCCTGCACTGCGCCCATGCATGTAATAATTGTCTGAAATGCTCCGTTCCCTGCCCACTCCTTAATAAGAAACGTATTTCATTCATTCCCTCTCTCCCTTGTAAGTTGTAACCTACCTTCTTCTGTTCTCTTCACTTCCACAACAGAAGAGAATTATTCGAACAAGTACTTATAATTATAAGCAGCAGTTATGATTATGGATCAAAGTAACGATGAGGATCAGAAACTCGTTGCTGTGCCTAAAAAATATTCGAACAAGTACTTGTTCTACTTGGGCCAGTTGTTGATGAAAAGGACTTTGAAGCTTCTACTCTCAGTGTCTTTGTTGTCTTTGTTTCTTCTTTGCTATTCTTCTTCATCAGGTTTTTGTTTATTTCCCTATTCCTTCACTGAGTTCAATGTTTATTTCTCCACGTTGCTTTTCTCAATCTTCACCCGCGCCCTAGACAGGAAGTACATGTTTCTCGTTTGTAATGGAATCCTTGCTTTTCTTGCAAAAACTACTACTTCCAAATCCAATGATAATTCTTGCACTTGCAGTTTCAGTTGCAGCACCACCTCTATTAATAATCATGAATCCCACGATGAGTCTCTAGATCAGGACGCCATCGCTTATGCTGCTGGTGAAGATGAAGGGGAATCGCCAACTATACAAGAAGAAGAAGAAGAAGACGACGACGGAGATGGACAACAGGAAGAACTTAAAAATGGGACTCTATTGCAGGCAGAAGAAATACCTCAAGCTTTTAGCGCAGAAGAAAAAGGAGGACGTGAATCTTTGATAAAACAACCCGAAGAAGAGATGGACACAACAGAGCTGGAAACAAATCATGTTAATGACTACTTCGCCGCTACTAGTACAGATGAACTCAACAAAAAATTCGAAGAATTTATAAGAAAAATGAAGGAGGAAATCAGGATTGAAGCTCAACGGCAACCCATTGCCGTTTAAACATTCAGCGAGAAGATGTGCCTCTGCACATACATAAAACATATGCAGTTCAGTTTGTTTAACTCATCATCATAGCAGTCATCGTCGTCATCAGATCAGGTTTTAATTATTTTCTTGTAGCTCTATAGCTGGTAGTACTGTAACGTCACTTGGACCTTGTAAACATCTCAAGTGTATGATTATGCATTCCATTTTTATGTCGTTGATTGCTCTTTCCATCCAATCAATTAGGAATGATTTATTTCTGAATCCTATTAATTTACAGTGATACGATATATCCATCTAGTCTTCAACACTCTCTACTACACAACAAAGCCAACGTTGCATTGCTTTGAAGAACTGAAATTGCAGCAAATGGAATGATATGAAAAAATTATTATCTTTCGAGGGTTGAGGAAATTGCATTAAGATAGCTAACTTAGGCAGCCCATCAGAATTCAGAATCCGATCAATGGCTCCATAACTTGACCGTCTATCTACGCCCAAAAAAAATATCACTAATAGTTTGACAACAGACAACAGCCAACAGGCAACAGGCAAAAACAGTGAGTGAAAACCGACTTTTAATGACAAATTGGTTGGGGCTTTTGTCATCTACTACTTTGTACAGTGCGCAAACCGACTCTTGATTTTTTAGATTTATAATAATCAGGAATACCACCGACACCTCGAACGGGGTCTCTAAACCTCTTGAGAATAGGGGCCCCTACCCTTTCCGGAATTATGAAAGGAGAGATCTAGAACTAGAACTAGAAGCATTCCAGAGTGATCGTGAGAAACGCAAACTGGTTCCTGTCTGTGTCTGCAACTGAGGACAAGACGTGAGGTGCCAAATAATTGCCAACAGTTCCAGTACAAATTATGAAACTACTTCTTCAATCAACCAAGGCCTTCATTCAAATACCAAATAGATAAGGATAGGATGTAGGGTCCAATTTCCAAGACAGACAGTAATACTAACAGTAGCTGGGTTTGGTCCAGCACCTCTTGGCTCTCTTCGAATGATAGAGAGTTCAGTTAAACTTGAATTGGAATTTGGATTTGGATGGAGGAGGACATGAGATGACCCCATGATCCAAATCACCACTTTCTATAAGCAACTTTACTTGGTGGCTATCTATTGCAAAACCTTAATCTTGAAAAACTTGCACAATACAAAAACATATTACTACTACTCACAAATAATAAAAAGTGCAGCTAGTATGGTAATTCGCAACACTTCTTCCCCATTTTTGTTCTCCTCTTTTTTTCTTTTTAAACTAAACAGATTGTGTTGGCATACTTGAATCCAATTTTTATCTCAGTTAAGGGAAAAAAGAATCTAAAAACTGGTAAATGCTAAAGAAAGCTACTCCACAGTTTCCAGAAAGAAAGGGCAAGACCACACAAAGGAAGAAACTCTACTTTGCTTCATTTCAAATTTTATCAATGACATATACAGATAGAGTACATCACCTTAGGTAAGTTCCTTTCTCCACTTCCTTTTTGTGTGTTGTGATGTCATACATCAGGAAGTTTAAACAGTAATTTGGCCGAACAGCGAAGGATCTTCCAAACATTACACTTTTCCGCTTAATATAAGAGAAATAATGCAAAGCCATATTGTCCTGCCATTGCCTAAACCTTCCAACCATATTTTCTTTAACTCTGTCTATTCTCTAAATTCCAGAAAGCATGTTGCAGTTGCATTTGATACCAATACAGTACACATGAACAACTGCTTCAACTTAGCCCGTAGGGGAAAATGTCAGATCCATAGCAACTCCTTCACATTCTGGCATATTTCTAACCTCATTAAGAATCCTTGTGAGTTGTGTTGTCAATTCCCTGCGAACATAATCAGCACGCTCCTTTGTAATTGACGATTCTGTAAACAGGGTTTCATTAAGGCAGTGATAATCTTGAAACCATTCATCATCACTAGTTCGAGTAATGTGGTCATCATAAAAATCAAGAGAGCTTTCTTTCCGCCATCTATTTAAATAGTACTTGTCAGGAAGCTGAAAGTAGTTCTTTACTACAAATACACGCAGAGAATGTCTGCATAACAATCCAGAAGATTCAAACTCTTTACAGGAACAATGAATCTGTTCCTCTTCTGGTATCCATATCACAAGACGCTCCCCATCAATCTCCTTAAAGTGGCGCACAAGATATGACCCGTTGGACATTTCAGATACTGCATATTGCATGGTGAGCACAAGTTCATGCTGCAAAGCATTGAAGGCAAAAGGCGTCAGAATACTCCTCACATGCTCTTCAATGGGAATGCATGTTTTAATATGCATATACTGCATCTCTTGACGTGCCTGATTTTGAAAATTGGCAGAAATACCAACCTGCAAGTGTTCAAGCATTAAGAAACCATATCAATTGAATAACTAAAGGCATATATCAAACATGAAAAGTTTTTACTAAATACCTGCTCAAAAAAGCTACGCAAACATGTTTGTGCACTGAAAACTCCTTTCAAAAATGCATCTACAGACTTTGAATATGTAGTCGTTGCCATACAAGCAAGAAAGTAACCCTTCATATATGACAGAGCCCAGGATGCCCGGAATGAATAAAGTAAAGCAATATGTTTATCTGTAGTAAGCCCAAACATTGAAATCATTTGATTCCATTGAAGCTCGAAATCCTCTGTACTCTCCACCCGATATAACACATCAAACTCAGATTTAAATTCTGCACAGCGAGATCCAAGTGAAACAGAGAACCAGCTGGATACCTTGGGAAGAATATTCCATATAGAAACGACATGTTTAGTGCCTGGTAATTCACTTCTTATTGCATCTCTCAGCCCAGGATCAAGATCAGTTAGAATTGTTTGGGGGCATCTCCCTCTCATGAAACGAACAAAAGTCTGTATGCAAAAAGTACAAATCAATGTCAGGGAGCATATAAGAAGACATGGCTAATCTAAAATCAGTATAGTGGATACTGGATAGAAAACCTGTAAAGCCCACGAGAAGGAACGAGGTGTTTCATCTTGCAAAAGAACACAACCAAAGAAAATGGTCCTTCCATGGTTGTCAATGCCAAGCCATGCTCCAAAAAGCACGCCGTATGTGATTGATTGATACGAAGTGTCAAAATAAACTGCATCACCAAACATAGTGTATGCATGGACTGAATCACCATATGACCATGCAATGTGTTCAACTTTATCATTCTCATCAACTGTAAAATCATAAACAAAGTCTTCATCTGCTTCTTTTGTTCCCTTGCATGCCTCAAGAAGTTCCAATGTATCGTTTTCCCGTTTTTCAGTGAGCAAAGCATCATTTTCTTGAACAACCTTCTTACGATTTTGGACAAAATTTCTAACGTCCCTCTCTAAAAAGGGTAATTGTCCACCTTGAATCCCCTTTTCCAACTCCAACACCTTCACTATGCGATGTATAGGAAACCCAGCTTTGGAAAGTAATAGTATCCGCTCTTGATCCGCCTCATGAATTTTACGATATGCAGGAAGAAGGCGTACTTGGTCATCTTCCAAAAGCTCATGGTTATGGACATTACTGAATTGCACAACAAACCATTGAGAAACCCCATCAACTACCTCCTTGGACAAATACATTTTTGCATCACATCCACACCGAACTGACTTCCTATCCCTGTGGTGTTCTCCTGTCGGCTTCTTCTTCACTGGTGCAAAGCCAGAACGATAACAAACAAAGTCACGCTTATAAATACCCAACTGAGGGCTAAGTCGGGACCGCTCTTTCCGAATTGAGAAGCCATTTTTTCTAGCAAAGTTGCCATAATACTCAAATGCATCATCGTCACTCTTAAATACCATTCCAACATAAGGGGAAACCATAGCTTCTGAGCCTGCACTATCATTCTTTACCAATTGGGATGTTATAGATGATGTCTCTTCAGAGTCTCCCTCATATGTCACATAGCATTTCCAATCCCCACATGGGCATTGTTGCCGCCGAATCCATATGTTTTTCGATGGTGGAGAAGTCATTTATTACACTTCAATTTAACCTTAAAACTCAACCTTAAGCTACTCCAGTCTTGAGTCACCAAGAAACGTTGCCCGCAGTCTAAACCCTTAAACAAAAACTAAAATTGATAGAAGAAAAAAAAAAACAGGGTTTTTGATGGGTTTCACAAAGCGGCAAGTGGTTTAACAGATTGGAGAAAGGAAATCGAACCCCAGAAATATAAAAAGAGCTTAGAACCGGGCTGAAAAATCACGTACCAGTGAAAGAATAGGAGAAAGTGTGCTTAAACCCTTGTTCCTTCTTCAACTTCCTCCACAGCTGAGCTGAGTGTCCTCCTTTTTTTGCTTTTCCCTCTCTCTGAAAATTTCCCAAATAATTGTAACCGAAAAAAGAAAAAACAAAGAAAAAGGGGTTTCAATAATGGAAGTAGAAGCAGAAGCAGATTAGATGGGTCAGGCCTGTTAAAGGACTTGTTTTACTCTGGGCTGGACTTGGGCATAGTCTTAGTTGGAGTCCAAGTTTGGGCTATAGTTCTGCAGACGTTCTTAACCGAACAAAAAACACACACACACACACACATTTCTTTTTTTTTCTTTTTTCGGTCAAGACACATTTCTTTTCCTTTGTTGTGATGATTTTAGAGTTTCACCCAAAATAGGATTGGAAGGGACATAAAATAAAGGAAGGGGCGCAATTAAGGGGAAATATTACTTGTTTCTTAAATGCAATTTTCACTGTATCTTGACCGCGGTTGGGAGATTCTCTAATAAGTATTTTATGTTAAGGATTTGTTATGTACTTATAATTTTAATCATTAGATTGCATTCATTAAATGATTGGTAATCTCTTAGATGCAATCCAATTGCCGAGATTAAAAGTATATAACTAATCCTTAACTTAAATACTTGGAGAATATCTGTAAGTCCAATAGCTACAATTTGTTAGCTTGGCTTAATTTGTGTGTCTTGACCTTGAGGAATTTGTTCTTGGAACTCTTCGTAAAACGAAAGCTCATGGAATGGACGTTGAAAGAGTGGACAAGTGAGAGACACACATGGGATGAGAATGGGATGCGTCCGAGTGGATTTCAAATACCCCCACTAAGTAGCTATTTTCTGTTTGTGGTGAAAAACTACCCAGTTGGAAGCAGCAGAGTGATTCTTGGTTGCTTCTTCTTCTTCATTACTCTCTAGAATCAGTATGAAATATATTGGTATGATCATGTATGTAGAGAGAGGAGCATGTATATAGACCACCATATTCATTTCTCTGCCTCTTTCTTTATTTTCTCATTTTCTGTATAAGCGAAACAACATTTCATTTGAAGCACAAATGCTGGTGGATTGAGGGAAACGGTTTCATCAGGCAATATATTATAGGCATATATTTATATAGTGTTTCTTCTTCTCTTTAATTTGTTTACTTTATCATCATATCATATCGCGTGTTCATTTATATTTGCAGTCTTCAATACAATAAAATGGTATCAAAGAAGAGATCCATGTCATTGAGTGTGGATTAAATTCAAAGCACGTGTTTCTTTGTACTAGGAAGGAAGTCATTTGAATTGATTGTACAAGTTATAGTTCCATTTTTACGATGAGAATTTGAAATGGATTTTTTGTTTGATTTTTGTCCTCATTGTTAGACTCTTAATCGTAATGACACAGCCAAAGAATGAGTTTGGCAAAAATTATGTCCCTTTAATCTGCTGATTTTAAATATTTACTGCGTGGATCAAGATTCAAAATAAATGCTAAGATATTGCATTTCATGGGATGCATTGTCATTTTGATTTTCTGGTGGGGATCAGTTTCAAGGATATCAATATTTGCCAAGGTGCTGATAACAAATTCACAAAAGGATGGCACTCAAAGGCCTATCAGTTTCAATTGCCAAGACTTGAAATTTTTCGGTGAGATATGCTCTAGTGACGCAACCAAATTCATTCTAACTGCAATGAGCACTGTTGAATTTTGACCATCAAAGTTTTGGCTGGAGAAGCTTTGACGGCTGAACTTTTAAGCTACTGAGAACCAATGTTAACTTATGTTGTGGTTTGCAGTACTTATATAATTTCAATTTTTCTGTGCAGGTCCTTGCTCAAGCAGATCAACCTTTATGTAATGCCCTGATGGCTAGTGATCATGATGATGTTAAACAAGGCTTACTTTCTGAAAAGAAAGAACCTGCTCAACTCAATAACGAAACGAACGAGGTCCATAAAAGAAGAAATCGCCAATATGGTAGCACTCCATGTCCATCATTTAAGAACCGCCTAGAACAAAATGAAGCGGGATCTCAATGTCCTGCAGATTGTGAGCCAATCTATGTGAAACCACAATTTAGTATAAAGCAAGTAATCTTGTTGTTGGTGGCATACATTGGTGGAGGCACCTTCTGCTTTTTCCTGATGAGGCATCAGATAAAAGGTAAAAAAACAAATGCGATTCTGGATTCCATGTACTTGTGTGTAGTCACAATGAGCACCGTTGGATACGGGGACCTTGTACCCAATAGCATGTTGGCAAAACTAGTTGCATGCTTTTATGTGTTCACAGGCATGGCTCTTGTTGGCTTAATTCTTGGCAAGGCAGCAGATTACATTGTAGAGAAGCAGGAAATCCTTCTGGTTAGAGCCATACACTTCCGGGAAAAAATTGGGCCACCAGAGCTTCTTAAGGAGGTTGAGACTGAGAAAGTCAAGTTCAAATGTGTTACGGTTGGAATCCTTCTTTTGCTGCTTGTTATAGTAGGAACTGTCTTCTTATGTCTAGTTGAGAATCTGGAAGTCATGGATGCTTTCTATTGCGTTTGTTCCACCATTACTACTCTAGGCTATGGCGATGAGAGCTTCTCAACTGGAGGAGGTCGAATTTTCGCTGTTTTTTGGATACTGAGCAGTACCATTTGCTTAGCACAATTCTTTCTCTACCTTGCTGAACTATACACTGAAAGAAGGCAAAGATCATTTGTGAAGTGGGTTCTTACTCGGAGATTGACACTCTCGGATCTTGTGGATGCAGACCTTGATCATGATAAAGTCGTCGGGTATGAATATAATGCTCTCTTATTTGTAAAAGAGATGTATCAATTCTCACGTGGCTTAACTTGTTGGATTTTCTGTATCAGTGCTGCAGAGTTTATCGTATATAAGCTAAAGGAGATGGGGAAGATCTGCCAGGAAGATATTTCACTGGTGATGGAAACCTTCAAAAAACTTGACATTGATCATTCAGGAACTTTGACAGCATCTGATCTAGCACCATCTCATTCTCAACCAACTTTTGAGTACACAGCTTAACGTTTGCACCATTACCTCGGAAATTGTTACAGTAATTTGTTAACGTATTCATTGAGTTGCATTTGAACATGTTGCAACTTGTAAATTCTCTGTTGGTCTTCTTCTTTTTCCTACTGTGCAATTCAATTACTTTAATCAAGTCAAGAATGCGACTTCTGGTGACATTTTCTAAGCATGATCATGGAAAGCTACAAGCATGAAATGAAAGACAGGGTTCCCTAAACAGGGACAATAATTATTTCTTCATGATCATGCTGCCTGCGCTCCTTAACTTAATCTGTGCTTCCTTTCTTCTTAAAATTAGGAAGGCATGAAACAAGGAATTGAAAATTTCCCTGTTAGAGAGAGAGAGAGCTTGCAAGAGTTAAAGTTCCAGCAAACCAGAGTGGAAGGGTGAAAATGACAAATTTATGCCCGTTAAACAGCGGCTGGAAGATAGAAGACTAATGCAGGTATTTCTTGTCCGGGAAATAAAAAGAAAATTCCAAATAACCCATTTGCATGAAACCACAATATGTGTCAAACCATGACATAATTCCATAGTCATTTAATGAAGCTGCAATTTTGTGGAGAAATCCTTTCAAAGACAGAGCAAGAGATCCAATATACAGAACAACAAAGTCGTTTGGTGCTCAGAATCAAACAGGTCTTATCCGGACAGGCAAAGCTGTAAGAAAAAAAAGCAATTAATCAATAACCTAAACCCAAAACATTTAAAATCAATACGTACTGAATGCGGAGATGCTTGAAGCCTTTGGTCATCGCCATACTAAAGGTGACCTCCTTGCTAGCACTAGCCGGAATGATTACAGAAACACTGTTGTTGTTGAAATTTTCCCAGATTGAACCCAATGTTTTAGCCATATAAGGTACGATTAGGATACCAAAAAATCTTAATAACTAAACACACCTACCTACCTACCCACCCTATGTTCCAGAAGACTTGCAGTGACTCTCAGTTTCTCACCCAATTTCAGTACAAATCTCTTCTACAGCCATATCCTTTATAACTTCAATAAAGCTCTTAGAGCCTTGATCTCCCCCGAATAGCAATCCCTGTAAATTTGGCAACTTGGTAGATGTGCATATTTTTATATTCTTTTTTTGGTTAAATTGAGTTGAAGATCAATTAAACAAGGAATTGGGTTTCATCTTCTTGACAGTCAAGTTAAAGGCTTCATCTTAATTCAGTGCAAGCTGTTTGATATTATATAGTCGCTATAATGAATGTACTTGGTGAAATTGTAGATACCATTACTGTCGGCCATTAGAATCAGATTGTCCGCGGTGGATCTGATTTCCCAGATTACAGAAACACTGTTGTTATTGAAATTTTCCCAGATTGAACCCAATGTTTTAGTCACCTGCAGTGTTTCGACCACCACTGACATATTGTTCATTTGTTGCTCAAATTGGAAGAGGGAGTTCCGAACAATATTGTACCTCCTCTCAGCTGATCGGGGTCACCAACAGATTCAAACGGTACGTTCGCAAGTTCAGTGACCCCCGATCAACTAAGAGGAGGTACAATATTGTTCGGAACTCCCTCTTCCAATTTGAGCAACAAATGAACAATATGTCAGTGGTGGTCAAAACACTGCAGGTGACTAAAACATTGGGTTCAATCTGGGAAAATTTCAATAACAACAGTGTTTCTGTAATCTGGGAAATCAGATCCACCGCGGACAATCTGATTCTAATGGCCGACAGTAATGGTATCTACAATTTCACCAAGTACATTCATTATAGCGACTATATAATATCAAACAGCTTGCACTGAATTAAGATGAAGCCTTTAACTTGACTGTTAAGAAGATGAAACCCAATTCCTTGTTTAATTGATCTTCAACTCAATTTAACCAAAAAAGAATATAAAAATATGCACATCTACCAAGTTGCCAATTTACAGGGATTGCTATTCGGGGGAGATCAAGGCTCTAAGAGCTTTATTGAAGTTATAAAGGATATGGCTGTAGAAGAGATTTGTACTGAAATTGGGTGAGAAACTGAGAGTCACTGCAAGTCTTCTGGAACATAGGGTGGGTAGGTAGGTAGGTGTGTTTAGTTATTAAGATTTTTTGGTATCCTAATCGTACCTTATATGGTTAAAATATCATCAACTTTCGTCACTACTCAATACTCTTTGTCATGCTCATGTCCAAATCTCCATAACCAAATATGCATAAAATGCGGAATCTTGAAATCAAGAAACTAATTTATGACAAGAGAGATGCACTGGCTGCACAATATGCTGCAGAAGCAACTCTTGGAACACTTCATGCAAATCAAAAGGACGATGAATCTCCTCCTATTGAAATGCATAAGGATGAGGCAAACGAATTTTCATCTATAAAACCAATTCATGCATTATATATGAGCATGAGGAGGGCTCATCACAGAATTTTACATTCCCTTTTGGCATTTCTTCAGATTGCAGCGCTTCTTCAAGCAGAAAGGATATTGAGAAGTGCACTAGAAAGGGCTCTAATAGTTGAAGAGGTTCAAAAACCACAACTTTGAATTGAAGAGACAGATTGAGATCTGCCAGGCATGATTGATCGACTTCCTAGCAGAAAATTCTAGTAACTTCTTAGGATTTTTGGAAAGCAGTGGAGGATTTTTGAAAATTTTAGTAACTTCCCAGCCAAGGGCTTCTAAGCCCTCCAGTGCAACAGGCCAAATTTAGACAATGAAACAGCCAATGTAGCTGGACAGCTAAAAAGAGCAAATAGCCTCAGAAAGAAATCTGGTTCTGGAGAACTTAGGTTGAAAAAGGGCTGATGGGCATTTAGAAGTAAAGTTGTTGATAATGGTGAAAAGGAGAACATAGAAATGAAGGCAAATACTAATAAGAACAATGATAAAATAGTTGCCTTAGAAATTAAAGCTCAAGACGGTAGCAACAAGGACTCGCCCACCACGATAAGTACTAGACCAGCTGTGACAGTGACAATATGGTCTCAGGGTTCCTCTATGATAGACTTCCGAAGGAAGTCCTATATCTAAGGATGATACTAACAAAGGAGAACAGAGAAATAAAGGCAAATACTGATACTAATAAGAATGATGATAAAACAATTGCTGCAGAAATTCAAGCTCAAGACGGTTTGTAGTTATGAATCATTTGCACTTACTGCTATTACTGTTATAGGGGAAACAAAACATTCACAATTATCAAGAACCTAGTTCCAGCAACATTCTTTTCAATACTATTCACATAGGATTTTTTTCGATATGTAAAAGCAAAGAGAGTGCAATACATCACAGGCATACAACAAAGAGGGAATATTGATCTTCCATTTCATTATATACCGTTATATTGTCTCCAGTGGCGGACGCACGTTGGGACAAGAGGGGTCGCACGACCCCTTGGGATGCCGGAAATACGGCTGTGGACTCCATGTGCGACCCAGAAAACCGACCCTTTGTGTGCACACAAGGTGCTCGGTGAAAGTCTCCTATGGGTAATGGAGAGAAAGAAAGTGATGGGGAGGGAGAGAAGAGAAGAAGAAGAAGAAGAAGAAGAAGAAAGAAAGAAAGGGAAAAAACAAGAAAAAAGAGTGAAGATAGATGGGGATGGAGTGGCGGGGAGGCTGGGAAGAAAGAACGAGAGGAAGAAGAAAGAAAATTCTATATATACTAAAACCTAATGCAACTAAACACTGTAGCTAAGCACAGTAAAAGTACGTGACTGCCTCTATTTAAAACTGTACAGCCAGCTTTTCCTCTCCTTTTGCACAGTAAAATTGCCATTTTGCCCTTGACTGATTGTTCTGTTTTTTTCCCGTTTTGCCCTCTCTTTCCTTGGGATGTAACTAGCTGTTGTTTAGGGCTGAGAGGTGTCGCGTTGGATTTCAACTAGCTGGTTGGAGAGCTACAGGGGTAAAATGGGAGAGCTGTTAGTTCTTCACTGTTTAAATCTGGAGGCTTCCACTGTTTTACAGAACCACCTTTTTTTCCACTGAATTGCTTGCCTTTTTCGTTTCCATTCCTCTCATCTTCCTCTGCTCTTCCAAAGTGCTCCCTTGGGTTCTATCAGGAAGGGGATTAAATCTTACAGATTCGCTGAGGTATTTCCAGCGTTGTTATTCTTAATTTTTTTACTCAATTGTCAATTAATTTTTCTGACTTCTCTGTTCTCCCACCAAAGCAATATATGACCACTGGTCTGAGAAGAACAGAGTGTAGTTTGTGAGAGATGATGCAAAGCCCATTAAATTGGTGACACAAACCAAACTTACAGCTAACATTGGTGATACAAACAGATCAGTCAAAGCATAAAAACCAAGTTTTTTCACAAAAACAAGAGCAGAGAATTTATTTCTGAAAACGAAATCCATCAAGCACACACCTCTAATTTGAAGCCTCTTCCACTGTCACTGATCAAATGGGTTTCACCGACTAACCTCCTTAAACAAAGCACCGTGTGTTGAGCTAGAGACTGGTAAGAAAGAAAAAAAATTTATACAGAGATCTGTTTATGTGTGCGTGAGAGGGGGGTGAGAGAGAGAGAGAGAGAGGCGTGTGAGACTTAGATGGAGAGACGGGTTAAGAGGTGATAAGTAGAAAAGATTCTTTTTTCTTTTCTATTTTTTGGCTCTCCTTTAGACTATTTGTTTGTTTAGGCAGCTTAAAGACGCTTCTCTTTAGCAAAACAACAATCTTACTTAATGAGGGTAGCTTGGCGGTTAACCAAGAAAAGCATGGGATTTTTACTTTTTTTTGGGTCTAAATCATTATACCATTATTTTTTAGTTGTGTTGTGTCGTAGCCAAAAATCACCTTTTCCTCCTCTCATTAAAATTTCATAAAATGCTTGAATAAAACTAATCAGGTTTCAACAAAATAGAAATTGAGAATGATTTTATTTTAACCTCTATTGGTTTTCTCTAGGGTTCTCGGAAAACATTTCACTTGATTTCTTGACTTGGTGGGCATGATTGATTTGCTTGACATTAATATATGCATATTGTTTGATCGTTATAGAATTCCGTTAATTCCTTGATATGATAATAGATATTTGTAATTGTGAAGTTGTTTACACAAAACTAAATTTATGTTTGTGTTAAAAATATGAGCAGGATTTCAGATAGTGATGAAAATTTTGTTATATGTTTAGTTTTCTCATCCTGTGATAACATATATTTCTCTAAAAATCATTTCTTTATTTCACAGCTTGGATACACTAAAAAGTAAGGGACTAGACATTTGCATTCTGCTGTCATTTTCAAGGTATAAAAACTTCTCTAATTCATTATTTTTTTAAATTGCGCATTATTAGTCATGTTAGTCAATTGATTTTAATCATTTTATAAGATTTTATATTTTATTTTCGTCGATGTGCTTGCATACAAGTTATTTAAAAGTAATCTTTATTTTATTGATTGATATAAGTTGAATATGTTTTGATGCTATGCATATCGGTTTAACAAGGCTTTATATTAATACATATATACTGTTTAATCATTATGAAACGAAGTTGGTTGTTTGATAAAATAACAGAGATTTTAATTGATGTATAAAATTAAATACTTTTGCTTTATCAATTTAATTATTTGGATTCGAACCTATTAACAAAAACTGTTCTTCTACTTATGTATTTTAGGTTGTTGTTATCATCTTGCTTTTACATACGTGTTGCTACAAGTGCTCAACAAATTCTCTCATTACAGGTCAGTATTTTCTAACTTTACAAAAAAACTGTGCATATCATTTATAACTAATTAATTAGCAAATATTATATCATTTGAAGATTTTCATTTATATAATTCTATCATCATATTGTACATTTATTTTGCATTCTTAGAATTTAAATGTTATTAATAATGTGAAATATTACTTATATATATATGTTTTTTTTTCTAGATATCAATATGTTTTTGGGAAATTGAAATCTTCGTTGATAATGTCGAAGAGAACTATAAATACCACGAGAAAACAAATCATGCAAGAACCTCATAATCTCATCATTTCAAATGATATACAAGTCCCAAATAAAAATGTTTATCATATTAATGATAAACATCCAAGCGAGAAAATTCCTATCAACAGTCATAAAAACATTTCTCAAGCTGATAACAAAAGACAAAAATGTGTTGAAAGTACATCATCTATCAATGTGAATACAGTTGAAACAGCAACAGATGAAATTGAATTTCATCATTTTAATCAAATGAGTAAAGGTCAAGCAATCTTTCAAAGAAATAGGCAAGGTGGGTGTTTCCCTTTGCTTCAAAATTTTCTACTAAACTCGAACTACATTGTTCTATTACTTATAACCTACATTTATGTTTTCTATTCTTTCCATTCTACATTTTTCTCCCCTATAGGAATAATCCAAGAATATGCAGATTTTGGAGAGAAGAATCATAAGTGCATTTATTGTGGTGCACTTTTTTGGTTAAAAGATTCCATTAAATAAAGATAAAAAAACAATCAGCCTCTCTTTACTCTTTGTTGCCAACAAGGAAAAATTAAACTTCAAAGTCCAAAACCAACGCCCTGTTTTTTAGAAAATTTGCTTGATCCTAATAAAGGGCAAAAAAGTGTATTATTCAGAGAAAATATCAGGGTTTACAATTCTATGTTTACATTTACTTCAATGGGAGCCAAAATTGATAGATCAATTAACAATGGATCAAGCCCTTATATTTTCAAAATCAGTGGTCAAGTTCATCATTTAATGGGTTCTTTACTACCTCATGAGGGTCAATGTCCTAAATTTGCCCAACTTTATATATATGATACCCATAATGAGGTTATGAATCGGCTTGATGCAGTTAATTGTAATAAAAAAATGAAAAGCTAGATTCAAACATTGTGTAAGGTTTAATTCAAATGTTTGATCAAACAAATGAATTGGTTAAACTTTTTCGAACAATTAGAGATAAATTTGAAGAAGGTTCTCTTCCTCCTCTAAAGATCACATTGTTAGGCAAGCAATCCAATGATAGCAAACAATATGAACAACCAACATGTGATGAAATTGATGGTTTAATAGTGGGAGATATAGGCCTTTTTGATTCAAATAGAGATATTATAATAGAATTTAAAAGTGGAGAGTTAAAACGTGTGACAAAATTAAATCCAAAATTCATGTCTTTACAATATCCTCTTCTTTTTCCTTTTACTGAAGATGGGTATACACCTGACTTAAAATGGCATTGTACAAGCCATGAATCTAAACGAAGAAAAATTCCTATGAGAGCTTTTATAGCTTATCAAATCCAAGAAAGAAGGAGAGAGAACGGGAGAGAGAGAGAAAGAAAGAAAGAATATAAAAAAAGAAGGGGAAATATTAAATAAAAGGAAAGAAAGAGAGAATATGAAAAAAAAATAAAAAATTAAAGAAAATGGATACTATTCCATACGATATAACACCAAATTTCTGTTAAGGCCCACTGTAAGATTCTTAAGGATTTCATCCAAATTTCCGTTAGATCAAGGACAAATTCGTAATTTTACGGAAAATTAAAAAATGGCACAACATTTCATTAATTTTTTGTTTCGTTATAGACAAAGTGAACCTAACACACATATTTCAACAAAAGTAGAGAAAATAAATAAAAGTATAACCCAACTGCCTTGCAATTTGCCAGTATTATTTCCTGAATTTACATTTTAGTTGCCTTTGAAATTTAATTATACATTCTATATACTGTTATACATGCACTGGTATGAATACAGAAGAGATTCACATTGCTCAATGGATACTAGAACGGTCTGTCTGAGGCTGCTTAGAAACTAATTTGTGTGTTCTGGCCTGCCAGCAACATAATCAATGATTCCTTGACCTTGTGTTTCACCATGTGTTTCTGTTGACAGCTGAGAAACGCCACCAAAGGCGATTACTGCCACCAAGAAGAGAGTTGTGGAGGCAAAGAGAGGCCAAAAGTAACCCAAAATGGATAGAAGCCGAGGGGCTGCATACAGAAGCAAGGAACATATTAATGAAACGAAGATTGCTATGCCAAAATGATATCTGTACTTGAAAAGCTGTGGTGAGATATCATCAATGGCCATGGCTTGCTTTCTTCTCAATTACAATCACAACTCTCAACTCTCAACTCTAGAGAGAGAGAGAGAGAGAGAGAGAGAGAGAGAGAGGAGAGAGGAGGAGAGAGAGAGAGAGATTATGGTTGTATCTGCTTTCTTTAGGTTCTGTTGAGAAATATGAACCCTATGGTTGTATCTCTCAAAACCATTATTTTGACATAGATAGATTCCTAGTTCATTTCTTTGGTTGGTGGGTTACTTTATCCCTTTTCAAATATGTAAGCTACTTTTCACATGGAATGATGATTAGTACTAAGGAAAAGAATGGCATCTTTGTTTTTCTCCTTTGTGGGTTATGGGTTTCATGAAAAGATTATATAAACAAATATGTTGGCTAAGTTGATATTGCCTTTTTTTTATTAAAAAAAGAAAGGAATTCAAAATGAAACATATTAGGGCTTGTCTCATAAACATATTGTGTAAAAAAAAGAAAAAAAGAAAACCATTTCTATTTTCAGTTTCTATTTGCTTTGCTTGGTGGTCTAACTATGGAAGTATTCATTCTTATGTATTGCAGTCAATAGCATTGGTGAATTAGATGACGAGTATGGAAAGAGAGATTCAAACACACGGTAACCCATAGATTTATTTCCAAACATGCATCGTTCTGCGGATTTTATATTTAAGACTTTTCAAATTTCCTTTGCTAAGAAGAGGTACTTAACAAATAGAATGTCTTCCAAACCAAAGATTTAATAGTTATTTTTTGTGTTAATAATACACTATTGCAGAAAAGCGTCGCGAATTAGGGATTGATATACGATGGAGATCAAGGCTCTCGATCAACTCCGGCGGGTAGGCTAAACAAATTAACTACGGCAAGTAAATGTAATGATAAAGCTGATTTACTTAAGTGACTATATACCGGGGACATGATAATGACATGACGGCCAGGAACCCAAATTGGTCTATTTAATCTCTGATTATTCTTCATGTTCTCAACGCGTTCATCCATCCAACAAGACGAACGTGTTGATAAACATCAAGAAAAGATCAGAGATGAAGGGACTAATTTCTTTTGCATCATTTTCTATTTGGATTGGTAGGGTGTCTTGTGTGCCAGAAACGGAAAAGAAAAAGAAAAACTCAAAATTGCAGCAGTCAATCTGTAGGTTAGGTGGGTTGGGGATGGGGTTTGCGTTTGGGTGAGTGCGGATGGATTCTGTAGTTGAGTGAGGTGAGAGAAATGAGAGTTCGACCGAAACAAAGAGAGAGAAATGAGAGAACAAGAGAGAAGAAGAACAAGAAGAACAAGAGATGCTGACAAAAAATAAAAGGAAGCGGCTGCTTTAACGTGTGAGAGTGGTAGGGTTTTGAGTGGGAGAGAGGTAGGGTGGGTTAGCTTTAGCCTTAGTTAGATGTGAAGTTGGGTTAGTTAACTTGGGCTTAAGGGATTTGACTTAATGTTTAATATATAAAACATTGAGCTAAAAAATTAATAAATTATTTATATTAATAACAAGTGCATTTATATATTTAGTAAGTAAATAAATAAAAATTATATCATATCGAATCGAATTAGGTCAAATTCATATTTGTTCCGTTAATTTTATGGATTAACGAATTTGGAACATAATTGTATTATCGGATTATGCCACTACTAGATCCATCTTCTATTAATTACATCCAATTCGGATAGAATTTTGGTGGGTGTACATTTTATATGGGCTTTGTTTATATGTCAATCCGAAATTGGATGTGCAATATCACAAGCTTGACCCAACAATTTCATATGATCAAATTGGTTTGTTTGACACTCGATGATATTGTATTCACGATAAAGGACAAAAATAACAATTGTATAATTTGTATTGGCTCTATGCTAATAATACTAGTCTTGTCTAAATTCATAAAGAAAAAGGAACACAATTCCACATTTAATTAAGGAAATAAAAGTAGCTTTAAATCCCTTATGAGAATATTAATCTACCTACTCCAAAGTCCAACCAATAAGGAATACAAGACACGACAAAGAGAACCCCTCAATGCTTAGCTTGATCGCACTTGTTCATATCACTTTCAAAAGCTAAACATGGTCACTTCTCAGTTAGAAAGAAATCAATTGAAAAATGATTCGCATAAGATTAAAAAATATATCTATAGTGATCATGAATCAATAACCATTTAAATATGTGAGTAATTTTGTTGTATTAGGATTTGGTGTTGGTGGAGGTCCTCGTGGACTGGACAGATGGAGTTTTCCCTTTGTTGCCTGGCCAAACCCAAAAAAAGTGCTCCGCTGCCATATGGCTCAGTCTCAGTCTCAGTCTCAGTCTCATATTACATTCCATCATACTTCTAAGCAAAGATGTGATTTTTCTCTCTGTTTCTGTTTCTGTTTCTGTTTTCTGTATATGAATGAGAATTTGTTTGTTCTTTGAAGCCACTTTAGTTGGTCCCTTTCACTTTCATTAACAATGCGTTAACTTGTTCATTTGATTTGAGTGAGTCTCTCTCTCTCTCCCTGAGCCTAAGCCTGAGCCTGAGCCTGAGCCTAAGCTATGTGACGTCTGTCTGTCTAATGATAATGAAAAGTGGCAAGGTTTAAGCAAGTTTTTGCGCTTAAGCAATTTAATTACTCCAAAACAAGAGCTTTCCTTTCCAAATTCCTTTCCTCAATAATAATATGTATCCAGAATCCAGATCATGACAACCCTAGCTAATAATAATATTCCTTACTTATTATCATTTGCAAAGGAGAAATTGTTTATATTCTTTCCTCCACTGTCCACACAACAACTTTGTTCACCTATTTTCTCTTTGCTTTTCTTTTTGGTCTACATATCAGAACCAATCGTCTGATAGATAGATAGATAGATAGATAGAATACTCCCTCTGTTCTTCCTTCTCTATAATTTAATTTAATTTAATTTAATTCATGTGGTTAATGACTTGGTGTTGGGCGTTGTTGATGTTTGAAAAGAATAAACAAGAGAAACGTTTGGCTCTTTTGTTTGTGGTACTGGTACAGAACTACATATATTATCTTTCTAGAAACAATATTCCTTAAACGGTCCAAAATGTAATTATAATCATAGATTAGGTACGTAGTAGGAAAAACAAATGGATTGAAAAAACGACTGTGTGAATTTGCAGTCACCATCAATCAGAAATCACAACAGTTGGAAAAAATGACTTTATAATTTTATTTTGACAACTTGAGCCTTGCCTGAGGAGATAATGTTGTTTTGACAACTTTGGAAATCAAATCAATCATAATGACGTTTGAAACAAAGAAATCCCTTAAATTTAGTTTTAGAGCAAAAGATAGACTATGCAGATAGTTTTAAAATCAAAGTAACCGTTACTGTCAAAATTAGGAGGGAAGAAGAAGGGGAGTTGAAGAAGCCGCTTTGGCCGGCCTAAGATTTATCGTTTCTCAAAATTTGCTTCACACTCACACACTCACACACTCACACACTCACACACTCACACACACACACACAGCAAGGAAAGGGAAGTCCATCTCTCATCATCCATCCCACTCTTTACGGTCAATTCCTTAAAACTCACACTCACCAATCCTTATTAAAACCCCACATTCCAATTCCCATTAAATCCCAATTAAGCTTTTCAACTTATAGCTCCTTCTCCATCTTTTAATCCCCAAAGTTCCAAAACATAAACAAACCAAAGGGAATGGTGTGTCATGAAGAACAACTTGGAGTTGGACGGATTGGGGGAGAGGACCTCTCCCTTGTCCATCCAGACCCTGTTGTGTTAGAGCTCAACCGTATGCGCAACCTACTCACAGGTCCCTCTCTCTCTTTCTCACACACACATGCACCTCTTTCCGGATAGTGTTAATTTCGTTTCTGCATTTTTCACTGGTTTTCGTGATGTTGAATGCTACAGAGTTGAGTTCAATATATAGGATCATTTGGTTTTATTAGAACTAATAGTATTTTCTTTATCTCAATAATAATAATAATATAATAATAATGACATGGCTTGAGAGTTTTCTACTTGTTCTTCGTATTTTTATGTACATTCAGTGGTTTATTTTATTTGAGGGTTTTGTTCAATAAATCATGGAGACTATGTATAAAAAGAAAAGATACATGGATTATTTGTCCTCAAAGGACTCAAATGTTAATAGATTTGAAGATTTTATGGTTAAGTAAGACCATTCAGTGTTTTGGCTGTTCTGTTTTCTGTTGTTATTATTTTAAATAAATGACCATGAAGCAAGTAGGTATATGATTGTTTCTTCCTCATAGCAAGTAGCCTTGATATCTTCAAAGATATAATGGTAGGTTTTTTTCAAAATCAATTGTTGCAGAAAAGAGTCGGGAATTAGGGATTGCTCAAGGTGAGATCAAGGCTCTGAGAGCTTGTGAAGTTCTAAAGGATAAGGCTGTAGAAGAGGTACCTACGTGCTGAACAAATTATTTATGGACGTGTAATTTCATGTCATGAGAAGTGGATTCAATATTTATTTATATTCATTTTTGTTACTACATTTTCCAGCTCATAAATGAAGTACAGAAGTTGGACGAGAAACACAGAGTCACTCAAAGTCTTTTGGAGCATAAGGTAGATGTGTTTGGTTTGGTTCTTGAGATTTTTGGGTATCCTTAGTTATATGGCTGTCATATCATATTCATCAACTTCTGTCTTTCACTAATCAAAAGATACTTTGTGATGCTCATGTCCAAAACCAAATACAAAAAAATGCAGAATCTTGAAATCAAGAAACTAACAGATGACAAGAGAGATGCATTGGCTGCACAATACGCTGCAGAAGCAACTCTTAGAAGGGTACATGCAAATCGAAAGGATGACGAATCTCCTTCTATTGAGTCTGTCATCGCTCCTCTTGAGGCTGAAATCAAAATGCATAAGAACGAGGTAAACAAATTTCCACCTATAAAACCAATGAATTATATATATGAGCATGAGGGCTCAATTAATTTGATGGCACACTCTGGAAAGATTTTTACTCCCCTTATGGCCTTTTTTCAGATTGCAGCGCTTCAGGAGGATAACAAGGCTTTGCAACGTCTCACCAAGTCAAAAGAGTCTGCTCTGCTTGAAGCAGAAAGGATACTCCGAAGTGCACTAGAAAGGGCTCTAATAGTTGAAGAGGTTCAAAACCAAAACTTCGAATTGAAGAGACAGATTGAGATCTGCCAGGCATGCCTTTCCGCACCAGATCCTATTTCATTTGTTGAACAAAATCAAGTATGAGTATTCAACCCAATTAATATACCGTATGATATGCAGGAGGAAAACAGAATCCTGGAGAAAACAAACCGCCAGAAGGTTTTAGAGGTTGAAAAGCTTAGCCAAACCATTCAGGAACTTGAGGAGGCCATCTTAGCTGGTGGGGCTGCAGCCAATGCTATTCGTGACTACAAACGACAGATAGAAGAATTTCATGTATGCTTCATGGTTACATATGATGATTTGCAGGAAAAAGGACAAAATATATTTACTGCTATGACGATTTTGGTCTTTGAGAACTAACCATAACCATGGTTTCTTCAATTTCACAGGAGGAGAAGAGAAGTCTGGAAAGAGAGCTGGCAAGAGTTAAAGTTTCAGCAAACCGGGTAGCAACTGTGATTGCAAATGAGTGGAAGGATGAAAATGACAAAGTTATGCCCGTTAAACAGTGGCTGGAAGAGAGAAGACTAATGCAGGTATTTCTTGCCCAGGAAATAAAATGAAATTTCCAAATAAACCTTTTTTTTAATAATCCGCAATGTTTCTAAGCCAATCATACCCTTCACCCTTTCTACCAATGAGGGATGCACGATTTTCCTTGTCAACTCATGCTACTACCAGGGATATGAATGAGAAAATGGTATGTGCAACTTTTTATGGACGTTATTCTTTTGCGTATGCAGGCAGACATGCAACGGTTGAGAGAGAAGCTGGCTATTTCAGATAGAACAGCTAAAGCTGAAGCACAACTCAAGGTGAGTACATAATACTTGCAATCTTCCTGTCACTCCATTCCGAATCCTTTGCTTTTTATTCAACTGAGTAATCTTCTTAATTACTTTTTTTAATCAGGAAAAGTTGAAGTTGAGGCTGAAGACACTAGAAGAAGGGCTAAAGCATGTTTCAAGCTTCAATCCTCATTTATGTGTTTCCCCAAAAGCAGAAAAATCTAGTAACTTCTTAGGATTTCTGAAAAGCAATGGTGGATTAGGAAAGAGATCGACATCACAGCCAAGAGCTTCTGCCATTGCTAGAAGCTCTCCAGTGCAACAGCCAAATTCAGACAACGAAGCAGGCAATGCAGCTGGACAGCTAAAAAGATCAAATAGCCTCAGAAAGAAATATGGTTCTGGAGAACTTATGTTGAAAAAAAGTTTATGGGCATCTAGAAGTAAAGTTGTTGATATTGGCGAAAAGGAGAGCACAGAAATGAAGGCAAATAATGATACTAATAAGAATGATGATAGAATGGTTGCCGCAGAAATTGAAGCTCAAGCCGGTGGCAACGAGGACTCGCCCAACAAGATAAGTACCAGCTGTGACAATGAAGATATGGTCTCAGGGTTTCTCTATGATAGACTTCAGAAGGAGGTCCTAAATCTAAGGAGGCATTGCGAAGCCAAAGAGAGTGATATGAATGCTAAAGATCAAGAAATAAAGGTAAGATTGACAGATACTCTGTTTGGCCCCCGACCCCCTCTATATCCCCCCATTAATGTACTGAATGCATGATATGACTGTGTTCCAGATGCTGATGAAAAAGGTTGATGCACTGTCAAAAGCCATGGAAGTAGAGTCTAAGAAAATGAAGAGAGAAGCAGCGGCTAGAGATAAAGAAGCTGCAGCGGCCAAAATGGATGATAACAAAAGGAACAGAAATATAAACTCCTCTAAACGGTGGGTGACAAATTTTGAAGAGCCTCAATTCCATTTTTTGTTTCTTTTTTCAGATTTCATTCTAGCATTATGATTTTTCAAAACCCTGATCATCTGAACATTCTCAATAACTTGATGGCTTATGCAATTGCTGCAGGGCAATGAAAGCATCTTGAAAACTTACATTGGAGATAACTGAAGATCATATGAAGATTTATTCTTTATCAGTGTGATTTTTTAATATGTAAATATAGAAAGCACAGTTTCACCAGTGAGATAGCTGATTGAAATAAAGGTTCTGAATGCAAAAGGGGAGCCGAGTTTGTACATTTTTTAGGTTGGTGATTATTTGTGTTTCCCTGTGCTTGAAACCTACATAAATGAAATCCAATACATTTTACGGTTTGTCATTATGAATCAATAGTACTTACTGCTTGCTAGTTTTGGGAATGGCATCAAAAAAATGAATTGGAAATGAAAGTGAAGAATGCATTTTAACAAGATGGGAATCATATATTGAGGAATGGGTTTTTCCAATCCCAACACATCATACAAGAAAGAATGCAGAACGATGGCACATTAGCAACAACATGTAGTCTTGAAATTCGATGACTTGTCCATTAATACAACTAGTAAAGCAGTTCTTCACATTGTGATATAATCACCTTCTGCATGAGGAGGAACTAATTGGAACCAAAACAAGGATTAATACTAAAACATGAATACCCTCTTCTGGTTACCTAGAACATCTACTCTAAATATCCTTTGAAATGTACAATTACCATGGCCGTAAAGGGAAGATATATAAAAACCAAAAATCCTGCCATTCAAAAACTGTGCACCTCCGGAATGATGGCCAAAGAAGGCCGCCATTTTGGAGACCCTTCTAACCCAGACCTCCCTGACAATTGAACACCAATTTCTTTAGGCGACCGGAACTTGTTTGCGCTCTTCAACAACAACTCCAACTGTTCCCTAGTCACCACAATCTTAATCTTCTGTCTCTTGCAGCTTTCTTGGTGAACTATTTTTGAAGGAACCAAGGGCTTACCAAGACTTGCAAGGTTTGGCACAATATGGTAAACTTCCCCTGGTTCTAGCTTGGTGTTGGGTGGCAATGGCGTATACGGCTGGATGTGGTGTACCAGCTTATAGCCAATGTAAGGGCCAGATGTGATTTCTTTGATCGGTGTCGAGGCTTTGAATTCTCGTACTCCACCCTTAAAGATTACTACTTTAATCTTCTCTTGAGGGGGATGGCACAGAACATGTAAGCAGTTTCCCATGGTGCGCAGAGCAATACAAATGAACAAAGACTCCATCGTTTTTATAGTGTTTGGCTTTGATCATTTCACATGGGACTGTGGGAGGCAGTTTGACGTGCAAGCCATGAAGCATTTTTCTTTAATTAATTTATAAGCTTTTACTCCCCCAATATGTGTGATAATGGTATTTTCTTTTGCAAAGTCAACTAGTGGTGTGGGTCTAGAACTTAACAAGCACTCCCAGCATTATGATAACATCTAAATAAATACCTCCAAGTCAATGGTCTGTGGATTGTTCATTGTATTTGTAACACAGCCCTCAACGGAATAATTTTATTACAATGTCAAAAGTCGACTCCAATATAGAATTGCCAGATGAAGTCAAACACGTTTTACTTTAATTTTTTATGTGTATTAACATACTTCCGTTTAAGTTGCTTTAGTCCTCAGATATTGGGGCTTAGTGTTATGCAATTGGGAATTTGACTGTTCGTATATATTTTTCATGGCCGATTCGACCTCTTGCATTACAACTATTGTTTAATATTGAACTTTACCGTCAACTGCCAAATAAATGTCAATGAGGCCTAAAATCACACAGGAAACCTGAGTCAACTGCCAAGAGCATTATAATAGCTTTGGCCCCTCAGTTTCAACCAGAAGAGATGTAGCGGACAAACTTTCTACGTCTCCCAGGCAAATAGCATGCCCTGTATCTCAAGAATGACAATAGAAGAACTAAGCCCCAGAATGCAAGTATCTAAGCTAAGGTAACAGTGCCAATTGGCCTGTGCGATAGGTTGGATGGTAACAAGACAACAGAACAATGCACTTGTTTTGTACCTCCTGTTATTCCCATGTTACATACAATAACTTCCAAAAGGCATTTATCAAAGTGAATTTGGAAACCTTTCTTAACATACAAACGGGTCTTTTTCCACTACTTCCAAATCTTAGACTTCACCCAACCAGATTTAACAGGATCTTACTGATAATATTACTCAACAAAATCAAAGCGCATAAATAGGTACATTACTGCTGAGTAGATGCAAGGATTTTGAGAACTTCATTAATTCTATAAGACTAATGGATGGTTGAGATCTAATGGTACAAAAATGTTCTCTACACCAAGAGGAAATTCCATAAACAATATAAATAGAAAATTGAGAAGCAGCACATACCAGTTCTTGACATTACATATCAGTGTGACAAGCTTTCTCAGTAAACTAAAGAGCCCAACACCTAAGCAGCAACAAATTCCGATGAACTTCTAGACTCCAACCATGACTTGACTGCAACCTTTGTCGTCAAAAACCAGCCAGCCTTGTCTGGGGCCTCATGGAATGGCGCATTTAATTCCTTCAAATGTGATTCAAATACACTCGCAAGACCTTTGTCTGAATACTTATGTTTCCCATGTCCGGTATTAATTCCTAGCAATGGCGGAAGCTCCTCACCAGATTCTAATACCCGAGACAAGTCATTAATCCAAACATGTAATGCAGTCAGAGCTGCCCCAAGAGAGAGACCCTTGAGATACAGAGACCACTGGGTCTGAGACCTTGACTGTATGCCTACGTATATCTGAAGTGTAAGCCCCAAGTCTAGTAGCTCACAGGCTTTCTCCAAGAGATTGAGGTTCACACAAAGATCAATCAAGCAATTGCAGTAAGCCTTCTTTACATCGGAACCAATTGAATTAAAAAGTTCTGATGCTTCCTTCTTAAAGTTACCACTGTTGTCTTGCTTCTCTAACAAAAGTCTTACCACATACCCAAGCTTTTCATCAGCCCTCTCAATGCAATTGGCAAGCTTACAAAGTTCTTCCTTCGGTGTTTGAGTCATCACATTCAGGAGACAACCACAGAAGCGCTCATCTGGCGTTATGCCCAATTCTAGGAGTTGATTGAATATCCTGACAACATCATCTGTACGCTTTGCCTTCCCATAGCATTGGATGAGTGACGTCAAAATAAAGATATTAGGCTGAAAACCAGCTTCCAACATCTCATTTAACATTGTCTCTGCCTCTGTGACTTTCCCGCTACATGAATATATGGTAATCATGGATGAAAATGTCCAACTGTCAGGCTTCCAAGTTTCGGAACTCTTCATGTCTTTAAAAATCTCAACAGCTTCGTCAGCGTAACCAACATCAGCACACATAGCTAAAAGAGTATTATAAAGAATTACATTCAACTCCATTCCCTTCTCCTTCATCTCTCGATAAATGTTAAGAGCATCATCACCGTAGCGTGCTCTACCATAGGCCCTTAAAAGAGCTGCATAGGTTACCCAATTTGGTGAAAACTCCTTGTTGATCATCTCTCGGTAAATTTTCTTGGCCTGCCAAGGCCTCTTAGCTCTTCCCATAGCATCCAACAAAGTGTTATAAATAACCAGGTTTGGCTTAGCCCCTATAGCTTTCATTTCCTCATACACATTCAAGCACCCATCAAAATTCCCGGACTGCCCGTGAATTTTGATCAATGTTGAAAACGTCACTGGATCAATGCGCCATTTTGATGTCCTGGCTCGGTCATACAAACTGAAAGCCATGTCAACCTTACCGGAACGCCCATAGGCGTCAATCATAGCCGAATAGGTAACATCATCCGGATTACACCCAAAACTGGGCATCTTCTCAAACCACTCCACAGCCTTATCAGGCAAAGAGGACATCCTAGCACAACTAATCATAGTAGAAAAGGTAACATTATCAGGTTGAACACCTCTCTCGAGTAATTCATCAAACAGCTTCTCTGCCCTATCCAAATCCTTACCCTTCCTACACACTTTCAAAGTAACATTGTAGAGAATCACCTCCCTCTTTGGTCTCAAATTCTGCTGAAAGTACTTGAGCGCAAGCAAAGCATTTTCTGGATTGGTCATATTATTAAGCACAACCACTGCGTCTTGTTCCAAGATTCTATCACCTAAACCCTTCAAAGCTTCAAAAACATAATTTTCACTTGGACTGCAAGAGTTCAAAAACTCGGCTACTTTGACTAAAGAAGCATACCTGGAATCGTAGGATTTCTGCCTGAGCTGCGAAGCTCTGGGGCTGCTCGGGTTGACCCAGATATAGCTTTTGGACAAAGACCCAGAATTTCTATTTTGGCGTTGAGGGCTTTCAACTTCTGGAACATTGGTGGGGGTCTGGGTCTCTTGTGCAACTGGTTCTTGTAAAGAAACATGGTTTATTTGGAGAGAGGTTCTTGAGTGGAGTGAAGGAAACCTGAGTTTCAGAGTGCGAAGACCAGAGCTTCCCAGTCGGAAACTTCTTGGGGAAGGGAGAGAATGGGAGGGAGTTTGGCGGTTATGGAAGAGAGAAGAGGGTGAGGAGCATAAATGATAAGCCATTTATCCCTCTGTGTTTTGCTCACACGGTCTGTGAGTAGTGCATTCCAGGATATAGGATAGGAGGAATTCCTATTTGCTATGAGTACGCGGCGCTTCCAATATTTCACTGGGAACAAACTTATCCGTATCCCGTGAACATGTTTAGTTTGGGACCTAAAGAGACTGATTCACCAAGCTGCTCTATGTTTTTATCTTTTCTGCTTCAACTTGTTTAGTTTGGATGGAAGGAGCAGGCCACATGCCCACATGGGCTTCACTTGGAGAAGCAAGTTGGGCACCATGCCTAGATGGAACTGGTTTAGACTAGTAGCATTATGGGCTTTTTGGCTTTCGCTGACGTTTGTCTCTCTTTTTAAGCATAGCAAGAAGAGCAACTGAACAGACAGCCAACATGGTTGGTTAAACTAACAGACAAACTAACAGACAGCCAACAAATGGTTAAACTCTCACTCCTCTTGTGGAGATTGGGATGAGGGTGTTTATGGAGTATAATCCAAGTAGCATCCCTTATTTTAAAATTTTAAATGATATGAAATGAACAACTAACACACATTAGGAAGTAATTAAAGAAAAAGCATGTGCAGTGCAGCAGTTGTGCAATGGAAACTCGTTTATTATTGCATTGAAAATTGTAGCAGCAGCAACTTCATTCATCTTCATGTAATGTAGGTACAACGAATAATAACATGATTGTGACTCAGTCCTCCACCACCATCAACAACCAACTTTATTGATCACTTTTCTTCTCCTATAAATATAAACTAAACCAACACCGACACTGGACTGCTGCTAATTAAACATAAAATGACCCAAGATTGAAGATGATTTACATATATTTAATTTATGTCCCTGAAACTCCAAACCCAAATGAACTTGACCTCAACAATATTCTGCAGTGCACCATATCCATATCCTCCATATGGAAAGTCACATGACTGTGCAGTCTTGGGGATTTTCTTCAATGAAACAGTCAGAGCGGGCAACACAATAGTTAGTATTGGGCTGAGTCACAATACTGCCGCACACAGGCCTTCCACAGTAACCATCATACTGGATGTATGGGGCTGCTCCGCCATAGCCAGTCTCGCATGGCCCACCAGGATGCCCATGGTAACAATCCACACAGCACGCGTTCCTGTGCACTGGATAAGGCCGTGGGCATACAGGTACATGCACACATGTTGGTTTGCATTGTGGCCCGGGTGGCCCAGGTGGCCCGGATGGCCCTTGTGGCCCAGGTGGCCCAGGCGGCCCTTGTGGCCCGGATGGCCCGGGTGGCCCTTGTGGCCCGGATGGCCCGGGCGGTCCTTGTGGCCCGGATGGCCCGGGCGGCCCTTGTTTCCCTTGTGGCCCGGGCGGCCCTTGTGGTCCGGGCTGTGGTTTGATCTGAATGCACTTGATGGCTCCCCCCGCTTTGCAGCATATCTTGTCCCTTATCTTCTCTGGACTGCAGCATACCACTTTGATGACCACCTGGTTTTGCTTCTCGTCGTATGTCTGGTCTTGTATTTCTCTTGTTCACAAAATCCAATTCCATTACACACACATTTACTCAGTTTAATTACATTCTTTTTGGTTTTAGCATGTCTATGTGACTATGTCTATGGGGGGAATTATACAAAGGAAAAGATAGAGAGACTCACGAGGGAATTTGCAGAGAACTTTTTTGACCTTTTTATAGCATTTGTGACACTGAAGGTCCACCTTCAGCACCATTGTCGTCACCTGAAGCGAACCCATTTACAATTAGGGGACAATAAGAATTTCAGAAAAACAAACAAATAATAATATTATATACAGGAATCAAAATGGCTGCTGCTCCTGGACCTGCTGCGGTGCCCAAGAAGATGAGAAAGTAAGAAACTTTATGAATGGATTGTGGTTTGCAGACAAAAACAAGTGGAATGAGGTTCTGACTTCTGACAGGGAAGAATCATGATGAGTAACTGACAAAATCAAGGACAAAACTCGGTGGAGTCTTGGAGATATTAAAAGATAGCAGCCACAAAAGTTAAATAAGAGCTAGCTACGCCTGAGCCAGGCAAAATCTCTAACTGAACTGAACCACAAAAAAAGAAGAAGAGGAAAACATAAACTTCACCAATTACCAACCATTTCTTTTTCTGCCATTGCAGTGTGAGTGCGTCTCAGATCTGAACCTCAACTGAAATGATTGAATGGGACTGGAACTCACGGGACCAACTTGTATATATATATATATAAATTGAGGAATTCGGTAGAAGAGGGAGCAGAGAGGAAGAGAAGGAGAGGAGCAAGATTTGATTTGATTCAAGATGTTTATTATGAGTTTCTAAATGATGACAAAGTGCTTGCTAAGAAAGAGTGAAAAGATGTGAGCACAATGTATTTCGTACACAAACGTCCAATGGGATGTGAACACGTGGTTATTGGAGGTTGATTTCATTTCATGGTATGATCATTGAAGCTGTCGTTATATGAGGGTAGTGATGGTGGCTTTCTTCGATCGCTAAAAGTTGCCAAGTTTTGTAGTTGCATGTGCTGGCTTAAAGCTTTATGATTCACCCACCTCACTCACCCTCCGAACTTTCCAACTTCCAAATATTATTTTAAAGTAAAGATTCCACCAAAGTTTGGTAGTCTTCAAGGGAGGGAGGGAGGGAGGGATATGCCTGCCAACATTATTTCAATGAGACCCTCAAATAAAAGCAGAGTAAAATTATATTTTAAGGTAGTACATATATAATGATGGTCAAGTCTCTCAAGCAGGGGTGACAATTTCGGACACGATAAAAAAATAGGTTAATTTTGGGTCAACTCGTTTTGACCCGTTTAATAAACGGGTGGATTTCGGGTCAACCCGCTATAATATCTGTCTATCCCGTTTATTAAACGGGTTGTGTCAACTCATGTACAACCCATTAACCCGCTTAAAAAATGAAGAGAAATTGAGACTTCAACACACACAAGGGGTTTTGAACTCCTATCACCCTCATTTCTCTTAAGCGTCTTATCCACCATGCTACAAAAAACTTCGTGATTTTATTGTATGCCTTTTGATATTTATAATGTTTCTTTTTCTTTTGTGTTTTCCTGTCTTTTCCATCTCTCTTCTCCTATCTTTTTTTTCTTTCTTTTCCTTCTTTCTTCTTTCTCCTCTCTCTCTTTTTCTTTTTTTTTCTTTCTTTTCCTTCTCTTTAGTTTTCTCTCATCTCTCTTTTTTCTTTCTTTCTTTCCTTCAATCTTCTCCTCTCTCTCTCTCTCTCTCTCTCTCTCTCTCTCTCTCTCTCTCTCTCTCTATTTTTTTCCTTTCTTTTCCTTCTCTCTTCTCTCCTCTCTCTATCTTTTTTTTCTTTCTTTTCCTTATATTTTCTCTACTCTCTCTGTTTTTTTTTAATTTAAATTTTTTCAGTTGTGAGTTTCGTAACATGCATATTATTATTTATGAACCCGTTACACGACTCGAAACCTGCACGATAAAAGACGACCTGCACGATAAAAGACGACCTGAACCCGACACGACAAGTCTATTAAATGGGTTAGGTTCGGGTTGAGCATTCTTGACACGTTTATTATTCTGACACGACACGAATCCGACACGACACGACTCATTGCCAGCCCTACTCTCAAGTGCAATTATGGATGCACCATTGCATTGCATTGCACGGTTGCAGCCCACCCCCCCACCCCCACATGGCACATGGCACATGGAGATTCCTCTAGTTGTCTTTAGATCTAGTCCTCTACCTAGTAAAGAGGCAAAGAGGGTGTTTGTGATAAGTCATAATAAGTGGGGACAAAGATGAGGTAGCTTTTGGAGAAATTATACAATAGTACGGTACTACCACGTGGCACTGTCAGATGGTAGTACGCACCAATTGCATAATGACATGTGGTGTGGCTGTTTTTTTTCGATTATTGTAGTTTTTATTTGTCGATGGCTGCAGATTTTTTTTTAGTCTATTGCTGCAGTTTTTTTTTCGATTGTTGCAGGTTATACAGGTTGTTCCTCTTTATATTATTATTATTATTATTATTATTATTATTATTATTATTATTATTTCTATGTTTGATAAGATGATGTTGTGGCCAATATTCATTGATGTTGAAAGTGACAAAGAAAATGTAAGAGAAAAAGATCCAATGCTTGTTAACTGTGTAGAAAATATTGATGAAGATTTGCTTGGAAGGGTTGTGTCCACTGAAGAGGAAGCTTATAATTTCTACAACAATTATGCTACGAGAGTTGGATTTAATGTTCGGAGGGGACAAAAAAATTTTTGCGGCAATTTAGTTATCTTTGTTCAAAAGAAGGTTTTCGACTAGATAGTGACCCTTCTGAATTGAGCAAGGTTAGTAAATTAGAGACAATAACATGTTGCGAAGCTAGCATTCGATTTGCATTCCAGGATGAAGATGATACATGAAAAGTTTCTCATTTTGTTCATGAGCATAACCATGAACTTGCTAAGCCAGAAGAGAGGCAACTTTTGAGATCAAATAGAAAAGTTTCATATTCAAATTTGGGTGTCATTAAAACAATGGTGGGTGCAAGAATAAGGACCACAAATACATATTCTTATTTAGCAGAAGAAGTTGGCGGGTCTCAAAATGTTGGTTTTACAAAAAAAGATTGTTACAATGTTGTGAACAAGGAGAAAATGGCCATGATTGAAGTAGGGGACGCTCAAAGCTTGATGAACCTTTTCAAGCGCAAACAAGCTGAAGATTCTATGTTCTTTTACACAGTTCAAGTTGATCAAGAAAACCGAATGTCAAACTTTTTTTGGAGAGATGGAAGGTCACGAATTGACTATGACTGTTTTGGAGATGTGGTAGTATTTGATACTACTTATCGAACTAATAGGTATAACATGATATGTGCTCCTTTTGCCGGCGTCAACCACCATTGGAAAAATGTACTATTCAGTTGTGCTTCCTTATTGGATGAGAAAACTGATTCATTTATTTGGTTATTTAAGACATTTTTAGAATCAATGGGAGGTCGAAAACCAAAAACTATTTTTACTAAGACAGTACAAGGCCAAACAATTATAAAATTATTGAAGAATTACCAATAACTGAATGAAATTTTCATTAAACATAAATTTTAGTCGGTATAAAGTACAAACAAATGACACGAAGCACATGTCATTATACAACAACCCAAACTAAATAAATAGCTATTTCAATCTAGGCACCAGAAAAAGAAACTAAAGAAATCCAATCCAAATTATAGTTGTCTTCCATTCTTGCAATAAACTGCCAGACAAACTTGAACCCGTATAAACAAGCTCAAAGAGATGTACCATCCATCTCCTACAACATTCCTTCTCCTTCCATGGAATCCAAATGACATGCTGCAGTTCCATAAAAGTTTGAAGAGCATATCAAATGAAAGGAAATAAAGTGATTACTCAAAAAGAAAGGAACTGCATTTAATCTAATGAAAGGAAATAAATTGAAAACAAAGTTCAACAATTACCTTCAGGGGAGGACATATGCCAAAAAAATAAAATCCAAAGTTCTCACCCCCACCAATAATATACTCAAATTGAAAGGTAAAACAAATAGCAAAAGAACAGAGCAATAAGTATTATCCATTTATATATACCCAAATCGAATGAACTTCTACACCCCATAAATTAAGAAATAAAATCAACATGTATTAATTGCAACAAGAAAAAGGAAAAAAAAAAAAAAAAAAAAAAAAAAAAAAAAAACAAACCCCTTCCATCCTTCACAACTTAAAACACAACCAAAACCCCAAAAGTATTAAACCCCAAATCGGAATTAAAGAAGATGCCAAAAATTATTTAACAAAAAAAATAAAGAAGAGCACACAAGAGAGACGGAGAAAGTTTGGTCATGCCAAAAATTATCACAATCAGCTTTTGATCCATCCAGATCCATATAAATTCTCTTGGCTTATTTCCCGTCTCTTGTTTGATGCATGTTGAGCCTACGTTTGGGCTTAGGCGCACATATTACAGACAGCAAGCCACTCACTTACTAATCATCCAGTTCCTATTACTAATAACGTCAAGTCATGCATATTTACCTAGGCTAAGCTCAATGATCAATCATTAATTCCTGATTGTTAGGCGCTTAATTCGTTAATCACATAAAGAGCTGATTGTACGACTGCTTCTTCTTCAGCTAGTGATCCAAGTTTTGCCCTATTTGTATATGCTACTGTGCTGTCTGTCCAGGCTCCAGCCATTACTTTAAGTGCTAAACATTTACGTGCCAATAAGACACATTTAATAGAATTGAGTGTAATGTACTAAATGTGTATGACTGATTGGGTGCCAACTTGGTTAGGTGAAGACAAGAAACCCTCCAAATAGTAAATACCAATCACCTCCTTTTCCTTTCTTTTATTTTCTTTGTTTTGATTGGTTGTTGGTTACTAACATACGAGGCTAGTCTCACTCATGGCATGGAAAGGATGATGGACGGCCTCACCTCAGTCAAGAGAAAGTTATGGATGACAATCATGTTTATCAATACAGTACCACAAATTACTGAGACATGCATGTAGAAACACACGGATACTCACAGACAAACACAAAAGAAAAGACCCTAGTCATCAACAGTCTCTCTCAGTGAGTGGTTTTCCTGAGATGGGTCCCACTGGATTCCACCATCAAAGCAAAGAGAAAGTGAAAAAGCCTCTTCCCTTTACAGATGCTGATCCTGATGATATGATTCTTCTTTCCTTCCCAGGCCAACGACCCTGAATTGGACCGTAGACTTTAGTCCACACGATAATCACTTGGGCTCCTTCCCCCCCTCCATCCTCTACTATTATTAGTATTCACATATAATAATATACTGTCAGTGACTTGTGTGAGTTGTGACAGCCTTATATCCCTGCTCCACATATATAATATACTTGTTCTTTTTTCTTTTACTCCCCAGGAATCACATATTGGTTTTTTCTTTTGTCTTCCTCGTTAAATAAATAACATAACCAAATTAATTAGCTGTGCAAAAACAGTCTTAATTAGCCTGTAATAAAGTGAATGTGATATGATAAATGTGGGCTGGGCTCTTTTGGGTTAACCATTCGATTATGGCTGAAAACCATAATCTGACTGATTTGATTCGAAAAAGGTCTTATCTGCACTTTGTCCTAGTAATGTCGGAGGAGAATCTTACCTTATCATCAGAATTCAGGGTTTAGCCTCATCCTTTTCCTTTAGACCGTCTAAACATCTCATCAATATCAAAGCAAAAATTAATGTATAACATACAGCAAAAGCTATAAAGTATAATAATCACACAGCTAGCTAGCTTTGGTCTAAGTAAGGTTTTCTGCTTTTTAATTAAAGTTAAACCTTTCCATAAAAAATCACATCGTATGTTTGTAATGTATTCATTAAATTGCTTTTTGGGTGCTAGCTGCAGATTGCACAACAAGTTTAGTCACCAGAGAAATGAGTGAAGTAAGTATTTCTTTTCTGCCAACACTAACACACACACACACACACACACACACACATATATATATATATATGTATATACACTTCTTTGTATCCTTAATCGATAACACCAGTAGTGTGTGTTTGAGATCTTGATCTACCACTTCTTCAATCGTGCTTTCATTTCATGGATGTTGTCTTTGGGTCTGCAAACTCGACCCTTTTGATGTCCTGCTTCTGACTGTTTCTTGTGTAATGGTATTTACACATTATTACTTTCTGTAGCTTCATGTATAAATGGCATTTAATTGATTTTTAATATTTTCTGTGTGGAAACCAATTAAAGGAGAAGAAAGAGGAGAAGAAGGAGGAAGAAAAGAAGAAAGAAGGCAAAGACGAAAAGGAAGAAAAGAAAGAAGAAGAGCCTCCGGAGATTCTACTCAAGGTCGATATGCATTGTGAAGCTTGCGCAAGGAAAGTTGCTAGAGCCTTGAAGGGTTTTGAAGGTAACTATTTCTTTTTCTATATTTTTACCTTTCATAGAATTCAAACCTTAAATTTTGAATTCTAATGAGCTAGGAAAGTATACGTAATTCAATTTTAGAGAGGGCAGTTCATGTTTAGCACGTTTTTCTTGAAGAAAACATTTTTAAAATATATAATTCATTCCTAAACTAATCACAAAGAAATTAAAAGGTGTACAAATATAGAATAGAATACACGCGTAGGAGGTGATGGGTGAAATTGTGGTTGTGGTTGGACGGTGCAGGAGTGGAGGATGTAACGACAGACAGTAAGGCAAGCAAAGTTGTGGTGAAAGGCAAAGCGGCGGACCCCATAAAGGTGTGCGAAAGATTACAAAAGAAAAGCGGCAAGAAAGTGGAGCTCATTTCACCTTTACCCAAACCTCCCGAGGAGAAGAAAGAAGAACTGGTTAGAGCAATTTCGCCCATTTGCCCTTTGCCATGGCAAGGGGAGGACTAGGACAGCTACTATTTATGTGAATAGTAGCTACCCTTGCAAAAAACAATGTGCATTTCCATCCATTGTCATGGCAAAGGGAAAACACTATTCAGTTTTTGTGTTTTTTGTTTTCACAAATTTGTTTACCTAAACAATTAATTTGGATACTATTTTCAGATAAGATTTTTGGGTTCGTACATGTCAATATTTATTATAAAAATTTATATTTCAATCGGATAAAATTTTCGGATAAAATGATAAATAAAAATACAATTTAAAAGTGAATAAAATATTGGGTAAAAAGTGAATAATAGTAGAAATAGAAGAAAATGTATGAGGATTTAGTGTTGAAAGTAAAGAGTATTGGTAGGTATTTTAAAAAAAAATCAATAATTTTTTGGTATTTTTTTCGAATTTTTTTTCATAATTTTATAGCAAAAAACAGCCCAGCCGTTGGATTGGAGGAGAACGGGCAATCAGAACGCCCAGACGACGACACTTGTCTTTTAGTTGTTGGTGGAGCATTGACGTCATTCTCCCCTTGAGCTACAAGTCGGGCAAGACCTACTTTTACTCACCCTCTCTTTTGTTGACGAGTCCTTACTTAGTTAAGATTTTGATTCCTTACTATGTTAGGATTTTGGTTACTTACTCATTTATCTAGTCCTATTATAATTGAGATTTATTTCATATTTTAATTTATATTTATTTTATATTGTAATTTGGATTTATTTCCTATTTTATTTAGGGTTGTACTTCTCTATAAATACCTTCATATTGGAGAAGAATAAAATATGAGAATTTGAGCATATCTGAATATTTGCCCTACTTTGTTTGACTTGGTATCAGAGCCAGGTTCTCTTGTGACATGTGCTTAATTTAAGTGCTTTATTCCCTTCCCATTCAAGGGGGGGGGGGGGGGGGAGGGGGAGGGAGGGAGGGAAAGATATGTTTATTGACGTATCCCCATTACCTTGAAGTATTCCATGAAGATATTGCTTATCTCTTGACTCTGACGACCCCTTTTCTTCAGGGGGAGAAGGGGAGTGAAAAGAAGTTGTGTCTGCGTGAATTAGCCAAAGTAAAGGGGAGTGAAGAGAAGTTGTGTCTGTGTGAATTAGGTAAAGTAGATATGGAGGAATTCTCCTTCACTTTGGCTGTTGTTATTGTTGTTGTTGTTGTGGTCGATGTTGCCGCAATTGATGTTGACTTTGTTTGCTTCACTTTCCGTTGTTATGGTCATTGTCGATGATGTTGCTGTGTTTTGATCCGTCTCTACCCTAACCCTAAACACTACCTATTTCCGCTGCACTATACACCTAACCTATAATCCTAGTCTGCCGCCACCTTCTACCTTGCTACTATCGCCACCGTTTCTGCGTTCTGTCTTATCTACTTCCGTGCTCACATGACTTCTGTGTTCTACCTTATCTACTGCCATGCTCACAGGGCTTCTGTGTTCTGCCTTACCTACTGTCGTGCTCACAGTGTTTCTATGTTCTGCCTTATCTATTGCCGTGCTCACAGGGCTTCTGTGTTCTGCCTTACCTATTGTCGTGCTCACAAGATTTCTGTGTTATGCCTTTCCTACTACCATGCTCACAGGGTTTCTATGTTCTACTTCTATGTGTTCTTCTATGTGCCTTATTTGTTATGGTTTTTATGACAAGGCCTTCTCTACAGTTGTTCGATTGGTCAATGTCGAGTATGGTGTTCTATGATTTGCTTGTCAAGTTGGGCATAAGAAATATCTTTGCCCCAACTTGAGGGGGAGTGTTGGCGAGTCCTTAGTTAGGATTTTGGTTCTTTACTCATTTATTTAGTCCTATTATAATTGAGATTTATTTTATATTGTAATTTATATTTATTTTATATTGTAATTTGGATTTATTTTCTATTTTATTTAGGGTTGTACTTCTCTATAAATACCTCCATATTTGAGAAGAATAAAATATGAGAATCTGAGCATATTTGAATATTTGCCCTACTTTGTTTGACTTCTGTAACTTTAACTTTAACTTTAACTTTTCTACGCATAATACGATATTAAAGTATAATTAATATCATATATTAACCCTTCACTGGAACTGATATGACAAACAGAAGATGATTAAATTAATTAATTTTACGTAGGGTATGAATAGGCACGACTCACATCACAGTTCCCTAAAACAGTGAATTTTGAGAGTGCTGTTTAAATTATATGCTGACATGAAAGTAACAATTCGAAACGATACCCCACCACCTTCTCCTCCTCCACACCAGAAAAGGCACATTTCACAATACTAGTCACCACTCGGGCTAGCTTTAGCTACCTCTCCTCCACAAGGGCTAGACTTATGCTACTAAGCTAAGGGTTTTGACCATTCATTCACCAACCACCATTTTGGGTGTCACGACTCACGGGTACATGAAAACCCGTATATATAGGCATAAATTAATACAATCATTTTAAAAATAACTCAACACAACACACCTACCTACAAGTATTAGAATTAACCTATAACTTTTTCTTTTTTCTTTTTTCTTTTGGTTGGTATTTATTCCTTGTATTGTATATAGTATATATGATTTCATAAACAAATCTGCATACATGTACTTGCCATGCCTTGGCTTCGAGGCTACTGCTTGTCGTGTATTTGCAGCTTTATCAGCATAACCAACATCAGCACACATAGCTAAAAGGGTATTATAAAGAATTATATTCAACTCCATTCCATTCTCCTTCATCTCTCTATAAACGTTAAGAGCATCATCACCGTAGCGGGCTCTACCATAGGCCCTTAAAAGAGCTGCATAGGTTACCCAATTTGGTGAAAACTCCTTGTTAATCATCTCTCGGTAAATTTTCTTGGCCTACCAAGGCCTCTTAGCTCTTCCCATAGCATCCAACAAAGTGTTATAAATAACCAAGTTTGGCTTAGCCCCTATAACTTTCATTTCCTCATACACATTCAAGCACCCATCAAAATTCAAAGACTGCCCGTGAATTTTGATCAATGTTGAAAACGTCACTGGATCAATGCGCCATTTCGATGTCCTGGCTCGGTCATACAAACTGAAAGCCATGTCAACCTTACCAGAATGCCCATAGGCGTCAATCATAGCCGAATAGGTAACATCATCCGGATTACACCCAAAACTGGGCATCTTCTTAAACCACTCCACAGCCTTATCAGGCAAAGAGGACATCCTAACACAACTAATCATAGTAGAAAAGGTAACATTATCAGGTTGAACACCTCTCTCAAGTAATTCATCAAACAGCTTCTCTGCCCTATCCAAATCCTTACCCTTTCTACACACTTTCAAAGTGACATTGTAGAGAATCCCTTCCTCTTTGGTTTCAAATTATGCTGAAAGTACTTGAGCGCAAGCAACGCATTTTCTGGATTGGCCATATTATTAAGCACAACCACTGCGTCTTGTTCCAAGATTCTATCACCTAAACCCTATAAAGCTTCAAAAACATCATTTTCACTTGGACTGCAATAGTTCAAATACTCGGCTACTTTGACTAAAGAAGCATACCTGGCATCGTAGGATTTCTGCCTGAGCTACGAAGCTCTGGGGCTGTTGGGGTTGACCCAGATATATCTTTTGGACAAAGACCCAGAATTTCTACTTGGGCATTGAGGGCTTTCAACTTCTGGAACATTGGTGGGGGTCTGGGTTTCTTGTGCAACTGGTTCTTGTAAAGAAACATGGTTTATTTGGAGAGAGATTCTTGAGTGGAGTGAAGGAAAACTTGTTGAGAAGTCAACTAAATCCCAATGTATTTGGGATTGAGTGATTAGCCAAATTATATGTAATTGATTGTACATGATTTGATTTCCTTTATTAGTCTCTTGATTGTAGGAAACTTGGGTATAGATACCCTTGACACTATAAAGAGAAAATCATTAAGTAATCAAATATTCTTCCTTTGATTACAATTTTACATGGTATTAGAGCAGGAGAAAACCTAGCTCTTGTTTTTTTCTCTTTACCGTCAAAAATCCCATCTTCCTCCTTCCTTATTTTCTTTAGCTCTCTGCCATGGCTAATGACAAAGAAGTTGAAACTTCTTCCAAGGATGGAAACAAGTCTGAAGTTTCCAACCCTTTTTTCTTTCATCACTCTGACCATCCTGGCATGGTTCTTGTATCCAAACCATTGAATGGAGACAACTATAGGACATGGTGTCATTCCATGCGAATCTCCTTGAGTGCCAAGAACAAACTTGGTTTTGTCAATGGCACTGTCAAGAAGCCTTCAAAGAAAACCGATCATGATGAGTTCACTCTTTGGCAACGTTGCAATGATATGATCCTATCTTGGATCTTGAATTCCCTTGATCAAGACATAGCTGATAGCGTTATCTACTCTGACACTGCTCACGATATATGGGAAGATTTGAAGGAGCGTTTCTCTCAAAGCAACGTTCCTCGAATTTTCCAGATCCAACGTGACATTGATTCCCTTACTCAAGATCAAATGTCTGTTGCTGCTTATTACACAAGACTTAAGGGGCTATGGGATGAGTTGGCATCATACAGTGATGTGCCGACTTGTACCTGTGGTGTCATGAAAGATCACGCTGAACGTGATGAGAGGAATAGAGTGATGCAATTTCTCATGGGTCTGAATGATTCATATGCTGCTGCTCGTGGACAGATTCTTCTTATGCAGCCCCTACCATTCATACGCAACATCTATTCCTTAATTTCCTAAAAGGAGAAGCAACAACAACTGGGGACTCCTCATACTACCTTGGAACCTGTTGCAATAGTTGTTTGCCAACACCAGGGACCTTCGAATTCTAATCGCAAGCCTCTTCACTGCACTCACTGCATAAATCCAATCGAAACAAGAAAGGCTCAAGTTCATCTGCCAATCACATGCAGAACAATCCCACTATGCAAGAATTGAAGTTTACCATGCCCAACCTATCTGACAATGAGTATCAGCAGATTCTTACCATGATGAAT